TGGCAATCTAACAGTGCCATTATTATGGAAAAGCCAGTTTTACAATTCGACGATGTAGGTTGATAAATGTTATTATAGAGCATACCTTTCGTTTCATATGATCAGAAATGTTTCAAGGAAATGATAGTTTACTTAGTTCCTAAGTTCGTTAATAAAAACATACTACTTTTGACAATAAAGAGATGATGATTGTGAACTTGAAAGGTCCAATAGTAATCGACAGGTACGGAAAAACGTACAGAAGAACTTCACTAAACGATATACATATATCACTAATATCTACCATGTAGACTTTATAATTGGTTAGGAATGGTTTTTGGTAATCTAAGTTTCAGTAGAAGGTGGTCTTAACATGTTGCTTTAAGGTGTGTAAGTAAAAAACAAGATTAATGAATTAGAAGAAATCCGTAATTTGATCCTGTGACTTTCGCATAGTTACTTTCATATCTTATCTCACTAACATAATTTTATTGCTGTTGATAGGGAAAGCGATACACACATATACAGGTTATGAAACATTGGGCTTACCATCCAAAAATTTAGCAATAGTGTACTTAGCTTAAGCTAAATTTGTTCAGATATCTGAAGTACTTAATTACCTCATTATATATCCAAGAGGACGCAAATCAACGTATGGAAATCATCGTACAGCTCCTTTATGTAAGATTTGCCGTTATGAAGAACTGAGATTTTATCGCAGATCTTTCAAGATAACAGATGTCTTAGTTGCGTTGTACTTTTCGATCATCCTTTCAGATGTAAGCGATAATTTCTGTGTATGGCCCACTAGCCTTACGGCCATAGTGTTGCGAAAGGAATACTCTAGCTTGTATATTGATATCTTTGGTATAAAAAAAATTGTTATCAGAACTAGTCGGAAAGTTTTCATTTACATTATACATATCCGTTAGTTGATGAATTGAGAATTTGCTCTATAAAATAAGCTCAGCTGTCTTATTATCATACCTATACTACCTTACCATATACCAGCGTATAGGTAGTGCGTGAAACTATCCCTCTAGAAATCAATGTTGGTTTCAAATAATTAGCCATGTTATCAACCCATTGGCTGCTTCGTACCATCTAGAATGGCTATTCTCACCCAGTTAACGTGATTGTGGTTATTTACTCACTATGACGTTTATGTGATCATAAAAATTTCATTCTGGCGTTTATCCTTTACAACAGTGTTAACTAGCCAAGGTAAAGATGTATGAGCTACTATGTCTTCTATTACTTTAAGCTTGATGATCTTCATAAATGTTTCTGAGCAAATTTCACTGTTGACAGCGTTATTAATAACACTTCGACTTTGATAAGATAAATAGAAGCGAGATGGAATAAACCAATGACCTAATTTGTGCTACGCCCAGCATACATTCTAACAAAAACCATACAGGCTGATTTCCACGGCTGAGATTGTGTAACATAATTGTGATAATAGAATGAGGTTAGCGGTTGTTTATCTCCATCTAAATCCAAGTGTTGTATTAGACTCACTACCATCTTTACAAGTTACTAATTTAAAATAAAGAGTTCTGATCTTGAATAGTACTCTCGACGCGAAGTTCAGTATATGCGACGGTGTGTTGCATAATCTAACGGATGTACAATAATTTAAAGGTGAGATATAAATTCAGAGTAAATAGATTGCTCATGGACGGTTTAGTTTAACCATAATGACGGAGCGACGCCAGCAACTCCGGCGACGACGTTGACGGATGAGAGAATAGTAGCGGATAAAGAAGATGGCGAAACTAATAGCGCCACCAAAGCGCCTAGTATGGTTACTAAGTCGTACGAATGTGAACAGAATATAGACTTAATGACATCTAGCATCTTACCACAGGAAAACAATTGGCAAAACTCGAGCTATGAGAACGAAACTACTACCCAGCTCATCAGCCAAGGGCCAATTGACGGTGAATTACTGATGCAGGCTGATGGCAATGATGTTTCGCTCATTTCTAATAAATCTTTGTCGAACCACGATCCGTACCCTTGCGACATCAATCATTTCGACCTAGAGGGTGAGTGTGGATCTGTAAGGATATTCAAAGACTCAATTAATATAGAAATGAATATTTTGGCCCAGTTCCAGTCATCTAATATCTGTGAGTTGCGATCATATCTAAATTTTCACATTCTGAGGCTATCCAGGGGGCCAAATTCCCTATCTAATGCAATGGAATTTCGAGAGTAGGTGACATTACGTTTACTAGGTTGTAAATTGAATACATCCCAGACCAATTAATGAACAGCAATGCTATTAATGATTATACGAACGTCTATCATGACATATCAGATAGTGCGATACTCAAAGGGGGCATTAACATGCCCCTAATTCCTCAACAATATCACCAAATGATACCAGAGACAACCACCTCGAAACATCCGCGATCAGGCTTATCGTTAAAGACAGAAACAAGATCTGGCGATTACAATTACAGTAAGTGATAAAGCTCGAAATCTGGTAACGTAACTTACATACACATTTTTAGCATCCAAAGGACAGAATCTACAGCTACCTAAAACTCCAAAGTATCAATCTGCAGTAGACAAATCTAAGACAACATTAGAAAGCCAACCTGCTGATATATCATCAAGCAAAACAGGCGACACTACCTCAAAAACCGAATCAATAGCTAACAGTGGTGTGAGTGAAAAGAGTTATGTCTTTGTCGGATCTGCTTCGACGGTTTCTGATCGCTCGTCACCCATTTCAATTACTGCCAACGCATCGACTATGAACCAGAAAGATAGCAAACGCGCTAAAAAGTGTCCATACCCAGGTTGCAGCAAGGTAATGTTAATTTCACATTCTTAATGAACTTGCTGATATAAACCATCAGAAATTTGTCCGTGATACTACACTTGAGGTGGGGGCACTCATATAACCATAAATAGTACTTATGAAGTGCAAAAGAACCACTACAAATCACATACAGTGCCCCGCCCATACGTCTGCAGCGTATGCTCGAGATCGTTTGCACGAAAACACGACGCCGAGCGCCACTTCCGCATGCATAACAATGATAGGTGAGTAATAATGGTTCCGGAAAGCGCTGCAATAACTTCAAGTAGACCGTACAGTTGTCCTAACTGCGATGCTTCATTTCCACGCTCAGATGCTTTGAGAAGGTATATATGGGTTAAATACTATATAAACCGGCTGATTAGTCACCAGACATTGGTCTACACAGCCGGAATGCGCACAGAAAGCAAAAGAGGTAGCCAAAACTGAAGAATCGACTGAAAAATTACCAAAAGGACTCTCATCAAGAGCGAAACGTGTACCAAATAAGACAAGCGAGTCAGAAGACGAAGTTATATGTGATCTACCAAAAGCGTCGTCTTCATTACCGCATAAGAGGTTGAGAAAGAAGCATAAAGCGGATAATTGAGAGATTTGATGATTATAACGAAATATACACGAGAAGGAGAATATTCTTGGATTGTGACGACCACATTTCGTATAGATTAATAATGCTTGTATACTATTTCTATATAAATTTACTATTATATCACAGTTTGATAATAAGAGAAATCCTAAACTCGAACGACGATGTGAGTGATAAGAAAAGCTCGAAAGTGAAAACTGAATAATAATAAAAAGGTCTGCAGAAGAGATTAGCCAGTACGAATTACAGCTTGAACAAGTTAAGGAGACGCTTACAGCTGATCCCACCAATGCAGAACTTATAGGGCTAAAGGACGAGCTCTCAAATTTGATAGACTTACTTAAAGCGTCTACTGCACCAGCGCAGACAGCTCCATCGACTAGCGAACAACCGCCACAGAGTAAAGGGAAAGATAGCAAGGATGTTAAGATATTTAAGGCAGGTGAAGATATAATGGCTAAATACAATGACGGTAAATTCTACCCAGCTATTGTTAAAGCGGTGTCAGGTATACACCCAAAGATAGTTTACACTATCAACTTCAGAGGTTACGAGGGTACACAGCAGGTACAGCCTAATCAGATTAAGGCTATGGATCCTCATACAAAAATCTCATTAACTAACAAGCGACAAAGAGATTCGCAAAAATCCTTAACGTCAATAGAAGACGAGAAGGAGAGGGAAAGGAAGCGCAAGAAGAGTGAGAAGAAAGCAGAAGCTAGGGAGCAGAAGAATAGTGAAATGAGTAAGTCCATACATCATAAGTAGATATATCAGCTAACTATGATGTTATTTAGACAACAAGCAAAACAATTGGCAGAAATTCGCAAAGAAAGCTAATAAAAAAGGTATACACATAGCTGGGTCAGAAGGAAGAAGCATGTGAGCTTTTTGCTAGTCAGATGTTTAAGAATTGACGTGTTTTAGATTTAAGACGCCAGATAATCCGTATGGTAGAGGTGAGTTTCATTATCATTACTAACCATTCTCTAACGATCCCAATAGTCGGTGTCACAGGCTCTGGGAAACCAATGACAGAGCAAAAAAGTGTAAGAGATAAGCATGTTTTTGTACCTACGTTAGAGGATCAGTAATTTTATAAAGTTTGATGACTAATCGGTGAATAGTGATGTATTTGTTCTAGTGTAATAAATTAATTCGGCGTGCCGATTCAGTATAGAGTAACGAAATGTATAGTAAATAAAGAGGTAAAGTAATATTGGTATTTTGGATAAGTTCCCCCACTATTACGTCAGAGTTATGGGGAATGTTAACGACTCAAATAAACGAGAAATGTAGAGAGAGCAAGTGAAAATACGAGATACATAATATTAATTCAATGATTTATAAATTTGTACCTCAATTGAATCTGGGCACGTTTACGTTTACTCCAAGTTATCCTCAACTATTCTCATTCTCTAACCATCACGAACTAACGAAAGAAATGACAGCAGAATACTTTATTGGTATTGACGTTGGTACTGGCTCAGCCAGATCTGCATTAGTAAACATTACGGGTGACATCTTGGCTGAATCAACATACAACACAAAAACTTGGAGAGACGCCAACGACGCGAACATCTTCGAGCAATCATCTGCCAACATTTGGCAATGTATTAGCCAATCTGTTAAAGACGTCGTCCGCCAAGCCCAAATTCCAAAAGAAGCTGTAAAAGGTATTGCGTTTGATGCAACCTGCTCTTTAGCCGTTACCGACTATGAGGGAAACCCGATCGCTGTTACTAAGGGTGATTCACTCGGCAAGGAAGGTGAGAGGAACATCATTCTGTGGGCAGACCACAGAGCAGAAAAGGAGGCCACCTTCATCAACTCAACAGGCGCAATGCCTCTGCAATTTGTCGGTGGTACTGTCAGTTTAGAAATGGAAATTCCAAAAACACTTTGGTTAAAGAACAATATGAAACCAGAAGACTTCAAGAAATGCATGTTCTTTGATCTTCCAGATTGGCTTTCATACAGAGCTACTCGCTCAACAGCCAGATCTAATAACTCACTCGGCTCCAAGTTCACTTACGTCACTCCTTCTATCAAGGGTGCCTACCCATCAGGATGGGATCCAAAATTCTTGGAACAAGTCGGTTTAGGTGATCTCGTACAACAAGACTTCGTACCATTGGGAGGATCACCAGACAAGAACGGTTTGGTTCTCACAGGTGGTTTGCCTATCGGTAACGGTTTGACAAAGGAAGCCGCCGAAGAATTGGGCTTAGCTGAAGGTACAGCAGTTGGCAGCTCAGTTATCGATGCTTATGCTGGTTGGATTGGTACTGTTGCTGCCAGATCAGCAAAGAAAGGCGAAGAGTTACCAAAAGAAGCTGTCGCTTTCGAAGAATGTGCCACAAGATTAGCTGCTTGTGCAGGTACATCTACCTGTCACATCGTCCAAGTGAGTTACATCTATTTCAACGAATTCTCCATTAATTACCCAATTAGTCACCTGAAGGTGTTTTTGTCAAGGGCGTTTGGGGACCATACAAAAATGCAGTTTTCCCAGGTTGGTGGATGAATGAAGGTGGCCAATCATCGACTGGTCAATTAATCGACTTCGTTCTCAAAACGCACATCGCCTACCCTGAGTTAGAAAGAGTCGCAAACGAAAGACAAACCAATATTTTCGAAATTCTCGAAGAACTACTCCAAAAAGCTAAAGAAGAAGAGGGAGTTGACTCAATCAATCAGATCAACAAGCACATGCACTTCTACCCAGATTTACACGGAAATAGATCACCATTGGCGGATTCTAGAATGAGAGGTATGATTACAGGATTAGGATTAGATGGTACATTAGGAGACCTTGCAAGAAAGTTCCAATTGACACTTGAAGCAATTGCATTACAAACTCGTCACATCATCGAAGAAATGAATGAAGCTGGACACAAAGTCAACAGCATTTACATGTCAGGTGGACAAGTAAAAAACAGAGCATTGATGCAGTTAATGGCAGATGTTTGTCAAATGCCATTAATTTTGCCTGCATCGGCATCAGGACCTGTAGTTGCTGGTTGTGCAATGCTCGGTAGATACGCCTACGAACTCTCACAGAAGAAGGACTACACTGAAATTGTCAAGCAGCAACAAGCTGAGCAAGTAGGCGAGTGTAATAAGAGAAGGTTATGGCAATTGATGACTGAGATGACCAAACCTGGTGAAAGAATCGAACCTAACTGTTCTAAGAAGGACAGCACTTTATTGAACGCCAAGTACAAGATCTTTAGGGAGTCTATCGATATCCAGAGAAAATGGAGAAAGGAAGTTGAAGATGCGCTTGAAGGTGCACAATAATTTAATGAAAAAATGATGTAATAAACCTTTGAAAAGTATTTATCCATTGTTCTACATTTATTCGAAAGATTTATAATAAATGATAGCATCATCGTAATATTCCGTTCCTTTATCGTCAATAAGTCTTCCGGCTTTTGGTACGATACCGATCCTAGTGAATCCGAGTCCATCCCAGATTCGTGAGCTTGCGATATTTGATTGATAGACCAAGTTGAAAATAGCTGGTGTATATGTTTAAAAACATGACGTAATGATAGAAAGAAAACTTACATCCTTTGTAACCCAACTTTGGACCATAATGTAAGTAGCTCTTACCAAGTGTAGAACCAAGCTTGAGACCTCTTTTGTTTGCGTTCACGATGAAACCCGCATTGCAAATCTGAGTAATTAGACGATATAAGAGGATGTAGAGAGACATACATGGCCTGATCTACCAACGTAGTTTGGCTTGACATAATAACAGCCCCCGAGGACAACGTCCCATTCATTATCGCCAATCTCGCTTAGCGGCTTATCAACTAGGAGACCAACGAAAAGATCAGCTGCGAAGAAATAGCTTTTGAACTGTTCAACTGACATGGGTGTCTCTATTGGGTATGTGCGCCCTTCTTCTATAATAAAGTTGAATAGTTGGTGCAATCTACTTAGCAGCTCTTTCGGTGCGTTGGACGGATCGTTGAGGTGGTGTACATAAAGCTTCTTTTCAGTTGGTAGATTCCAAGTTGTAGAGTCCAACTTTTCTGATTTTTCTCTTTGTTCTGCTGGATAAACCATTGTGGGTATTGAAGGTGTCAGTCACATGTCAATTCTAGTCAAAATAAATAAAATTAGTACAAGTAAACTAGTTATTCTTCCATCTGTGCATCTTCTTCTTCTTCCTCTTCCTCTTCTACCTCTTCCCACCAGCTGACGACACCCAAACCTTGACCGTCTATAGAAGCGGTCAACCTATAAGCAGTTGGTATAATATCCTGTTCAGATTCTTCTATGGCAACTTTCTTTGGTTTGGGGTATACATTTTCAAAATGTTCAGCTTCAATTCTAATACGTATATTTTCACCAATATCTATGTAAGCTCTTTGTTCCGGTGATGAGGTGAATGGGTCGCTATCTTCTTCCCAATTTGCTAACCAGAAGAAAGTAGATTCAGCCTTATCATATTGGGTGATTGGAGGTAGATTGTAGATTGGTATAAAAATGTCGTCAAAGAAACCAACTGATGCTGTAATACCTTCTTCGGAAGTAGACTTTACTTTCGCTATTAGAATTTCTCCCACGAAAGGTCTAAAAATGATTAAATTAAATTTACATTTATAATAAACGTTTCCGTTTGAGTGCTGTATGAAACCTTCAGAGGAATCTAATAAAGAGTGTAAGCAAAGAGCCAAACCGAGGTCCTGAATAATTTTGTTGGAATATTTATAATTTATACTATCAACTATGCTATCTAATAAATCTTTGTTCAAATTTGATGGTTTAACTGCTATCGTATCCTTCAATTCTGTTAAGATGAACATTATTGTTTATTGTAAAATAAGTTATTTAATTCAACTTTTATATTATCTGGTACTTTATCTAAAAATGATGACTGTGAGATAATCAAAAGGATAGATATATTATTTACCTAAACTTTGTTTCATAATTTTTAAAAATATTTCTTCTACGTTTAGCTTATTATTATCTTGTATTTCATCTTGAGATCGTCGTTAGTAAATTATTTAAATATTCCGTTTGCTATCTACTCAGAATCATGCACTTTATTTCATCATTCCATCCAGAAGAGTTTAGTTTATTTTTATATAATTTAATTATTTTATACCACTCTCCCGATTCAATTAAATTTCTATATTTTTATTATTTTTTTCTATATTTTATTGACTATTCACTCACTTTTGAATCTCCTCAGTCGCATCCATGGAAATTATAAACAATCTAAATCAAGAATATCTATTAGATAAAAATTTCAATTTAAATAAATTTTTATTATCAAAGTCAATAAACAATTTATTAGATTATGAGAAGGATCTGATTTTATTACAGCATCAAACTACTATCAAAATATTTGAATTGATTTATAAAGACTATAACAACTTTATCAACTTGAAAGACTTTATAAAGGATGATAAATTATATTTAGATTATTTATTAATATCTATTACGTCATTTAAGAGCAACTTGAACGTTAGTATCATAGCTTTTCTTTCATCTTTCTAACGAATAATTAGCGAAAATTATCTCAGTTAAATGATAATAGAGATACTCTCAATAACCACCTTCACAATAGACAACTCATAAAGAATGACCTTAACGATTTGAACCAGAAGATTAACTTCATAAATAATTTCAATCACATAAACAATCTCATTTCATCACAGGATAACAAACCAAAGCAATTGAAAAGAATTTCTCTACAATTTAACAAGTTAATCTACTTAAATAGGAGAACAAATGAGAAAAATATCAACAAACTAAAACAGAATCTTCTAGATAAAATAAACAACGAGTTTTTCATTCAATTAAACAGTCCAAGTAATCCTGAATTAGTCGATTTAATTAGATCATATGAAATTCTCAACAGTTTGGATCAATCTCAGTTAGTTTTCAGGAAATTCGTCAAAATTTTGCTTGATAAACTTCGTAAAGATAACCTATTCGAAGAAATAATCAATACAATATCATCTAATTTATCTCCACTAATCAATCTATTCGAAAATTGCCAAAATTCAAACAAAATTAGACAATCTTTATTATCGATAAGTGAAAATAACAGTCATTACAACTACTTCGATAGTCTATACTTAGAAGTTGAATCTTCACTCATAAATAAACTAGGTTTAGATCTCTTCTCCATAGGCAAACCGAATCTATTTCATAAGAATTACAATGAGTTTCAATCTTTCATAACCAATTTTGAGACATTTGCACCTTCAATACAAGCAATTAATAATATCAGATCACTCTCACAAAATGGTATATTACAGAGGTTTCAATTGAACAACTATTTTCAATTACGTTTCAAAGAGCTTGTTAGTGTTGTTGAAGGTGCATTTCACTCACCGCTCATTTATTGTCAAAGTACTGATGACATATATACCATAAAGCAAACAGAAAGATTAGCTTGGGCTTTAAACAGATGTTGGACTGATGAAGTAGTCCTAGACGATCTACTCGCGAAATTCTGGAAGGTAACTCTACAACTATTGTCGAGATATAAGACATGGTTGGACGATACTCTAGATGAATTCTTAGCACAAAAATCTCAACAAGATAATGACCAAAAGTTGTTGGAGTTCTTAATTAACAGCCGCTGTGACATTGACACAATATTCACAACAACTGTTGACCTCTGGAATAACAAAATCAAGCAACACTTTACCGAAATTCTAAAAGATGAACTCGATACCATTCAAGAATCATTATTTGAATCATTGGATACCATAAAGTTAGACTTTGGTCAAAATTGCTTAAATCTCATCATCTCAATCCAAATTACAAAATTGAGTAAGCACCTCAGCGGTGTGAAAAGTGTATACAAATTATCTGCACCACGTAAACATCAAGATAAACCATCGGAATTTATAGATACCTTGATTAATGACCTCATATCATTTAATAATCAAACTAAACTAGATAATTATAAAGAAATAATAAATGAAAAAGTAACTAGCGAGTTAATTGAAAGATATTTCAATCAAATAAGTGAAATTAAGTCACAAGAGAGCTCGTTTATAAAGTACAAACGTGGACTAGGTTCATCGAAGGATAGCAATCAAATAAACAAGCAAATTGATTTGGACCTTGATTACTTTAAATTAAAAATTTCTCAGTTTAGTCAGAAGAATTCTGCTGTCATCGATAACTACATTGTACCTGAAGACGTCTCTTAGGGTAAAAAGAAATAAAAAGGATAAAATAATAAATAAATTTAAAAACGATATGTAATTTTATTTAATTTATTTTTTTAATAAAATTCACGGTTCTTGATCTCTTAAGTGCTCGTTTATAGACCACGAAATTATAAAATTAAAAATCAGAAACATACAGATGGACACTGCATCTGTGGATGAAAAAAATAAAAGTAAAATACGCCAATGGGATTCGTCTGATGATAATTACCTAAAGCTACTATCAAATGATAGCAGATTATATAACTCTATATCAAAGTCATCGCTAAAGCAACCTTCCGTAGATAATTACAAACTATCTAAACCCAAGTATCAATGGTTTGAAAGGCCAGAGAAGGATCCACCTTTGGCTTTAGATAGTAAAGTCAAGCTACTCTATCCAAAAGATACGAATAACTTGGTTGATCAAATTCGTAATAAATTATCTATAAGTCCACCTATTAGATTGTGAGCTACTAAAGCTTATATATCTACATTATTAACTTATCCCCTTTAGTCAGAAGTTCCATTACAAAGACGCTGCTCAAGTGAATGAGGAATTGGTCCCTATTAGGTTGGATTTTGATCAAGATTATTTGAGATTAAAAGAAGTATTCTGTTATAATCTCAAAGAGCCACATATTACCCCAAAATTGTTGGCTATCTCACTATGTCATGACTTCGGTTTAAACGAGTATACTGCAGCACATCATATTGAGAAAGCAATCATTGATCAATTAGATGAATGGAAATCTAACGTACACGAATATTTGAATATGCACGGTCCTTCTACTTCAACTAATGTGGGATTACTTGATCAATCCGAATTAAATTGGTGGAATTCTATAAAAAACGATAGCATACCCGATGATATCAACGTCAAAGAAGAGCTTGATACTAATATAGATCAGGAACTTGAAGAAGATATCAGAATACTGATAAAATTGGATATAGTACATCCACCAAATCATCTAATTGATCAATTTGAATGGCCATTATCAACCTCTTTACAAGAGGATGCCCCTGAATTATTCGCAACTAATTTCGCCCTAGAATTAGGTCTACCGGGTGAATTCATTACATCAATTTCTCATAATATACGCGAACAATCATCATTTTATTTGAAATCTTTATCAAAATTAAATCACCCGATTGATGAGAAGGATTCACTATTAAAAATACCTGATGAAGACTTCCGTAAATCATTCTTGCCCCAGTTGATAGATCATCAATTGGAAAGGACACCGAGAGATGCTGCAGAATTTACACCAAAATTGGAACCAGTATCTTCTGAAGATTTAATTACTTATGAAAAAGATTTAGAAAAGGATAATAGAAGGCGTAAAAGATTACAGAAGAATCGCAAAACTAATTCATCAATTTTGACACAAGATAGAGAACCAATAAAGACTTTCAGGACATTACCACAGTTCCCTGAAACGTATATATCAGTTCCACATTCATTCTTGAAAGATCAACCAGTAGTTGGAGGAAATAATCAAAATAATCAACAATTACCAACTAATTATCCAAGACGCGCTGCTGCTGCTAAAGCAAGTTTAAATATATCAACCTCTGCACAAGCGGAATTGGCAGATATTGACAATAATCCTGAAGATGAAGATTATGGTGGTGAGGATAGTCATTTTGATAACTTTAATTCCACTATGCAATTTAATGAAGAGGAGAATAGATATGTTCAAAAGCCTTTACAAATCCAACCATTCGATCAATCCAAAATGGCAATTACCAAGAGACCTCGATTTATTCAAGAAGTACCAACTAAGATTGATTATAATCCTATACCGAGATTGAGAGAGGGTGCTAAGATGTTTACTACTGGTAATAATAAAGCAATGAAATATGGACATGGAATAGCTTTTAAGAAGGATCTATCACCTGGTGTGGAAGTCAAGAAACTTTCAGCTGCTACTATAAATATATACAGTTACTTCTCAACTGAAAATCAACATGAAAATATCATCAATGGAATATGGCATTGTAGTAATTGTGGTGTACCTGAAATGTACGCGATTGGTAGAAGGAAAGGACCAATGGGTGATAAAAGTCTTTGTGGTGAATGTGGAAAGTATTTACACAAGATGCGTAAAAACAAACCAGTAGTTTACAACAATGACCCTGAATACCATAAAGGTTTGAGAGAACAGATGGAGAGGGAAAATGAAGAAAGGAATCAACTCCAAAAGGCGAATGCACAACGTTATAGAAAGGAAATGAAGGCATCAAGGCAAGCTCAAAAAGTTGCAAAAGAGGCTGAACAACTTGATTTCTATAGTAATTCTCATAAAAGAAAACAAGATTTGGATTTCAGTGATGAAGATGATACATTTGAATACAAGAGAGGCAAGAGGAAATCGATTGATGATGATGAAGATGATGACGATTACAATGAAGGTGAAGAAGAGAGTGAGTGGCTTACTTCAGATTGGAAGTAAATCTAACTTGCAGAAGGCTTACCACAGACACGATCACAGCGTCATAGACAAGTGCAATTACCTCCACAGCCATCACCTACTAGTAGCCAATCTGAAGCATTTGGGGATACATCTAAAACGCGTCAATCACAGTCTACGCCAACTTGGTTATCAGAAGCAGCCAAGCAACTTCGATTGAAATATCCAAACGATCAGTTTATTATTGTTGAAAAGCCATCACAAGCTGGTGAAGTTCAAGAGTGGAGAATAAAATGTCTTGATTGTCCAGGAAAGATGTACACACCTGGTCCTGGAATGACAGTTGAAAATTTCGAAAAACACCTTAAGAATCGCCAACATAAGCAAAAGTTAATGGCTAGATTGGGTATAACTGATGGTTTAAGTCCACTGAATGGACCAAGTACTAGTTTAAGTCCAATGAGTCATCCCCATCAGCAAGGTTTGAATCCTTTATCACGACCTTCATCTAGTCATCAAACACCAATGCAAGTCGCTATGTCACAAGCACCTAGTCAACAAACCGATATTCTTGCCGCTGCTATGCAACATGCTTCTTCTCAACATGATCAGCCAGCACCGCAACAATCACAAGGTCCTTCGCAATTATATAATCAAGAACAATTTATCAACATTCCTCACGATTTACCAAGTGATCTGTCAAATGACTTACCAGGTGATTTACCAAATTCGCTCGATATTTCAAACATTGATATGGATATGATTGGTCTTCCTTCATTTGATTTTAATAGTCAAAATGACGATCAAAGTCAATTCTAAAAGATTTAAATTCAATAATAATGTATTCTTTTTTCTTTGTAAACATAAACAAAAAATTTCAATCTTTAAAGTAAAGGTATTTCTTAAAAAACAGATGTCCACTTTGAATGTCGTCAAATTAGTTTTAGGCAGTTGCAGCCATGATTGCACCGATGAACGTTAAAACGAGTTTTTGTCTAACTTCGACCAAATCTTCTGGAACGACGAAGACAAGGCAACCAATTTTACGTGCAACGGAGATAGCTAATTTATCTAAAAAAGGGACTGGGTTAATGATTGTCAACATCTATATTAAATCAACTCACTGTTGAGGAATGCATCATCATCTGTTCTACCGTCATTGACTAATGAATAGTCAACGTAACCCGGTTTGAGTGCATCAAGAAGGTCGAGGAAGAAGTCTAAAAAGTTTAGCTAAGATGTCACTACTAAACAAAACCACTCACGTCCTGATCTCAAGGAAGAATCTTTGAACGAACGCATAGATGATCTCTTTCCTGCTTGTGCAACTCTGTCGTTTGCCCATCTCACCATATCAACATCAGTAATTTGTTTGCCATTTTTGCTGAGACTTGACAAAGTAACACCAATACTCAATCTCATAATCTATTGTGGATTAGTAAATTGTGGAGAAAATCCCTTTACTACACACCTGCCAGACGGTACCAAGAACGAGCGTACGTGTACCATCAACGATATCCGCACCTTGAATACCAACAAGATGCATACCATTTTTGACACAAAGTTCACAAACGTAGTTCGTATTTTCAACTCTCTTGAATCTTGATAACTCTTGCTCTGGTTTTGGTTTCGCAACTCTCCTCCAAACGACAGAGCCAGGTGCAATCTTATCAAATGCTTGTAATAACACGAGACCATCACTAACATCTTCAAAGAGATTGTAGACTGCTGGGTTAACATCAAGACTGTTCAACCATAAAATAAATACTCTAGCTTCTCTTTCACCTTCAGCGTCAAATTCTTCAATTTCTGGTACTTCCTCCTCATTCAGTGGTTCCAATCCAGGGTGGGTGTTGAACAAATGTGCGACAAATGCTAAATTCAATTTACCATTACCACCAACCATTGCATTTGGAGTTAAGTATTTTCTACAACCGATTTTATCAGCGTTTTGTAAAATCATTTCAGCTCTCTGATATAAATCAGTTTGTTGAAGTGGTTGTCTTGAGCATTCAGCTGGTTTCAATTGGTTGAGTAAGATGGTGTAATTTTCACCATCGCTGACATCCTTTGTGAAGTTGGAAACTCTTCTGTGCCAACCTGCATTCTTAAGGTGGTAGTTGAACCATCTCAACAAGATTTGATCTGGTGGTAATCTCAAGAAATCTTCCAAAGCCTCATCTTGTTCTAACAGTCTGTACAATTCTGGGTGGTTCTTAATGTCAATCCTAGAAAGTAAACCTCTTCTAATAATCTGCCAAATAAGACCTAAAATCAAGATTTCTCTACCCTCTACTAAATCTTGTGAACCAATGTTAACAACTTGACAACCGATAGCTTTTGCAGATTGTATAACAATGTTGTTGTTCTCAGTGGCTTGAAAGGCGTTCAATGTGCGACCTTTTGGCTTATTGAGTACACGTTCATCAATAGTATCTGGTACAGCGTCGTTTATCAACTTTGATAAAATCAAACCATCTCTAGTTTCATCGAAAAGCTGAAAATTGTCTGTTGGAAGTGGTAACTTGTTACCTACGTCAGCGTCACCGTCTAAGACTTGATTAATGTGTCTAGTAAATTCTGATCTCTCATCCTCGTTAATAGTGTGTGAAACGTTTGATGATGTACCCTTGACGGTGACTTTTCCCTTCTGTACGACACCTGCGTTGGCGTTTTGACCCGCTTTGAGCTTTGAAATGAGCTTTGAAATGTTAGTAAAGAAAAAAATGATAATCTAGGTCTCACATCAACGTAATCTTCTACTTCTACTCTTCCACTAGCGTCTACGCTGACATCCTTGAGCGTCTCTCTAACTTGATCGTAGGTGGCTTCATTCTGGAGTGACTTGATAATATCTTGCTGTGCTACACCTTTACCCTCTACGTCTAGCTGTCTGTTTGTTGTTAAGATGTGTGACGCTAAGAAAGTAAATACGCACTGGAAGGTATCAACGAGCCTCATTACTTCCTCCTGACTAAACTCTGGGTGCTTTCTTTGTAATTTTATCTAAAAACAGTCAAATGTGCTCTACTGTTTTGTTTATCTTACAGCGATCATTCTCGTTATGATGAAAGTTGGTCTCTGAACACTCGGCGATGACGAAGCCGTTATAAAAGAAAATTCGAATAAATGTACAAAATAATTTTATTTAGATATTCAATCTTTGCCACTACTATGCTTTTGTAATGCTTGCTTAGCGCTATCCAATTCTAGCAAACTCAATAGCCAATCTATGCATGTCAGTCAGTAATAATGTTTCTGAATTTAAAACACCCTCACTATTCTCCTTCCGTAGGTTACTCGCTTCACCTTCCAGCATCTCAGACTGGGATTTGAGTCTCTCGACGATAGTTTCTAGCGCATTCTCACGCTGTTTCTTCCTATCTCTAAATCTGGCTATCATTGTATTAGAATTATAGAAAACTACATAAATACTCACCTGATGCCAATGTATTCCTCCGCCTTTTGTCATCATGGATAGGAGGCACTTGGGCTGTAGAAGTTGACGATGATATTGTCGTGGTACAGGCGCACTATTCGTCGAAGGAGATGAATTGTAAACTGTATTTGCAGGTGTATCACGACTAGTCGATGGTATAGCTCCCGATGGGATAAGTGGGTAGTCGTCATAACGCCCACTGGTTGGTACTGTTGGGTATGTAGGAGAATGTGTAGATTGATAATAAACTTGACTACTAGATCCTGCTTGTGCATTACTTTCATTAGATTTCGATAGATTTCCCAAAGTGGGATCCAAAATGCTTTTTAAAACTTCATAGGGATTATCTGATCGCGATGCTTGCAAAGCTAACAATCGTAGCTTCTCATTTTGGTCTTGCTCCTGATTATACTCTCCATTCTGGGCCGCCGGTCCTGGCAAACTTAAATTATTAGAATCTAACCAAAACATTAAACGACTTAAATCTTCGTGTGACATTAATGATAGTTCCGCATAGAGCAGCTTAATTTAGTTATTCCTCATTTTTAAGTGCATCAATCATCTAATCTAAATTGCCGAAGACGTGATTGAAATGTCGTCAGAGTTAGTTACCCTAAGGTATACTGATTACAGGAGCGAATTAAATTTAATATGATAAATACATTCTAAAATTATTATTAAGTACATGTCTTCATTCGTTCGTGTTGAATTCTGCTAAAAATGCTGATTGGTTTGCTAAATTGAACAATTGATCGTCTTGTGAATGTGTTTGATCATCGTTATCAAGATATGGAAATGCGGATGTAATGGTCGATGGATCTTGTGAGCTTGAATTGTTAACAAACTAAAAGATAGTTAGCTATGAATGAGAAAAAGTCAGGAAAAATACACACCATGCTCCAATTTGCTAACTCATTTTCTAATTGCTCGTTATTGAAATCTATAATTGGTAAATGCGTTTCATTTGATTGCTTTTCATTGCTACTCAGTGATGGACAATCCGGATGTGCTCTCGTATGACCAGTCTGATGGCATCTCGAGCAACGAACTGCCTTGCGTTTAGACATAGAACTACTGCTACTCTCATCGTCGTCATTTTTACGCTTCTTCTGACCATTTAAGCTAAATGACGCAATTAAATTCTCGAAATTGGACAAAGCCTCTGGTATAGAGTTCTTATCAAGTTCGAACTCTTTAGACTTCGTCTTCTTATTTATATTATGAACGTCTTTTATCGTAATTGGTGGTAGATTGTTAAGTTTAAAATGATTGACGATCTCCGCAGGTTTCAAATTAGACTCTCTAAGGTGTATGACTAACAATTTCTGCTCTTGATTAAGCCTTCTCAATATGGAATGGTCTCTAACGTTTGCACTTGGTGGATGATTGTGATCAGATTCTAGTACAGTCAATTGCCATTGGTCATTCTCAATCTCTTTACCACGCAACATAAAAGGACAACCAGTTAACTTGCTATTAGGTTTCCTCTTACGTGTTTCTTCTGTTAAATTTCTGCAATTCTTATATTGACCACCTTTATCGCATTGTAGATAAAGTAATCCCTTACGTGAGGATCTTGTTACAACTGCATAACCTTCACTTTGAGCGTGATTTTGTGCGCTATTAAATAATTCATCCCTGCTATCAAACTTCCCTTCTTTTGGTGGTTCGAGTGGCATAGGGTGATGGTTTAGATACAAAAACTTGTTTATCAATAAATTCTATTATAAGTACAAAATTATTATTTCATCATAGACATTCTAAATGGATTTGGATTATTCATTCCGGTATATTGCTCCCTCTGCGGCATTTGTAATGTTTGAAATTGTCCACTAGGTTGCACTTGTAATTGGCTAGTCATTTGATTTGAGAATTGTCCAGTTGGTTGTGTCTGCAGTTGCCCACTAGGTTGTGCCTGCATATGTCCAGCCGTTTGGGGTGACAAGTTACCAGTTGGTTGTACCTGTAATTGACTAGCCATTTGTGATGAAAATTGACTGGTTGATTGTGGTGATAAGCTGTGGTTTCCTTGATTTCCCCGAGTTGTTTGACTTCCTTGACTTGGGAATGGATTGTTAGTATCAAATTGTTTCTCTAGCGTTGTACCAAAGGAAGATGTAGGTTGGAACTTCTTTGAAGCAAAGTCTGGCTGTCCAGTCTGTTGAGGTTGCAAACCATTATCGTTAGTAAAGCCGCTTGGAAATGTATCAAAAGCCTGTTGTTGTTGCTGAAATTGTTGTTGTTGTTGTTGCTGCTGTTGCAGATTGAAGGCATTAAATGCCAAACTGTTCAATGTTGGTCCATTATTATCATTACTACCGCTCTGACTTTGCGTTGGTTGAGAACCACCAACATTCTGTCCAGTATTAGAAAATGGATTGCGTGAACCCGTCTTTTGTGCAGTAACAGGCTTAGCTGGTGGAATTTGCGACAAAAAGTGCGATCTCATTGGATTATTCTGGTTTTGGTCGACCGCTTCAAATGATTGCATGCCAGTAGCCACGGGAGAGAGTGATGCCCTAGGTAATCATCAGTATAGATAATTTGGAGTTAACTAAGAACACACCTGAAAGGATTAAATCCTGTACTTTGTGGTTGTATACCAGTCATTTGAGGTTGTACACTAGGATGAATACCAGTTTGCTGACCTTGGAAGCCAGTCATTTGAGGCTGAATACCTGCCTGCTGGTGGAAACCTGTTATCTGGGGCTGCACACCTGTTTGTTGAGGTGACATAAATGGTTGTTGTTGTGGCTGTTGTACCTGTTGTTGGAATACTTGAGGTTGCTGTACCTGCTGCTGTTGCTGGTATGGGTTAGCTGTATTATTCTGGCCAGCAAATCCAGTGAACTGTGAATGTATTGACTGAGGCGATGCGAAAGGTAAGTATCCAGTATTTTGGGGCTGTAAGAATGGTTGTTGTGGGTTTTGCATCTGTTGGAACCCATTAACGGTGTTGTTTGGTTGGAGCCCATTAAAAGTATTCGCGTTAGTACCTTGATTGCTTTCAATCGAATCAAGGAAGTCTATTTGAGTTAGTTTATAAAAATATATGAGTATGATAACCCACCTGCTGCAGGTAACGCTTTATTAGTTTGCCCTTCATTTTGTGATTGCGTAACTGGTTGTGGTTGTGGTGATGGTGCTTTTGCAGGTGCTTAGATGTATGTCAGCAAGCCATCAAGTGAAGTATGTTTCGACCTACGTTGATAGGTTGAACGACGTCTACTATCAGAGGATCCACCATCAATGACAGACTTGTTATGTTTATACTCTATTCTGTTTTGCTCAAAGTTTGGATCTTCGAGGTATTCCTTTAGAGCACCATAGAGAGATAAAGGTGCCTGAACAAAATTAGAATGATTAAAATCAGGTAATTAGAACCCACATGCTTAATATTAGGTACCAAAACATTCAAAACATTGTGTAAACGTCTAGCAATGCTCAAATACTGGATGACGCTTTCTGTTTGTCTGCAGAAAGTGCGGTATATTTTGAGAGCCTCTGTAGCGTCTATCTTACTCATTTCAAAGTAACTTTCAAGGACGTTGATAACACCTTCATTGAGAGCGCTAAAGAGTGACAAGAGATCTTTGGTGTTAAGTTGTAGTGCCGCGACGGTGATCTCGTCTTCCAAATCATCTAAGAAGAATCTGCAAGTGGTAAGGGCATCAATCAACTTTTGCACATGTTTAACCTCGCGAAGGAGACCTTTCTCTACTGTTAGAAGACGCAATTGGTTTGGTCTCTGAGAAGGGTCTAAGCTTGAACGTGAAGAACCACGGGAGGAAGTTTGAGACTTGATGATATCGTGTCTAAGATCTTTGTAAGATTTTATACGAGAATCCAAGTAGTTCGAGTAAGATTGTATGTTTTGAGTGGATGATGAAACCCTCGATAGTTTTAGTGTATCGTGATGTGAAAGCGAGCTTAATATCAAATCAGTGTCGCCGTTTCTAAATAAAGAATGTACTATGACTAGCGATTTGAAGACGACCTTATGTTTGTTAGAGGTGGAACTAAAGAGGGTAAGGACTAACGATAGGATGCGGTTCGCGTAACCTTTGCGATAGAGCTCTTAAAAGATCATTTAAAGTAGCTTCATCGGTGTAGGATGCAGATATGATTGGTTCTAGTAACTGATGGGGTTGTGAGCTGGGCGAGAGCGAGTGCAGGGACTACGAACTTTAGACTTAGGTAGGTTGTTCTACTAACGTTAAAAACAAACTAAATGCTTTATTATACCCACTTTTGGTTTAGTAGCTGCTTTTATCAGCTTCGACATGATGGAAGTGAAGAGCAAACAGAGAATTATACAGAAAAAAAGGCAAACTAAGAATAATATTTTTCATATAAACGTGCATATATTGAATGGATGATGATGTATATCATAGTCGTCGTTCTTGCCGTCCGAGTTATTCAACTTCATCCAGATCCTGACGATTCAATTACTAGAGTGTGGGTTAGTATATGCTATGTCTAGAGCTATAGCTAAGATACACACCTTTGAACGAGCACGCATGGCACGACGCTTACGGCGGAGACGACGCATACGCTTCTTTGCCCACTTATCTCTCACTAAATATTGTTAATATACTAGCTATATAAAATAATCGTAATACTAACTTTTGCGAAAATTCGAGCGTGTAAGAAGAGAAGATTGTTGAGCGTCAGCCAAAGTTTGACTGACGGACATTTTAAATTAAAATCTTCATTTAGGTTCAGATATTTTATTTTTATTTGTCTACATCGCTATCTCGATGCTCTAATATTTGTTGCCCTTTCGCTATAGAACCTAGCCGCTGTTTTGTAACATACTCTATTAGTGACGTCGATGTCTACTCACAGCGATACTGAATCTACAACGTCGTCAGACCTTATTAGGGAGAAGGAATTCGAACAGGCAATCGAGCAACTCCAGCTCGTCCTCTCCGTAGTCGCATTGCCTTTCATCGGCAAATGGTTCGGTAGGAAATTCAGCTTTTGGCGTTAGTTCTTTCTTTTACACACGCGTTACTAATATTTCCTAGTCTATTCACGCTACAAAGTGTTTGGTTGGACAGCTAACCTGCTATTCGGTCCAAAAGTACCTTTGAGTCCAAGGCTAAACTAAACTAACTTTACATTTACAACACCGCCACCAATCTTCGCCTCATCTATCGTCAACTCGCCCTCCGTAAGCGTCTTTGTAGGAAATGTCGTCGTCAATTCATATCCAATACCTCTTAAACTTGGTTCTACGCTACTATACTCGTTAGAATTATCACCTGGCCCTCTATCCTACCCACCTCTGAAGTTCCTGTCTAAGCTGTTCGATTGTGTGATCAGTGTTCAACTTGACAACATGTCTGTCATCATTATTAGCTAGCTACATCACAATTTGTCTACTCACCTGCTACCATCGCTCATTCTAACCTGGATACGTGTAGTAGGTTTACTCTCATCAACCTCTACTTTGTCACTTGTCGTGTTCGTCGCTGAAGGAACTGGCTGGGTTCTGATAGAAGCCGTAGGCGCACCAAGTCTTTGTCCAGCGCTACCCTCAAATGGCTTGAATACTTTAGGTGGTGGGACGTAATCCTCGTCTGTTCTTTGACTAACACCGAGGTTGACGCGCTGTCCAAATCTGATGTTCAGGAGTGAGAGTGGTGCTCGACCAGAGTTAAGTGCATCCAATGTTTCTTGATGCTATAAAGATCTACGTAAGATATTTCAGAAACAGACAATCCGACAAACCTCATCATAACGCATCAATGGACCATCATCGATACTAAATCCATCTCTCCAGAATGTGAGGCTCCTGTTGACCGGTTCTTCATCATCGACCTCCTCCCAGTCATCATCAGTCTCAAATGAGCCCGCTTGATTACTCTCTGCTGGGTCTTCCTCTGAACCAAGTCTGTTTCCTCTACCAGAGAACACGTTGGTGGTTTCATTGTTAGATTTTGCAAACTCGTCTGCCGCTTCTTCATTGCTTTCTGCTGCTTTCTTCATTATGTCACCAACAATGTCATTTGGTCCCCTAGGGCCACCTCTAGAAGGTCCCTGTACGCTGAGTCCACTACGTATATTGAGTTATAGTCTATAGTTTACTAATAACCCACGATCTTTCTCCACCAGCGTATAGATTTTCTCGCTTGCGCGGATCGTCGTCATCGTCACTTTCTTGTTCTTTGTTGAAATCTCTAAGGGTAGCTATACCGCCAGCTTTCTTTCCTTTACTGTATACTATTAATGCGATGCATATACTACCACACCACTTACTTGGTTGTCTTCTTTGGCTGGCCCCATCCATCCGGCAAAGGATCAGCTGGAGCACCACTGAGTGTAGTAGGACCACCCTGTGCTGACTGCTGTTCATGCTGCTGCTCTGCTACCCTAGATTGGCTAGCATCGTCTGAGTAGAATAAATCTAAAGCAGACTGTACATCGCCATTAGTCGCACTAAGGAGCTGTTCAGCAACCTGTCTATCTGCACCTGTTATAGCAATTATCTGGTCAAGCGCTGTATTATTAATTACTTAAATTTACGTGTTTGGTTATTATCTCACATTCTGTCATCGTTGAAATTAAAGAAGAAGTGTATATGAAATATATTAATTATATCTTATTTGCTTATTCAAATTCCTTGGTATTATATACTGAAGATAGACTAGAAATTTAGAGAAAGACGGTCTATCAATCGTTGTATTAGAATCTAACAATCTGAACATCTCAATTTCGAACTGGTTTACTTCTTTTAATGTATATTTACCCGAATTTCTACTCCATTCAAAGTTATATAGCTATAATCTACATATTAGCCTGTATTACCGTGTATTACCTTATATGATCAACTTACGACAACATCCGAGTGAGACTTGTGTGCTAATATCAGTGCAGCGATTAGCAACTTCTGTGGACATCCATTATCACCATCTGTCAGTGCTTGCAGTTTCTCGAGTAGCCATATAGCAATACAAACGAAGTAGACTGGTAATTGGCATCTACGCACGAGTTTGTAGAGATAGAACTGTGACTCTGGCTGTTCGAGGAAATTCGCAGCTGGGAATAGCAAAGAAGTATAAAATGTAGCAGTTCGACAAACGCTTTTCAAGTCACTGTTTTTCAAATTGAGATGCAGCATGTTCTATCCGTATAGAAGAATGTATTTTCACCTTACAATCCTACGATCACTTTGGGGACGATCACGACAAACATTGGCTGATGGATGCACGCGCGATATTTTTAGAAGATGTTTTAACGCCAGCCGAATTCCTAGTTTTCATTCAAGTGAGCTCTATTAAATTGCGAGCGAGACAAGTCTGACAAACATAGGGATATCCTTACAAATCAATAGAGAGTCTACAAATATCACTCACTTATTTCGACTGGAATACACTAGCCATCATCTTTTTCTACTTCCGTAATTTGAAATCTGTTTGTGTATCTTCAGAGATAACAGCCCAGGAATTGACCTACATTATATTCGGCTCGATCGAATTAGCTGAACTTCACTTACCGAGTCAACTTCGAGAGGACATATCTTCCTTCAGGTTCATAGAGCTCCTCGCGAAGGATTTCCCTCGACTGAAAATTATCTCATTTGGTCCAGATTACAAATTCATTTTAAAGAGGGACATACTCAGACGGGTGACCTTTTCTCCTGGTGTAACTATGCAGATTGAACCTACACCAATTACTGTAAATCCGCGGATCGCGAACAATCACATCAGCAATCTCGTAAAATTTGTAGAAAGGAACACATTGCATATAAACAAAAGCTGGACTGAATCGATTACCAGTCATTGTCGACGTTTATTTTAGCATCTACGTGTCGTTAGTATTTTATAGCTTATTTTTAAATTACACTCACTGTTCTTCCACTTGTGACCTTTAGCTTTACCAGCTTCTCTAGTAGATTTTCGACCGTGATGTTTGCGAGCTGTGCGCGCCGACTGCTTGTGCAGATCGAGGGCAACTTTCTCAGCCATCGTACTCTCATCGTCCGCGTTCCTTTCGCGGTTCTTCCTCCGGCTATCGACTTTCATAGATTTCATGAGGTTCGTGGTCTTCTTCACGCCGTCATCTACCGTCTCTGACTCGTCGGATTGATCTTCATCTTCATCTTCGCTCGAACTCTCATCGTCTTCGTCTTCTTCGTTCTCCTCTTCGTTGCTGTCTTCCTCATCATCATCGTCCTCGTTGTCGCTACCTTCTTCTTCCTCAGCGATATCTTCAGTGTACTAAATTACTCAGTTAGATGAAAGGTGTCTAGGTAAAGCAACACTCACTTGATCTAACATCGACTGCTCTTTGGCACCAAATCCGTTGGACATCACCTCTGAAAGGAGTTTTACTTGACTTTTATCGACAACATCCTCAAATTCTGGCCAAGAATCAGGCTGATATCTGAACCTCTTGTCGAAGAACTTGAGAATACAATGTACATCCCGATCAAAGTATCTAATTGAGAGTCAGCGTGAGTGTATTACAATAGTGTGACACCTACTCTTCTGCATTTGGATGACTGACTGAGACCATTTGAGGGAAATCGATAAGAACCGGTTGCTCATCCTCGGATCTGATCAAGATATTAAACTCGTTGAAATCACCATGTACTAAACCCGCTTCTGCCAATTTAACGATGAGGTCGAACAACTGCGAGCAGAGTTTTGCAGGATCCTCTACTTCAGCTATAGAGCGTAAGGGAAGGGCATCTTCAAGAGACATCAGAACGGTGTGTCGTGCTTGATCAATTGGAGTAGGGACGGGGAATCCATGCTTGTGGAGGACCTGAGGAGTTTCAGCAAACTCACACACAAATTGTATGTGTACTGACCTGCATAAAAGCGTATTCCTTCTGGGCTGACAGTCTGGACATATACATCCAGGATGCTGATTTACGTTTACCGAGGTAATCTCTCTTATTTTTGATTGCTCTAAATGAGACACGACCAAGTCTATAAAAATTTCAGCACAACTTCTTCTTCGAGGGAGAGAACAAACCTATGAAGCTTTAAGACGCGTTGTTCACCATCTTGGTTCGCAACGACGTAGATATCTAAATCAGGTGAGTGTAACTGTCTGCATTGAGAGTTCACCTACCTGACTCCTTACCAACACCGATCTGATTACCAACTGAGTAGACTGTGTCACGCTTGCTCATCGCGCGTAATGCCAAATAGTCGTATCCACCGTACGTGAGTCTGTATCCATCATCTAAGATTTTGATAAGCGTTGAAGTCGATCGAAAGGTGTGAGTTACATTTTGCGTTTTGGACTCGAGCTACGAGGTTACGCTTGGCTAAAACACCAAGCATTTTATTAGCACCACCCGCTCTAAGGCCAGAAATCTGATTGATGAGAGAAGACGGTACGACTTCGTGATTCTTTGAGCCCATTTCGCAGGCAGTCAATACTCTGAACTCTATATAGAGTGTGTTAGATGTATATATAGAAATAAAACTGTATACTGACCATCATTTGTTATATATCTCAAATCTGTAGCATCTAACCTCATCGTTGAGAGTAATAGAGAGTGAAGAATAATAAATAATTAATTTTAATAGAAATATATTATATTACTACTAGTTTCTGTCTTTCGCTTCTACCATCACCTCTCAATGCCGACGGTAAAACGGCGTCCAGTTGAAAGGATACCAAATCCAATACTAGAGGATACGCAGGCTGAGGTATTTTATATAGATGCTACAGCTGAAATATTCCTTGATTACACGTTAGTTCCCTTCTATATTTGCTCATACGTTGACACATAGTTAGTTCATACATATCACGCATTTTATACTTGAACGAGCGTATATTCCAATGTACAAACTCTGGAAAGAACAATCTCACTTACGCCCAAGCACTCGCGTCTGAGAAAGACGAAGCTAAGAAGATGGAAGCTCGCTTTAATCCCGCTATTAGAGGACCAATATTGCGTTCAGCTGCGTTCCGTATGTTTGCACATCACTAAAACTACACTCGACTTACGCCCTTTTAGAAGTAATGGGTCGTCTTGACAGCCTCATTGATCTTATCTTTGACCGCTTCAAATCTCGTTTCTGGCCTGGCGAGAGTGTATTCGTTGATTTACAAGGACAAAAATTCTTTGCCCGCATTGTAAACGTTTACCCACCAAAGGAGATCGTCGAACACATACAATCACACCGTGAACCAGACGCCAAACGCGTAAAAACCGACAATGACGCACCAGAGGAGGATGTTAATGGCGTTAAAATATCAGAATTACATAGAATGGGTGTTGATCTGGAAATTCCTCAAGCAGAAGCTGACGCAGCTGACCCTCCATTGTCTTATTACTACACAGTACAATTGGCAGGCCAAGATGATAAATTTAGTGGTTCATATATGGAATTAAAGGCTGCCTCACTTTCACGTGACAGATTAATGTTTTCAAAGACTATCCTTCGCAAATTCCTGCGTGATTCTTTAACACGCTCGACTGCTGTCGGGGCACCATGGCGCGTGAAGCCTAATATCGCGAGGCTATACGATATACCTGAGGAGCTAACGATTGATATGAAGGCTAGAAATGATGAAATACGTAAATCCAAACTCGATGAAAGGAAAAAGGTAGGTACAGAAGGATAGATTGGGTAGCGAACTAACGACACTTCAGCTCATGGAAAATAGAGTAGTTATTGAGCCAAAGATAGAACCACCAACAATGATTCCAACAGAGGTCAAACCAAGACAAAGGACAAAGCCGAAAGCTATAAAGAAAGGTATGTGTTCTATTAAATCTCAGTATGGTATTAAGACTCAATTAGAGTACGGTATTTTGCCAGAAGTACAAAAAGTAGTAGCTGCAGTAAAAGAGAAGGAAAAAAAGAAGTCAACAAAATGTAAGTCTTCTTTATATCCTTCCGAGCATACAGTAACGATTTTCAGACCCATGTGAAGATCTCGATATAGTCCTAACAACGAGAGAAATAAATGCAAGATCAAAAGAAAATTCACTGTTGCGTCCAATACCATCACAACCAATGGAAGGTTCACATCAGACATTCGACAATGTCCTCCAAGCGTGGTCATTCCTCAACACATTTGAAATACCACTCCACTTGTCAACGTTCACATTGGACGATTTTATAAGCGTGTTGCAATTACAAACTAACGAGAAAGGGGTACCACAATTGTTGACAGAAATTCACGTTTGTTTAATCAACATGCTTATACGTGAACGTGATCATATTGAAGGTATGACAGAAATACCACTCAATGAGACTGCAATGGAGGATGCTACATGGGTACTCGAGACTGTAGATAGGTATGGTAATTCTTGGACGCGTAAATTGATCAGTGAGCCATCAGAGCGTCACACGCTTTGGCTCAGAGCAACAATAGGTTGTTTGAGAAGCCACCTAACCAATGAAACACACACTCAATGGAGGAAAATCTATGCTCATTTGTTTGCAACAGGTAGAAAAGAACAAAAGTCAAAGGAAGCTGAAGGAGTTGCTAAAGAAGACGGCTCTACATCCTCCTTATCAGAATTAGAAGATGACGCTGACAAACCAGAAGACAGATACTTTAGTCTATCGATTGATGATAAACTTCTTTTCATTCTGTCCTTAATCGAGAGGGTGAAAATGACAAGACATATTAGAAATTTTGTTGATAAAGCTGAACCACATTTGACTGAACTCAGAAAAGAGAAGGTAGACCTAAACAGAGAGAAGAAAAAATTGACCGAGAAGACGGACGAAAAAGCTGGAGGAACTGTACAACAATCAGCGCCATCAGCATTATCAGCACCATCAGCACCATCAGAGCCGATGCAATCTGTACAACCAGCACCAGAGCTCGCATCTGAAAATATAGCCGACAACAACTCAGAAGCACTGAGTGAACCACCAGAAGCAGCCGAAGAGGATGAAGAAGAAGACGAAGAAGAAGACCAGCTTGCATCTGAGAGTGGATCTGAAAAGAATGAAACAGAATCAGTGAATACAAAGTCAAGTAAATTTGAAAAACATGAACCTGAGCCTGAACCCGTTCAATTGACACCTGAAGAAGAAGCAATACGCTTATCAAACAGAGTTGAAGCAATAGATAATGAATTTAGGGCTACAAATGGTACTCTCCGCTGGAGACCATTAGGTGAGGATAGGTTTTTCAATACATATTGGTTTATCGATGGTCTCGGCAGTTGTCCTTTGCAGGGTACGGCTGCTGCCCCAGGTGAGGGTTACGAAGCTGGTAGACTATTCGTTCATAGACCTCACCTACCTGATCCAGCGGTTATGCAAGCCTCTCACGATATCATATCACGCTTGATCGAAGATAGAGAAAGTGATCTTATAAAAGATGAAAGACTTTTTGAACAAATCGAGCGCGATCTTACTGCAAAATTAGCAGATAAGAGAAAAGCTGAAGAAGGCGAGAGTGGAATGCTACAACCAGGTGAATGGGGTGCATATGACAACATAGATGACATTAAAAGTCTAATGAACTGGTGTCAACAAAAGGGTAATCGTGAATTAGCTTTGAGAAACTCCATTCAAAGATGGCTACCATGGTTGGAAAAGAGTATAAATCATCGTAAAGCTGAACTCAAAGCAACCAATGATAAAATGGAGGTAGATGGTCAAGACACGAAACCTTCATATATGACATGGAAAAATAAACGCATAAACTAAACAAAGCAGATGCAGTTGCAAATCCTTTTGAAGCAAATTTTGTAAATTTATAATTACTTGATCAATACACACCTTGCATGTATATAATATACTAATTTATGACAATATCTACTATGCAATTCCAGAAGGGTATACGCTAAATAAATTAGATTCTATTAACTAAAATCGTCGATGTTGTTGGGTGATCTAGGACTGAGTGTTTGTCTGAATGTTTGATTTCTGTTAAGTTGGGTCAAGTTGACAGTAGACAAACGAATGTGCTCTGCTGTATGGTTAATATACTAACATTAATCAACAGAAATACGCACCAAAATCGCTAGATCCTGATGGAGAAGAAAGCTCGTCACTGTGTTCTGCGTCGTGCTCTTCCTGCGTTTCTGGTATGGTACCACTAACAGATGTGAGTTCATCCTCAGGAGTATCATTATCAGTAATTTCGGTGCCGTTTTGCAAAGCTTCAGAATGTCAATCATCGACGGATAATTTGTAGCGTAATCTCACATTTTCCATAATGAATTTCAACCAGATCATCCAAATCTATCGCAGAAGTAGGATCACGGGGCAGTAGCAAATATGGTTCGAGGAGGTCGTAATAAAATGGACAATTGTAGCTCAAACTGAGAAAATTTCAGTTGAAATATTTCCAGAACATGGTCAACTTACCTCTCATCTGGCGCATCACTCGATGGTTTTTCAGGCATATGTTTACAAACCATCAAATCCTCTATTTCACCTTGCTCTTCACGATGCAAACCAACCTTTTGTATACGATTATTGGCACTACTAAATATCTGACCGATATGCAAAAATGGTTTGAACAACTCATGTGACTGTGCCGGTATCAGAATGATGTTATAGATAACAAAAATAAAGGAACCAACCTGATCATTCAACTTCTTCATAAATGAACCTCTTTGTCCACGGGAGGATTTCAAGGCATTAACGTGTTTGAGGTTCTCCATAGAAATTGTATTAGTCATAGTGAGGGGCTCATTAGATCCTTCCTCTTCGGTAGCAGCATCGATAACATCTTCCCATTCATCATGTTCCACTTCTTGTTCTTCTTCTCGTTCCTCCTCTTGCTCCCGCTCATGCTCATGTTTAAGTACCTGCTCATCATCCGCTGTAGATTTCCGCGCGAAAATTTCACGAGGTATCCTCTTCGAACTTGGTAAGAAGGGAAAGAATGTTCTTCGAATTCTAACAAAAGTCTCTCTCACTTCCTTCTTAAAATCACTGAGGAAACTCCTAAACGTAAAATGAGTAATGAGGAGAAAGTCCCTAATTCTAAATCCAAGAGTTTCTTTGTGCTTGACGAAATTTTTCGTTAGTGGTTGCGAATGGTACTTCTCTTCAATGTACTCCGCAAATCTCAATTCAAGAGTTGGCGAAGAATATATTTCCGTATAATTCAACGTTTCACCAGATTTCCACAATCCATCGAGGAACTCAATAGCATCAAAACGTGCCTTGATCTGACGAGTAATTAACAACTTTAAAATCAAACAGATAATAAAGAATACACCAATTATAATGGTATAAGTTCCTGAATGATTTTTACGTCCATCGTAATACCTAACAAGATGGAAAGCGAAGAAAGCGACTTGAGATACTGCCATGGCATCCATTCCATACCTAAAAACACGGACAGTTACCCATTTACCACCAGTATCGTACAAGCGCCTTGAATAAACGTGATATAATTGATTTCTATAGACGATATTTGCAGCAATGAAATAAATAAAAGTGAATGGAATAACGAGCGGATTAAAAACACCCATGACTAGCAATACGCTAATAACCAGTAACGTGTTAGAGCAAAATACATGATAATCAGGTGTTCTCGCTCTAGTTGCTTCCTTTCTTGCTCTTGGCGTCTTAGCAGAGAGTGTCTTAAATAAGAACATCAGCAATGGTAAACCAATCAAGGCCAATTGAACAAAATTTTGAATTGAAGTCTGAAGGATTGCCCAACTTGCAAAAAATGGTGCTGCTTGGGGAAAACTCAGGTAAATTCTATTAAGTATAGACAACCCAGAAGCCGATGTGAATGACTCAAGAATAAATCTAAAAGTAGCAGCACCTATGCAAAATGTAATTAAGACGTTCGTTATCATAAAAACCCAATACCTGTGAAATATCTGATCATGTAATCTATGAATAGTCAAATGAGGTTGAGCTTTCTTCCCTATACCAAACAATATGGCTGGCATCATAAGTGAAATGAAAGCTACGAGCAATGTAGGTACCAAAGTGGTAAATATTTCAGCTTGATGTTCATGTCTATCGAAATACGCACCAAGATCTGCATTAACGTCTCTCAACCTTTCAATACTAAAGAGAGAACTAAGTGCAGCCATAGGAATGATGTAAAACAAAATAAAACCCCATATAGCTACCTTAATTATCATTCCTCTAACTGTAGTAGTTGCCGACTTTGATGTTATGGCAACCTCCCAATCAATTTCACTGAAATAAGGTGCAGGTTTGACTATACAGGCGTTTGGACGTGCTGGATGACTTGACAATTTCTTGCATGTAACTCTAGCATCAGAAACCTTCTTGAACGTAACAAACGCAGTAGAAGTAGGTGGGAATATAGTTGGTGAATTCATTTGATATTCCTCAATTGAAGCCACGAGTAACCTAACTTTATTAGTCAAGTAATGTATTTCCGAAACTGTTGGATTATCACTCTTGGTCATTATAGTCTTTAAGATTGGCTTTACTCTAATCTTTGGTTGGAAAGGTTCAATAACTGAAACAGGAAGCGAAAAGATAACTTCCCAGATTGTTTTATTGTCCTGCATTGATGCTGGTGTATCAGGACAACGAATGAAAGCATCATTACGACGGAGAAGTTTATTAATTGTTGAACTCAATCCAAACGACAATTTCGTCGGTTGTTTTTCGAATTCGTAAACAAATGGCATTAGACTATTAATTAATATGTCATCTTTATCAAATTCTTCATCCTTTCTAAGACATTCTTCTATGTGTTTTCTGACGAATTTCAACAAATTTCTTGATAATTTCAGATAAGCAAGTTCAAGTCTTTTAGTTGCATCATCTAGTCGTTTTCGTAGCTGCACTAAGCGTTCAAATTTTCTAATAATTGATACATCTTCAATGTAATTCTCAGTAAGTTCTTCTAAGTTATCTGTATTGTTAATATCAGGAATACTGCCCTGGTCAACGCGTTCAAGGAGACTATTAAAGGACAAAATCGACGATCGTCTTGATAGATTAGTGGTCTTCTTCTTTTTGAATCTATTGAGATAAAACGCAAAATAAGAAGCGAGGACACGCTCATCGCGTAGACTATTAGGTATATTTGTAACTAAGACTGTGCGGGATTTCCAGGAATTGTCAACAGGACTAGTCGAAAATTCTGAACTTTTATATGCCATTCTTTCCCTTATTTTAATAGCACCATTAATATACCACAATAGAGCGATAATCCAAGTGATTGATGTCCATATGTGGAGTATAACATGTACGTATAATAACTCCCGACCATCTGAATTATCAATCAAATGTGTAAGTGAAGCAGTGTTCATACTGCTATCTGTTGGTGTTGATGTGAAGTGAAAGTGAATAGGTAGTAATATTGGTACTACTGTGATAGTCTGCGATAAAGTAAAACAAACTAAATAAAGTTGATAAGAAGGGTGTCTTTTGATACTTGACGTAATCTACTTACGACAAACTTTCAACCAATGGAGGTATACAGAGGCATCACCACCGAGCATATCAGTTATTTGTGATTGCTTCAATTTCAAAACCTGCCAAATCCACTGTAAAGGCCATCCTGGATGTCGATCTGAAGCTGGATCTACGAAGCATCTAAAGTAATAGAGACTTTATTAATTAGATATTGTATAAAATTAAACATATTAACTCACTATCCAAAAATATATCGCTCTTTTCTAAACTCGTTTGTCTGCGGATATGATGGTAAATTTCGCCTTTTCAATCTTCTTATAGATTCGAATAGAATGATTGAGGATCCACCTATACCTAAAGAAACATATAATTGAGTTAGGAGACTGCTATATTTGTCATCGCAACGGGCATCGCAATCAGCCATGGGCGTTATTTACATTCCTAATTAGGCGACTTAAACATTCACTTAAAATTTAACAGGAATGTATATATATATACTATAAAGGTTGTATAACAAAAAGTTCAGTTTATGAAAACAAAGGTGTAAGATTGTACTTTTGATTAATGGAGGTCCCTATATTAAAGTGCAAATTGAATGATTTGTACATCGTTAGATCAGGTTGATTGAAATTGCTAATGTTGCAATAATCGCTAATGAAATTGAGTGTCTAATAGATTTTGCTGATGATTGATCGGTACCGACTTCATATGGTTTGGTCTTGTTAGCCGAGGTTTCAATGTATGCTTCAGTTTGTGGTTTTTGCAAGCAATCAATTACACTCAATAAGTTCAACTTTGGTGAACGATTAACAGCATCTGGGAGGACGTAAGCAACGGCTAATTCAACTGATTGTTGGTATAAATCGTGTTGAAGAACAATGAAACCATTGTCAATGTCTTTTGCAGAGTTCAAAATCTTCTCGAAAGTTTCTTTGGACTTGGTTGTTGAAACGGAACCACCAGCAATTTTCCAGTCATTGGTGTCGAAAGTGAAATCTTTACCGCCAACTTCAGCAGCGGTCCAAATAATTGGTGTTAAATCCATCTGACGACAAATTTCACGAACACGATTATCGATATCACCAAAAGGTGGACGCATCTGTTGCTAATGAGAAAGTGAAACAAAAAAAATTAAGAACCCACGGTGTTTGGAGTTAAACCAGTAACTTCTTGAATAATTTTCTTGGTCCATCCAAGTTCGGCAACCAATTCTTCATTTGTGAGAGTGGTTAGGTATGGGTGAGACCAAGTATGAACAGACAATTGGTGACCAAGAACGAGTTCAGCGCGAAGCATATCTGGACGAGAGACTGCTCTTGAACCAACGATGAAAAAAGTGGAGGTGATTTGTTGTTGGGCGAGATAGTTGAGAAGAGTTGTGGTGTATGGAGAAGGACCATCATCGTAAGATAAACCCCAATCGTACTTGTTTGGACATTGAGTAATGTCATCTTCAGCAGTACAACCACCGCAAGTCCACCAACAACGCTTATCTTCTCCAGCTTCATTATGTGCATCCTCGTTATCAGAGCACATTTCGTCTGTGTTTTCAGTTCTTGACCAACCCGGAACCTTTTCCCAATCAATAGCAGAAATCCATTCTTGTACCAAAGGATGATCGACGGGTGGAGTTTTATCCATTTCAGGGTATTCGGAAACTGAAGGACTTGAAGAAGGCATAGCAGGTGCGCCAGAGAAGGGAACTTGACCTGGTGAAGCAGTAGTTGGCATTGTCATAGTTTTACCGGATAAGTTTTGACCAGGAAGGATGGAACTAAGTGGTATATCTGAAGAATTAGGGATGTGGTCGAAAGTACCACCAGTGCCTGTTGAACCTTGAGGGATAGATGAAGATGATGATGAAGAGGATGGAGAATTAGTTGAACTGCTGCTACTGGTATCCTGTCTGTTGTGTAAAACATGACGGTGATTACGTTGGTGATGGCCAGCTAATGCTATCGTAGCTAGATTTAGAAAGTAAACGAACTTCATCTTGGTATAGCAAGAAAAGAATCCTGAACGCGCCAGATATTGAATCGAGTATTCCGGGAATGTTAACTTGAATAAAAAATCAAAGAAAAATAAAAAATGTAGATAAATAAAATACTAACTATCAAAAATGATGATAATATTAATAGATTATTGATATAATAAAAAATCAATAAAAATAAAAAATTTAAAATGATTATCATATAGAGGTAGATGATATCTGTCATTGGAGGTAGTGAAGAGATGACCGAATATGAGAAGAATGGATATTCGATTATAAAGAAAATATTTCAAGATTACGCTTCAGAGGAGATTAGTTTGAGTTTTAATGGTGGAAAGGATTGCACAGTTATCGCTTATATGATAAAGAAAGTGAAAGAAGAACTCGGTATAAGAACAGCGACGAAGAGTTTATACATAAAATGTAGATCACCTTTTAAAGAAGTAGATAATTTTGTAGATTCATCTGCAAAGTATTTTAATTTGGATATAGAAACAAAGGAACTATCGATGAAACAATCCCTAGAGGAGTTTATCAATCAAAATAAAAAGATAAAAGTAATAATTATTGGCACTCGTGAGAGTGATCCTAATGGGACTAACCTAGAAATCTATTCACCTACAGACAAGGATTGGCCTTGCATTCTGCGTGTTCACCCTATACTCCATTGGAATTATCATCAAATTTGGGAATTCATATTGAAGGAGAATATACCATACTGCAACCTATACGATATCGGATACACGTCCTTAGGATCTACGTTCAACACACATCAAAATCCCCAGTTGTACGATGAGGAGAGGAAGGAGTATAGACGAGCACATGAGCTCATAGAGGCAAAGGATGAGAGATCGGGAAGATACAGCTGACGATTGTAGAGAAACGAACCATTGCATTCATTTATTTATACACACAAATTCGAAAGTTTAGAACTAAAACAATTGTTAGAAAGTCTGAATAGATATGGCTATACTCACTCTGAGTGCGTGGAAGAACCATCTGTTCTTACCAGATTGGTAACGCTCTTCGAACAACTTCTTGATTTGCTTCTTTGCGTCTTCACGTTGGGTTGGTTCTTTGAAAGTTTCTTGGGAGATGATACCCTTCAAACCTTCCAATTCGAGTGCATAACGGGTTGGCATCAAGTGGTTGTAGTTGATGCTCTTAATGAATGGCTTGACCTTTGAGCGGCGTTGGATGAGCTTAGCACCCATTTGCTTGTGGACCTTCAATGGGTAACGCTCAACACCAGCGACAAGGCAATGGCCGTATGGACGCTCCTTTGTGCCCTCGTCGAATTGCTTAATGACGACGACCTTCTTACCTGCGTATCTACCACTCAATACGACGCAAACCTTGCCTGACTTGAAGATCTTTGGCATTTCTTTTTTCGTGACCGACGAGCGTCAAAGGACAACTTCAAATCTTCTCACTAGAGGCGTCGAATAATTAAAAAAATTTATAATTTATAAATTATTTATTTATTTATTTAGACTATTACTATTCAATATTTATTATACAATAACCACCCGTCTCCTTTTCTTCCTCGACTGCCCTCGTTAATATCAACTTCTAGGCAACTTCTAAGCAACATATTCCAACATATTCCTGTTCCCTTCCACCCTCTCAGCGTAGTCCTTCTCTATCAAACCCTCTATTGTTTGTTTGATCTGGCGTGTCAACCCGGTCTCATTCTCGAGCGTCATCCTCTTCGCAATATCACCAATAACTTCGTGTATTAATTCATTCACGTTTATTCTTTTCTTTGCTTTGAGTATTCTAACAGCAGATGCTTGTAATGCGAATACTCTTGCTGACTCTACCTCAGCCGTCGTCTCCTTCGATTCTTCAACCTGGAAATGTTATTAGTGGTATTTCTTTTTTAGAATCAAACCTTACATCTACTTCGGCTGTTATTATTGGTAGCCTAAACCTCTTTCTTGGATGGTCGATTATCTTAGAAGCAACGAAATTATCAGTTGGTTCAATGTCTTTCTTAGTCGCACCTCCGTCCTTCTTTTTATACCTCTGTAGTAGTTTCGTTTTACCAAATGCCAAAGATTGTAACATTCTCTTCAACTCCCCATCAGCTGCGCTGTTTAAGCTAAAATTTAATCATTCAAATAAGAAACTCACGTAATCCAGTACTCTGCTGTATCTCCTCGTAACTAACCTTCTCATTATCTTCTTTCTCATTGAACACCATTAATATGAGTGAAGCAGGTAGCGGCATTATAATCTCTTTGTTCGTGTACTCCCCATTTGGCGTTTCGAATTCGCTCGACAAGGTAACCTCACCGAGGGAGTGATTCCAGGTAAGGCAGCGTTTAGCGTGAACGCCTTCGTAATATTTCGTAAATTCTACAAGTTCCTCTGTCATCTTGGGTTTGCCAGTTAGATGAAAGACACAGAAAGCAGTAAACTCACCCATTGCGGTAAAACGATATTTCCTTGTGATAAATTAGCCTGTTTCGCAATCTCAGATGCATCTTTATCAGCCAGATCCTTCAATTTCAATGACAAATGCTGTCCTTTGAAAGGCCATCTGGCAGCTTGCACGATGTTGGCTTTCTGCAATCGACACTCAGATGTTTGTTGCTCTCTAAATTTGTTAGAAAGCTCTTCTGATATCTCGACGTCTTTCATCATTTCTTCCCAGCTGATGAATTGTTAGAAAAGAAACACGCGATCTACACACTCACTTCTGCGTGAAATCATTTCCAGCTACTTTCGTTATCCTCGATATCAAATTCCTTTCATTGTCATTAGATGCCGTCGTGCTCTTGACCAAACGCCTAGCCAAAGCAAGTGTATAGAAAGCTGAAAACATATCCTTATCTTTGACAATACGGAATAGTTCTACAGCACCATCGACAAGTTTGTCCATATTATCACCTTGACCTCGCTTATCTTTGAGTAAGTTATCGAGGAATTTTGCTATCATTTCAGCTGGTTTGTTAGCTCTAAATTGTAATCCTCTATCGAATGACTCTTTATATAACGAATAACTTGCAGTAAGTGATTTAGTTTGGTAAACTTCTTTATAGAATTTATTTAGCTCTCTTAATGTACCTATGAGAGTAATGATAAGATATTGATCGTTCTCTTCATCTGAAACAAATGTCTTTATAACATTGTAGATTCTTTCAAGAAGAACCCTATCTAATTCTTCCTTATAATCCGTTCTACTTGCTATATCATGTAAACTCTTCATTGTTCCTGTATCTGGATAGGTAGTAGATGGGATTTCGTCATAATTGAATACATTTCTACTAGCACTGGATTTCGTCCAAGTGTAAGGGATAATATCATCAACGCCCTTTTTAACAATCTCTTCGAATGTTAAACTGAGGTAATTCTTTGCTATAAATTCAAAATTATCCCAACTGAAATTACTATCAATAGACTTGCTAATGGTGTCCTCATAGAGGCGATGTTGGCATATCTTCCCAATAATTTTGTTAACATGTGTGTCATTTTTGATAGCATGGTGACATATATCACGTATAACCACCTCCATAGTATCCAAATATACAGAAGTAATGGTGTCGACTTCCCAGTCCAAGTTCTTCGCAATTCGGAATAATTCACGAACTTGATTAACTTCATTACAATTAATAGAACTTTCAATAATCTCCGAGATAGCCACCTCATTATCTTCCTTGAGAGTGTGTAACGGTTCACGAACTTTTCCAAGACAAGTACTCAAATCAGTCAATAAGATCTGGCGAACTTCTCCATTACTGAGTATGATATCTTTAAAAAGTCGTTCTATTGAATCCTTAAGGCTATCAACTGTAGCCTGTTTAGCTGCGTAGAGTCTATCTAAATCAGCGAAGACGTATCTAATAATCCTCTAGAATGATGATTAGAGAAATACACGATAGAATATGAACATACCATCCAATTGTCTACTTTATTCCAAATATCGACAACATTCTTAATGAAATGACCGCGTTCATAATTGAATGACTTCGGTGACAAGACTGCAAGGCCTCTACGTATTTCCCTCTGAATGGAAGTATACAATTCACTAGATTTATCATAAATCCTCACTAAATCTCTGACGTTTGCTTGCAACGTATGAATCTTTACGCCATCGTTTATCGTCCCATCAATGAGATTACCAAGGAAATAAGCTAAATTTCTATAACAATTTACTTGATGTGATTGCGGAGTCTTAAAATTATTAACATCCAGAGCATTCAAACGTAAAGTCAAGGACGTAGATCTTTCAAAGTTATCGGATAACTTCTGCTTTTTAGAAGGTGGCGTATTTCTATCAAAACTGTCTAGTTTGTTATGTCCTAAATTGAAGTTATTTATTTTCGTAAACTCCATTTCGTCGTTATGTCGTAAACAAGATTCACATGATAATGTGTTTATGATGCCATAAGTAAAAATCTATTTTTGCAAGCGATTTTGCTACAATAAAAAAGAGTATTTGAGAAAGAAAAACGAAAGGTTGGTAATTAAAAATTTATAAATGTGTTCCGCGTAATCTGGAAACTTTCTCTTACTTCTTTCCTTGTGTCTTGAATAAAACAAGACCACCCAAGGCGATAGAGTAACCGAATAATTGAAGTGCAGTTGGGTAACCACCGAAGATGATAGCTGAACCAGCAATCAATAATAAATCTTTACCAATACCTGCGAGTGTTAAAACTAAGGATGATGCTGCGCCAATGAGGAAAACAGCAGCGACGTTTAATCCGAATGCAACAGCTGCGTTTGTTGCTAAAACGAATACGCCTAAGTCCTTGAGTTGGAGGAAAGGTGCCCATCCTTCTGTGAATGGTAAAATACATGCGTTGATGATTGCGCAAACTGGCGCGAAGAAGTACATTGAAGTCAATGGGCTCATCTTTAAGTTAGTTAAAATGAGTTGAATCATAACAAGTCTTGAGGCTTCTAATAAGATAGCAATGACTTGTACAGTGAAACCTGTTGTGTCCCAGAAAACTTCACCGAATGAAGCGACACAAACACCTGTTGAGATTAAACTGACAATACCGAAAGTCTTCTTATCCATTGAGCTCAAACCGAATGCAGATGAGACAACTAAAATCGCGACTGGAGTGAAGGCTTTTAACATTTGAATGAATGAAACTGATAAGTATAAATAAGCCATGTTTGAGAAAATGAGTGAGCCTGAGAAGAAAACACCAATTGGCAGAATTCTTTTTACCCAGGTATCGCGTGTCATATTGACATCCTTAAGGTCAGGGAGCAAGTTTGTGAATCTAGCTAAAACACGTGTACCGATAGTTGAGACTGTTAAATGAAATGTTACTAGGAAGATTGGATATTCAAATTTGAAAGAGGACAAAATTGCCTAGAGAAGAATCCACAGTTAGTTATGACGTAAAACTGCGGAATTCAATCGGACTAACCTTGTTGTAAAGAATGCTAGGGGTATTTAGTTAGTAAAGTAAGCGGTTAATGAGAGTGTATCTTACACGCTCTACAGTTCGTCAGTTGGTTTGTTAAATTCTAAAAATATCAACTTACAGAGGACAATGCGATCCAAATTGGGCTAAAAGAGGAGTATATTAGATACGCTTAGCTATGGAGACAATCTACTCACATAATTACATATGGTGAGAGCTTTGGCTTGTGTGAATTCGTTGGTTGAGGAGCTGGTGGTGGACTGCTTCTACGCTCAGATTCCAAAGTTTTTATCTCAATTTGATCTTGGTTTGAACTCATAGCGGCTGCTATTATTTATTTATTATTTCTTGATCGTCGACTGAGAAGAGCTGTGAAACCTGCCTGGGAAACTGATTGCTTTACTGCGGAGAAAATTAAAAATAACGGCGAGAATAAATTATTAGTAGCTTTGTCTTGTGGAGCTATGTGTGATATTTCGTATACCCACCTTAGCTTTATTTTTATATTTCGCTATTTTTATTATTACATCCGCAATACAAACTGCACATCTTCCGGGTGTTTTATATTCTAAAACAAACAAAATACATAAAATTTAAATATCTTTAACCATGTACACACCATCGAGCTTATATCCTAAGCGTCTGTAATAGTCTCTGGTTCCAACACCAGAAATGACGGCTAATCGATGGCTACCGTGCTCTTCCTTGGCAATTCTCGCAGCTTCTTCCATCAAGAGTGTACCAAAACCCTGTAATTGTTAGTAACTTTTCCTTATTATTAAGATATACCCACTTGATGTTGGAATTTGGTTGGATCACGACCATGAACAGGGATGGCTGTACCATATACGTGCAATTCTCTCTAAGGAAACGTTACAAAGCACCTTACCAATGTGTTTTACTTACAACCATGGATGCATAGCGTGTTTCTCCAGTCTCTTCATTAGTATCTATCAACTCCTTCCTAAATGTACCCTCCTCTGAACACTTTCGCAATCTCAACAAACCAACGAGAATATCCTTCTCTGGGTCTTCGTACGAAAGGAATGTCTCCCAACCACCATTAGCGGTATAATCTCTTCTTATCAATTCAACCTCTGATGGTCTGACTTTATGATGAATCTCGTGAATACCAACCTCTCTATAACGGACATCACGACACTCAGTACCGAAATCCTTCATTCTTGCTAAAGCCATTTCACGGAGGTTACCATTTTCAACACCTGATGAAACGAGTGGCATTGGAATATCACGTTGAACACGATAAACTCTCGTCCAAGGTGGAACGAGCGCTAATATACGTGCAACTATATCAACTAATGCGTTTGGTGTGTAGTTCTTATATTTTCCTGTTCTCCAAAGTTCGTACAAACCAGTACCACGAATGACGAGTGTTGGATAAATCTTCAGACCATCCGAACGGAAAGCTGGGTTTTCAAAATACTCCTTGAATTGTTCTAAATCGCGTTCAACACCGACGTTAGGAAGATCAGGCATCATGTGGGCGACAACTTTGTAACCAGCATCCTTAGCCAAATGGAAACTTTCAGATACTGCACGAACTCTAAGTTGGGTGAGAAGTTGTAATTAATTTCAGATAATTATACTCACGTATGTCCACGGTTGGTGTCCCTCGCGACATCCTCATAAACTGATTGAACACCAATCTCAAGACGAGTACAACCATATCTAAGCATCTGACTCAAGTGCGGTTTCAAACAATAGTCAGGTCTCGTTTCGATTGTGATACCAACACATTTAGTGTTTGCTCTCTCAGAGTATAAAACGGCCTCATCAATATCTGTACCTGTGTAACCACTGAGAGCATTGTGCATCTGTGCGACGAATTTATTCCTGTAGTCTTCAGGCATAGACATGAAGGTACCACCCATAATGATATATTCGACTTTGTCAACGCTGTGGCCAAGCATTTTGAGTTGTTCAACACGACCTCTGGATTGTTCATATGGGTCATAACGAGCTCTAATAGCTCTCATACTCGTAGGCTAAGTCTTGTTAACAAATTTTCACAACTAAGAAGGCATTTACCTCATAACCAGTGTAGGACTAAAACAAGTTAGACACATCTAGTATAGCTGATAAAATACCTACTTGAGTACTATATTCGAAGTCTGAGTCTGGACCACCAGGACAATAGACACAAACGTTTCCGGTCATAGCGATATGAGGACATCTGTGTGGCTTGCACATGAGCGCTACGACGGCGATCTGATATCATAAGAGAGGTATAGCAATTTTTGCTCTACTTACACCTGAAGCTGATCTGATTGGCCTGGCTTTCAACATTGGCAGAAGTGTCTTCTTATGCTCGTCAGGTATGGCAGCGATAATGTCTACGAGTTTTGGTACACCGGATATTTTGTGCTTCTTGCATTGCTTTATTCTAATATCGTTTAGACTGACAGATTGACCCTTCTCTTGTGCTTGCACAAGTTCAGAGACGATAGCTTGGGATACAAGCAGCATCTGGGATGCTTGTGATGGACCTTCAAAAAGTCAGCATTCTTTTTATCGCTTTTATTGCTATCTTACCATCAGTTTCATTGAGCGAACTTAAAACCATGATGGTTGTTAAAGATAAGCTTTGGTTTTCTGGAGTGGCTAGACAAAAGAAAATATTATAATCTAGTGTATAGACAACTATCCACACTCCTCATCATTTGTCACAATATCTGTCTTCTCAAATCTGATAAACATATAACAAAATAATTAAACAAAATTAATACTTCTACAAATGTGAATAATGACTTTTCTACCATCTAGTTTATTGTCAGTTTTGTCAAAAAGCTTTATATCTTACTCACGCAATGTACTCTCCATACATGTTCGGGCGCTCACCTCGAATGTAGGCTTCAAATGTACGTTTTATTATCGTTGACCAGCTCAAATCATGCTCTTCATTTGATACTGAATCCTCCATTTCGATCGTCTTGTCTTTATCGGCTGCAAAGGCATGATGCAATTCATCCTGCTTTCCAGATGGATTCTTTGGTCCTGGGTTTACTGGTGCTGCAGCTGCAGCCGCACCTTTTCTCAAAGCATCACGTGCTATTTCCTCTCCAGATGAAAATCTTTCTCCAAGATCTGGGAAATTCCGCGATGGATCAAATGGAAGCCACCAATGATTGTGGAAGTGATAAGAAAATGCACCCTATTCGTCGTTAAAACAATACTATAGAAATAAGCTATTCCACTCACTCTATAAAATGAATCAAATCCAACTGCGGATGGTGCTGCAGACTCCTCAACAGGTGCCTCAAATAGATACCTGAATCTAATAATTGTTAGGCTAAGTAAATATTTTTGATGTCAACTCACTCCTTAAAGAATGGGAATGGTGGTCTATCCATTTGGAAGTCTTCGGTGTTAAGCCAAGCAGAATCAAAAAGTGCATCTGGCAATCTTAAAAGTAGACTATCAAGTTCCGCATCTTTCGTGTATTTGCTGATAGTCATTGGGTGGAAATCGAAACCATTTGCTAAAGCAGTCTTGAATAAGAAACTACCAAGGGCAGAATTCTTATGCATTTTGAACACGGCCGTGTTATAAGTTTCTAATCTAGACCATCTGTATGCGAATGATCCATTCCATCCCCAGATTTCCTCCCAATCTCTTAAAAAGAGAGTGTCAGCGTCAATATAAACGCCACCAAATCGATGGGTCAAGATGAATCTAGCCATATCCGATAGAACAACAGTTAAGCGATCATAATTTGCATCAGATGATGATCCAACTCTGCTCATCATAGAGTCATCATCTTCATCCTCCTCCTCATCAACATCAGTTTGTTCATCTTCTGAAGTATTTTGATTATTTTCTATCTTTTCTGCGGCAGCTTGAGCAGCTTCATCTTCTTCAGACTCACGGCTGATTCTCTGATCTTCAGCAGCTTCATCCTTTGATTGAGATGGCTTCTCTTGCTTTTTTGGACTACCGTAACGAACACCACCAGAGTTGAAAAGCTCATGATCTCTCCAGAAAGGTGCTAATTCAGGTACACCGTCAAGTTGTTCAGTCGTATTCCACATCTTGAATTTGATAGAGTCACGGAAACGATCATGCAAGAATGGTGAACTCCAAGGGTTGGCTGTCAAAGATTCGAACATTTTCTTAACTGCGTTCTTATTTGGAATTGAAGCTGCAGGACCAGGGTTGATCCAAACCCATAATTGCGGTTTGCAAGCTTCTGGTTGAGTTTGGTTGTTACCTTCTTTAACATGTAAACCTAAATTCTGAGTGTAAAGGAATGACATAAGTGCGAGATAAGGTTTATCGGTGAAAGGACCAGCCCAAAACATGTGGAAAATTCTAGGATTATCTGGATCACAAGCTTTGTTGTCATCTGTCAATTGAGGAAGTTCAGTGAGATTTTGTTCGGGTGGTGTTGAAGTTGTGTAATGATGCATCCAATTGTTGAGTTTACCTCTGTGGACATGGTTTCCAACATCCAAGCCAGCACCGACGGAGAGAATATCGAGACAATCTCTTACGTATTTGTCAGTAGAGAAATCGCAATGCTCCATTACGACATCTAAGTCTATGGTTGAGTATGGGATTGGACGAGGTGGGTAGGCTGATCCGTGGCTGTCACGATGATAATAATAGCGTTCAGGACCTAAAGGAACAATAGTATCGTTGAGCGGATAAGGAGAATTCGTGGTATCGGAAGGTGAAACAATCTGTGACTGAACGACTGGTGCTAAATATTGGAAAGGTGGTAATGCTGGATTTTCAATGTACTCGTCAAATTGAAGCTTGCCAGGCAATTTCCTGCTGGATGGATAGTGACCAGCGTTTATTTCATCTAACCATATCTGCCTGAGCTCATCCTTTGAAAACTGTAATGAGGTTGGTTCTTGGAAAGGTGAAGGGATTTCAATCTGATGGTCCTGTGCAACCTTTTGTAAAAAGCTGATGAAGATAAATGTTGCTGCGAATGCGATAATGACTAGAACGAATAAGACTCTAAACTTCGACTGAAAAACACGGTCAGATCGCCTTGAACGGGTGGACATATGCTGAGCGTTTGGCTCTTCTTCAAAGAACTCTAATATTCTCGGGACTGGAACAGAAACAGAACGATGACTGAATGGTATACGGAGAACATAAGTAGTGAAATATTTGCTCTTGTTCCTTGATTCTAGCAGCCTTTTCTCCAATACTGCACTAGGACCAGCATCTAAAGGTAGGAGAGACGGTTTCATAGCGATCCTAGGCTTTTTTTATTTGACGATGGAAGTCGAAGATTAACCAGCGGCTGCGGAGAAGTACGATGTTCTAGAGCTAGCGAGTGAATAATATAAATATTAGCTAATATATTGTTACCTACTCTTTATTTGCTATAAATTAGCTTACAGTTTGCGAATCCAGCCTCTAAACTGGTTATAATTGGTAGGTATGCTCAATAGGAATGTTAGCGCTAAAACAGGGCGGTCTGTAGAATTTTATAGAAGAATACACGATTTATTTCATTAAATTTTATTTATTTTGGCTTTTATACTCCATTTGATCTGGCACTCGTGAGTTTTATATTCTCGGAGTCTTAGATTCCATCCTTGTATTTTGTCTGATAGTGTGTTGTAATATACAATATATAGCAACAAATACACTAGCATATATACACCCACCTACCTCTCACTTTTACTATCACTATCTAATGGATCGCATCGAACGAAGATCACTCATAGACGTCGTAGATAACAGTATCATTGATTTAGCAGACAAGTACTGTAGGACTGTAAGAAAAGCCACAAAACCGGGCGCTTCTCACGAGTTGAGAGCTGGTACAACATCAATTCCCTGGATATGCACAATGTTAGCGGCTGAAAAGTGAGTAAATATCACTACTTATATAGAAATCTCAACATACACACTCAGCCTGGGTCTTCTTAGTCAATTTGATGAAACAGTCGCGTTATCAAGATCAGCAACACGGCCGAAAGATTTCAAAATGGTTGTAGAAACCTGTAGAAAGATCTTAACGATAGAGGAGGACAAAAGTGAAGAGAAAGCAATTGCCAAAATTGAGATCACACCGGATGAACTTGTATTAGAATACGAACTTCCTAGATCACGTATAGACGATTGCAAACAGCTCCTTAAACTATTCTATGCAGCTGTGGAGGTTGAAAAACAGCAAATATATGTCGATAACGTGAAAGGACAGTACAAAAATGAGGTACTTAGCGCTGTATTTTGGTCTATGGGCGCATCGCTTAATGTGAGATTTTTACTAAAAATATAACGCGATTTAACATTATTTAGGTACACGATTTGCCTACACGTAATCAGTTTATTTCTGATTGGCAACTTACCCGTCCATTTCACAAATACGCAGAAGATGTTGATTATTATCTTAAGGAGGATCTTGATTCACTTAGAAAGACAGGAGAACTCCAGCGAAAATCATCACCTAAGCGTGAACTCGGTCTTGAGCAATCGCTCACCACGAATACGAAGAGAAGGCGTACTGCGGCTGAGCAGGCTGATATCAAAAGACAACCAACTCAGACGACAACGAGGAACCAACAGAACAGAACTCGCACGAATGATGCACTGCAAGATCTTCAATCACGTAGAATAATACCACAGAAGGCTAAGGATGTTAATACTACACCACAGAAGCCAGCCACTAAAAGTGCAGAAGCGAAGCAAACACCACGCAGAGCGGTTGCGCGTGCGATGAGACAACAGCGACTTGAAACTGTCAAAGAAAACAATGACAATGATGAAGACCAAGAGGATGATAGTCTTTTCATAAACCGCTGGTGTTTCACTGACACATTCAGGTCTTCATACCAAGATTCGCGTTGGGATAGATTCTTAGACGTTCGAAGTAGCTTAGTTGATAAGATAGCCTAACTAAACCCATTATACCATCTTCTAATTTAAATTATTCGAATGCATCCATCAGTTTACTTTCTGTTCAGACTGTGTACACATCTATATACACCTGCGTAGATGTAGGATATATTGATAAATTACACATGTGCTATATCATTACGATCATAAGAAGTAGCTAACCTGGAATGTTTGTAAGCGAAAACTGTATCAAAATACTTCATTTTACACACCTCCCGAGCTTCCTGATTTTGTATTTGCAACGGACCATCTCTATTGGATTGTTTTAGTAGAGTGACATTGTAATGTAGCAACCCACCTCTCATTTTCCGGTGCAGCCTCGAAAACATTGAAATGCCTCTGGCCATTCGGTCCAACCTCGAGTATACTCGCATTGTTACCACATCTATAACAATAATTTGGTGCACTCCATACCGTGCTGAGCTCATCGTCGAATAACACACTATAACCTTCCATACAGAGTTGGTGAGCTCTCAGTATGTGCTGCATATCGTTCATTTGCAAGAACTTTTTAACTACCTGTGATCCAAACGTGTATCCTGCTCCTCTGGCGGGGTGTCAGGTCGGAGGGATGAAAGAAATAATGGAAAATCACATACCGTGGAGATATCGCAAACTCCTCTTTACCAGGGTCAGGATCAGACCAGACCAAGTCAGCCATCGGTCCTTCATGGGGTATCTCTAAAGTAAGTTGTTTAGTGATGTCTAATGACATAGTGCATACCAACCTCTAAACCTGTCTATGATCTTGATCTGGTCGAGCGTGTGTATAGAAGGGGATAAACCTTGCATATTTAGTCAGATCACGGTTGATATCACGCAAACCTACCTCCATGCACACAGAAAATGCGATTATCGATGACGACGCTCAGCGTCAGGTAATCGAACATATCAGTGAAAGCTGTCCATACGGTAGGTGAGCCGTATTTCTTGAGACACTCCACATAGAATCCATAGGTCTGCAATACAGTCAGCTAAGTCTTCTCAAATGTGAGTACGAACTTGTGTAACAGCTCTCGATTCGTGATTACCTCTAATAAGCTGTACACGTTCTGGATATCGCAGCTTTAGGCACGTAAGGAGAGAGATAGTCTCTACGCTGAACAAACCCCGGTCAACATAATCGCCGAGGAAGAGATAATTCGTATGGGGACTGTATCCACCTATTCTCATGAGTTCAATGAGATCATAGAATTGACTGTATAGTACATATGAGCTCGTTTCCCCATTCGCTAGATGCACTCACCCATGAATATCGCCGACGACAGTCACAGGGGCAGAAATATGTACTACGTTCGATTCCCGCATTAAGACTTGTTTTGTACGTTCGCATATTTCCTTTATTAGTGCTTCACCCAGTAATTGCTTCTTCAGCAGCTGTTCGATACAGACATCGAGATCTAAATTGGGCTTTAAGATAGTATTAGATATTGTATTAGATAGTTATTAGTAAATTACCATAATCTAATATCCCAAATTTTTAGTTTGACAGTTCTTGCTTGTTAATAACAAACCACAGTCACGCCAGAATGGAAGGAATACGCGACGAGGACGCTTATCTCAGCCTTATTAAGAATGTATTGCAGTATGGTAACAGACGCGGTGATAGGACAGGTACGGGTACTATATCCCTTTTCGCACCACAGAACATGCGTTTCACGTTATCTGACAACACGCTACCATTGTTGACGACAAAGAGAGTATTCTGGAGAGGTGTAGCAGAGGAACTTCTCTGGTTTATTAGTGGCAGCACAGACGCGAAACAGTTGAGCGATAAGGGCGTAAAGATCTGGGATGGGAATGGCAGTAGAGAATTCCTCAATAAATTAGGTTTCACTGATAGAGACGAAGGTGACCTTGGACCCGTGTATGGTTTCCAATGGAGACACTTTGGCGCAGAGTACAAAGGACCATCTCACAATTACGCGTCTGAGGGCGTAGATCAGCTCCAGCAAGTTATAGACACGATCAAGAACAATCCATACGACAGGAGGATCATTCTTAGCGCTTGGAACCCTCTCGCTATCCCTCAGATGGCTTTACCTCCGTGTCACGTCCTTGCTCAATTCTATGTCACTGATCCAGACAATGAAGGCGACAAGAAGAGATTATCTTGTCTTTTATACCAACGTTCAGCCGATCTTGGTCTTGGCATACCCTTCAACATCGCTTCATACGCCTTACTCACCCATATGATAGCCCATGTAACTAACACCGAAGCTTATGAGCTTGTCATACAACTTGGTGATGCACATGTGTACTCTAACCATGTCGATGCGCTCAAGGAACAACTAGAGAGATCACCACGCTCACTCCCTAAACTCCACTTCAAGAGGGATATTGACAACATAGATGGATTCACCTACGATGATTTCTCTGTTGAAGGTTATGACCCACATCCAAAGATCGCAGTGAGTTAGACATTATCTGAAATTCTCTGCTGATTTGTCACCTTAGATGCAAATGGCAGTTTAAACACAATCGAGCATACCAAATTCATGTAAAACAACAATTCATATTAATAGCGTACAATTATACTTCCTTTTTGGTACTATTGTACATAATTTGTACAGATAGTAAGAAAATCGAGTGTTTGTTACATTGATGATGAATAAGCGGGGTTATATACCAAGAAGTAGAAAACAATTGTCCAAGTAAATGGCAATTAGTAAATATCATTGAGTCATAAGTTATGCAAGGCTTGAAATTTGTGTAAAATACGCAAAATTATACTAAACCAACTGAGACAACAGCTCTAAGCGAGTTCAAAACACCAAGCTGTTCACTAGGCCCAACATTATGATTAGCCAAATATTCTGATGATCTTTGTACAGATGATTTCCATCCCCACGATTGAGAAGTTGTGAAATTGTCAGGTGCGCTGCTAAACTTTGTAAAGGCTGTTCCATTTCCAGATGAACATTGTACGGCAAAGAACGCGCGCATAGTCTTTCTTGTATCTTTATATGGGGCAAATGGAACATTTTGACTACCTGAGTGTTTGCCAGGACCAACTTTAGCTGTGTCACTGGGTGGTGATTGTGGTGCTGGTTGATTGTTCGAGTTTGAACCTTGAGAATCATCGCTGCCTGCACTATTAACTCTCAAAATGGTGTCCATAGTTGATGCTGGCGATAATGGAACAGCAGAGCTAGTATTATTGTTGTTCAAGAGTGGTGAAACGACATTACCACTACTATTTGCAGCGTTTGGTGGTGATGAAGCATAGGGGAGTGGTTCATCCATGGATTGACGGTGGACGTATATACCCAGCTGATTACCATGTTTGTGCTTTTGCTCGTTGATTTGAATGTAAGTATTGATGAAACTACCTGCATAGAATACAGCATGCGAGAACTTCTTCTCACGTGGTTCAAGTTCCGATTTAATCCAGTATTCGACTGAGAACCTAAGGGGTTCGATAAGTGTCCATCTGTCCTCTTTCGCACGTTTAGCTGTTGGAGATGAACTTGCGATCGAGATAGTATCTCCAACGTCGGTTGTTGGACTGTGATCAGCTTCAATTAGCTTTGATATCTCAAGGCCAGTCTTATGTGACTTCTGAACACCAAATAATTGTGCTTCAGTATGTGGTCGACGATGAGAACTCGACGAAACGCCCACCAATGGATCATGGGTTGAACCAGCTAAGCCAGAAGCGTCGTCTTCGTTCTGGCGATGGCCTGTAGGTGGTGACACGAATTTATTCAAGTCGTCATCAGAGTGGTACATAGATGTGGCCTGATTTGAGTGAGCCATAATACTATTGAAGTAAATCTTACTCACATCACCAAGTCGTTCCGTACTATCTTTGCCCACTGGGAAGAAGCGCTTCTCAGACCATGCTTTTCCATCTTTGCTACGAAGCTTTTCACGTATTTCCCAGGAGTTGAAGGTCAAACTGAGATCAGAATTTTCGGCACTGGTTTTTGAAGATACTTCAATTCGGTTCTGGAGTTCGGAATGAGACCAGAGTGCTTGTTGGAGTATGCGAATCGGAACATATGGACGACCTGTCGTTGGTGACATTTCCCGTTGTATGATTGACAACTGTTCGAAGGTCATATGTGTATAGTAGATGCCATCAGCAAACATCCTGTCGAACTCGCATTCATCAGAGTATGACAGCGCACCCTTGTTCTGTCTCCTACGCAGTTCGACAATACGAGATGCTAGTTTGTAACGTTGCCATTCTCCGCCAGGTACGAACAGAGAGTCAGATGAAATGACGGCTCTAATCCACTTTGCAGGTATACCCTCCAACGACCAGGTTGCAAATGGTATACATCCAGAAGGATGTGTGATTTCACCATCATCATTGACAAGTATGTCTTCAATCTCAATGATCTCAAGAGCCCATCTGGACAACCAGCAGACGCAAGCTTCGCCGATCTATTGAAATTCAGAATAAAGGAAATATCTCAGTTCATCTTCCTACCTTATCAGAGGCCGCACCATAGTGAAATGATGGTATATAGTCTTCTGTGTCAGAATCGACACTGTAGTCTTCCGTCTTCGAAGCAATATCAATAGTGGAAAGTTTATCAAGGTTGTTTTCATGTGAAGCTGAGATAGGCGTTGCTACACCGGATGGAGTGGCTTCGGACTCGCTAGTTTCTATGTGAGTGTCTAAACACTTTTCCATGACAAGACCAATCTCCTCCATGCCAACAGCAGCCTCTTGCTCGCCTGGATACCAATGTCTGTGAGCACCTAGACCTTCGCCAAGAGCGAACTTGAGGAAAAATGAGACATTTATTGGAGAAATCGAAGCAAGAATGAAATTAAGCGCTTTGTTAGCAATTGAAGGGCAGCCCAAGTAAATAGCAGTAGCAATCAAAGAGACGCAGAATTCTGGGGTGGCTAATTGAGTATTTGAAGAGTTAGATTGTGGTTGTTCAAATGTCGGGTATGATGGTGTGAGAGGGTATTGTGGTGTAGGTTTGAATTTGCTGTCGAGGACAAGGTTACTGGATTTGCCGTAAAGATAGCCTAGGCAATATTCGAATGATGAACGCGTGATATTTGGATCGTCAAAAGTCAGAGTAATTTCGTTGTTGTTTGTTTCAAGAAACGCGCCTTGAAAGAGGCTGTTGAAGAATGTTGACTGAGTGAGAATAATCTTGTGTAATCTGTACAATCTACCCCACTTTGGGACTTTGACTTTGACATCAGAGCCGACGCCTAAGAGAAAGCCCTGGAAGTAGATATGCGAATGAAGAGTAGCGAGAACTTGATGGTCTGGCGGGAGAGTTGGTTGTTTCTGTTGCTGAGACGGCTGTCTCTGTGGTTGTTTGTGCTGGAATGTGAAATCTGTCGAGGGCACGTGGGGTGGTGTCGAAGATACTTTCGGTACGTGCAACGATGAGCTCGTAGAGGACATCGAAGACTTTGACGTGAAGGGTATAAAGCGTATCCCCTTGTTTTTGGATTTGGCCATGACAGCGTGAACGTAAGTGGATGAATGGGTTCCGCTGTCAAATTAAAATCGATGACTAATCCGATCAGGAGGTCTACGGGTTAATAACAACTGAATATTAACTTTTTTTGTGCATATCGCAGACTCACACAATAGCGCCAGATTAGATAACAACCACTGATAAGCCCGCCAAGGGGCGTACCTGGTTGAGTGGTTGAATGGTTGAGTTATCTGGACCTTTGGTCCAAAGTAAGCCCACAGGGAGGAGTAGCCCATTCCACGCACTCTATTTGGCTTATCACTTGCACTTTGCAGGAAAATCTTCTTATCAGTTGCTACCATTTATGGTAATAAGCGCAGTGAAGTTGGCAACATATGTAGAACAGATGCACGATTATAAAAATGTATAACTTTATTTTTCTCACATCGCAATCCACACCTCTCTGTTATCTATCTGGGCCTGATAAAAGCCAGACAATCGGCTTATCTCTGAATAAAAAATCAATAAAAGAGATAAGGGATAAAAGGAACAAATTTCGATCTTATCTTCTCAAAAACTAACAACAATGAGCATACAATACGGCGCTTTACAGCCAGATGGCTCTGTCCTCCCATCGACATCCGTGAGTGTGAAAGTAGTTGCCCCGCAAAGCTAACAGTATGCAGGATATGGTTTCATTCCCAGACCGTGAGAACATGTCAACCAAGTCGCGTACACTCTAACAAAACACCAGCAAATTTGCCTTTATCGACTGGCGAACCAAAAGTTTTCAGTCAGGGTGACATAGCATGGCAACTAATGTCAACAGCACTCGTATGGCTGATGATACCAGGTGTTGGTCTCTTCTACGCCGGTCTGACGCGTCGAAAGAATGCATTACAACTTCTTCTCATGTCACTCATCGGCATTGCTGTAGTATCCATCGAGTGGATCTGTATGGGTTACTCACTCGTTTTCGGTCCGTCACACGGGGGCTACATCGGTGACTTACAATCATTTGGAGGTTTCACAAACCTTTTAGACCAAGACATGTCTAACCTTCCTATCTTGGTGCACGCATGGTATCAAGGCACATTCGCATGTATAACCGTTGTTATCGCAATGGGAGCACTTGCAGAACGTGGTAGACTCTTGCCTTCAATGATTTTCATGCTTTGCTGGACAATAATCGTCTACAATCCAATAGCGCACTGGACCTGGAATGAGAACGGTTGGTTGGCCGTCTTGGGCTCTCTTGATTTCGCCGGTGGCTCGCCAGTCCACATCAATGCAGGTACAGCTGCATTAGCCATCTCCTTTTTCCTCGGCAAAAGAAGAGGACACGGTACTCTCCAGCTCGCATACAGACCACACTCACCTGTGCTCGTCTTCCTCGGTACTGTCTTCCTTTGGATCGGTTGGTTTGGTTTCAACGGTGGATCCGCCTTCGGAGCGAACATGAGAGCTGCCCAAGCATGCATAGTCACCAACTTATCTGCTTCAGTCGGTGGTATCACATGGATGTTCTTGGATTGGCGCTTAGAAAAGAAGATCTCAGCAGTTGGTTTCTGTTCCGGTGCCATTGCTGGTTTGGTTTGCATTACACCAGGAAGTGGATACGTCTCTACACCAAGTGCATTCGCTATTGGTTTCATTGGTGCAGTTGCTGCCAACTTTGGTACTAAAGTTAAGGATCTCTTGCACGTGAGTAAAATTTTGTTACTTAATAACAATTCTAACATACCTATAGTTGGATGAAAGTCTTGATATATTCGCAAGTCACGGAATAGCTGGTAATTCATTTATTTATATCCACGATCCTACTGACATGTTTTATAGGTATTTGCGGTAACATCCTCACGGCTCTCTTCGCAGAACAAGGGGTTACGAACTTAGACGGTTTGAACAGTGATGCTGAAGGTGGATGGTGAGTTTTATACACTTTAGCTTCATTCCAGCTCATTCAACATACAGGATCAATCACAACTATATTCTCTTAGGATATCAATTAGCTGATACCGTCACCGTTCTTGCATATTCCTTTGTTTTGACGTACACTCTCCTTTTCCTCATCAATCTCATCCCAGGATGTAAATTCAGAGCAAGCGAGGAAGATGAGATTATTGGTATGGATTTAGCTGAATTGGGTGAACCTGAATCAGATTTATACGATATTCTCCATGCAGAAGTTCCAACCATTACCCAAAATCAAGCTTCTTCGCAAGTGGGGATTCACTCAACGCAAGCTTCTGAAAAAGCACAAGAAAGTGCCTAAATCGAACGCATTCGAGATATCACCAAAATACATAATTAACTAATTACTAATTAAATTGTAATTCTCCTCGCTTTATCTTCACTTTGTAAAAATAAATGCACCTTGATCTATAGACAAACTTTTAAATTGCAGTATTAATCATTAGATAATTTCTAATAACAATTATATAAGATTAATATTTTATCGATCTTCATCTATCAGTTAGACTAAAAGCAACACCTTCCGGATAAGGGAAATAAATAAAAAATGACAAAGTGGGGAAATTTAGCGCGCCTCCATCTTTGGCTTTAGACCAGCACCAACAGGCAAGTACAAGGTAAAGCAAAGTAGACAGCCGGACTGTTTGTAAGTGTTTGTATTTGAAAGTTAAGACAATGACTGACGCAATTATAAGGCACTCACTCTCACTTAATCAACACGTATCAGTAGTAGTCGTTGACCGACAGAATCAGCAATCGAAAAGTAATAAACGCAGGACGTTTTAGAATGTACACCAACGAATCAAGATACAGAGAGCACTTTGTGACTCCAGTTTCATACGATCCTAAGGCAGCTCTGGCGAAAGTGGATGAAATAATTGAAGCCAACAAGCGAGCATTTGAGAATAGGATGGGCAACGGCCTCGGACTCGGGTTTGAAATTAGTGATTATAGAATGAAAGATGTAAAGGAGAACGCGCCAGACGCTCAAGAGTCTCATGCATTACAAACCAATGAAGAGCCAGACGTGAGCATCAATAGCAACCCTCAAGAGAGAAGCATGTCGGCTGATTCTGTCCCAACACTCGTATCGGATTCTGAGGAGTCCTTTTCGACAGATGAGAGTCTTGTAATCACACCGGACAGGCATGTAGCATCTACAATACGCCCAGTTGACAAGAAGCAGCGTGAACGTCCAATCCACTTGACTTTACGCACTGAAGGAGGGGACGAGGAGGAAGAGGCCAAAGAAAACCTCCTCGATGGTGAAGATCTCGCAAAGTATTATAGGTCGCACTCCCGTCAGGGAACTCCTACAAGTCCAACCCCGCAACGTCGCAACGTAAAAATGACGAAAGATTCACAGGAATCCAAACCTGATTCAAATGCGATTTACAGCTCCTTCGTCGCTGCGAGGAGATCAAAATCGTTAGACAAGAAGGCGACTATACAGCGCTCACTTTCTATCCAAACACCTTCCAAACCATCCACGATCGAGCTCACAAAGCCGATCAAGAATACAATCAAAGAAGAAGATGAAGAGAGTGAAAACCTAGACTGGCTTGTTCCACTTATTCAACACGCCATGCCATCAAAGAGAACTCGCCCACCGCCTATTTGGGCGCAATACGCGAAAGTGAAAGGACTCTCAACAGATGATAACTCTCAAGCGAGCACGAATGTTCATTCAGTCCTTGATAGACCACGTCCACGTACTTCTTCCTATGCATTTGGCAGCGGTACAGTCAAAACTGACACATCGCGAAAATGTTCAGAAAAGACTTCAGTCGTCGCGATGAAGAAAGCTCAGCGTAAACCAGACGCTAGGGATCTTTTTGGGGATATACGCAAAGATGAAGAGTTACCATTTCCTTCAAGTTACGCAAGCTTGCCTATGGGTCCTATGCCTTCGGTAGACCGTCGCTCAACGTCATCCACCGGTGTTGGAGGATCGTTTGAGAGGCTTCCAAAAGACCGTTCTGTAACACCGAGCGACTTGATAAAGAAGCGTAGCAGTATGAATGACGATCCAACAGTACGTCTGGTTGGATACAAGCATGGTGTTGATCTCAGCAGACAGTCATCAACGGCTACAATGCCATTATTGCCTGAATCACAGGCATTGCGCGATCTGGAGAATATGCTGGTCGCCTACACCGAAGACGAAGTACTGATGCGTTTATCTAATATGTTCCAAGTCTATTAAATACTTTGTACTAATTAATTTATTAATGTATGTTGTGTCTGCCCTATAAAGCAGCTTTGTTGTCTGGTATGGTGAAATGCAAGTCGTATGTGTATCCTCATAGCAAAGCTAACACACTCATAAAGACAATGCAATACTTCTGTTACTTCCCCTCGAGATATCAGCTCATGAAATGTGTGATGGATGTAAACTACGAGTGTAAGAATAATCGCTAATAAAGTCTATAACTGTCTGCCTATCGTTGGAGTCGAGCTCTGCAACGAAGTTTATCTGATCTCGACGTAAAATACTCTCGTTACTTCTTTACTCATTTCACCGATGGCTGCACGACAAGCACCAATAGTAATAGACAATGGAACGGGGTGAGTGGATAAGAATATATGCCCATTATACTAACACTACGCAGATGGACAAAGATGGGGTTAGTAGTTACTTTACTAGCTATACGCAGCTGACGTATTTAGTTTCGCTGGCAACTCGGAGCCTAGTTTGTGAGCTACAGGGAGTCTATATCAATAAATATACTAACAACTATTAGTGTTTTCCCTACTGTAATGGGTCTCCCTCATTCACAGTCAGCAGCGGGCTCATCAGGTCCAGGCCGCCCAAGCGCTGCTTCAAAACCATCGCATTTGGCGAGCAAAAGGGGAATTGATGATTTAGATTTCTACATCGGCGACGAGGCTATACAGAATTCTAAAAGCTACGGTCTCAATTACCCAATCAGACATGGTCAGATCGATAACTGGGATTTAATGGAAAGGTTCTGGGAGAAATCTATCTTCCAATACCTTAGAGCTGAGCCAGAGGATCATCATGTTTTACTCACAGAGCCACCACTCAATGCACCAGAAAATAGAGAATCTATGGCTGAAATCATGTTTGAAAGTTTCAACGTACAGGGTTTGTATATCGCTGTTCAAGCTGTCCTCGCTTTAGCAGCTAGCTGGACTTCTTCAAAGGTTACAGACCGTACACTCACAGGTACTGTCGTCGACTCTGGCGATGGTGTCACCCACGTCATCCCAGTTGTAAGTTCTTTATTAGAGTCTTCCTGTTGATATACTAATGACAACATAGGCTGAAGGTTACGTAATTGGATCATCAATCAAACACATCCCAATTGCTGGTAGAGACATCACAAACTTCGTTCAACAACTGCTCAGAGAACGCGGTGAAACAGTTTCAATTCCTCCAGAGGATCAAATGAGAGTTAGTGAAAAGATAAAAGAAAACTATTCCTACGTTTGTCAGGATATTGTTAAAGAATTCAGAAAATATGATCAAGATCCATACAACTGGTTTGAAAGATATCAAGGCGAACATTCAGTAACAGGTAGACAATACGGCGTTGACGTCGGTTACGAGAGGTTCCTGGCGCCTGAGATTTTCTTCAATCCAGAAATATACTCAAGTGATTTCTTAACACCACTTCCAAACGTCGTCGATGAGGTCATCTCAAGTTCACCAATCGATGTTAGAAGGGGACTTTACAAAAACATCGTATTGTCAGGTGGATCAACAATGTTTGATCACTTTGGTGCAAGATTAAAGAGAGATTTACGTCAACTTGTTGATACAAGATTGACAAAATCTGAATTGCAATCAGGAAACCTTCAAAAATCATCAGGTGTTGAAGTAAACGTTATCTCTCATAAGAGACAAAGACATGCCGTTTGGTTTGGTGGTTCTCTTTTAGCAGGTTTACCTGATTTCTACACAAGTTGCTACTCAAAAGCTGATTATGATGAAATTGGACCATCAATTTGTCGTCGTTACACTATATTTGGTAGCAGCACATAAGCTTATGAAGCTTTATGATTGATATCCAAAATTCTCTTTAAATGATATTTTAAATTCATGATTTCGTACAAAATGGAATGTGTATCACGCATTTCTGTCATATTGAGCATTTTTAGCTCAATCTTGTGCTGCGTTTGTGCTGCCAGCAGCTGAAGAGCGAGCGATTGCGCTGAGATCAAGCAAGCCATCAGCTGGGAGAATTATAAGTGATAAATGTTAACAGATAATCATCACTTACACTTCCTAGAGCTGAAACTTGAGCGCTCTTTACGCGCATTTTCGCGTTCTTGAATTGAGACATTAGAGGTACGACGTGGAACTAAGCCATTATCTGATACGTTTGTGATACTGCCACGCTTCTGGAGTGCCTCTTTAGTGTCTCTAACGCCAAGTTCATAGTGGTTGACCTCCTCTTCGTAGCTTCCCTATGTTTCTATTAGAGCAATTAGACACTATATCGATTACCCACCCAGGCATGGGGACCTGCACCATCCTTGGTCGTCTTGTTTAAAAGCCCGTTTCTGCTCTCATGTCTGTCCTTCTCTGTAAGCTATGTGAGTCGTGTGACAATAATTTGATAAATGAATAACGTACGGACTGCTCTTGGATATTCGTTGTGTAAGGTTCTGAATGTATGTGAGTACTGCGCATACCGCAGATAGTTTACCCACCTCGTCATGGTCGTTCAAGCTCAAGCTGCCCATCCAATGATGTCACTAGCGAGAAGTCCATGTGATAACTTAATATTTCTATATAAAGAGAAACATGCATAAAAAAATCAAAATGTAAGACTCAAATTGAGCTCTGCTCAGAGATTGTGCCATCGGCAGAGCGTATAAGTACAGATCCATTCTGGAGGAGTATGTAAGTATGGATAGCTATATTGAAAAATAAGACTCACAGAGTAACCAAAATAAGCTGCTTTAGCCATCTATAAACTCGCATAAGCAATTTAACAAAGAGACACACCACTTACACCGCAGAAAAGACCAACCTCGACAACACCTGTAAGCATCTTTATTCTCATCAGAAGCTCCTTAGGATCCCTGTAGTAAGACTCTCCAAATGGAGCGTCAATGAGGAAGTTTCCTGTTGAATTCACAGTTAATGACGCGAAATTTTTTATGTCAACCAACACATACCATTATCAGTAACAACAGGGCCTGCTTTCTTTATACCCATCCTGAGAGCAGGCTTGGTGCTACCCAATTTGGCGACATTCTTTAGTACCTTCGCATAAGCAAATGGTGCTACTTCAATTGGTACACCTTGCGTCCAGCTTGTGCCCAACAATTTGCTATTTTTCCTTTCGTCTGCGACAATTACGAAGCTATGGGTGTTTATATATCAGTTAAATAGTCATTATGAATTATTTGACAAACATCTTCGCGGCTTCCGCCAGTACTTTTTCACGTAAATGGCATGCACCACCACCTTTGACGGCGTTTAGATTGTTGTCTACTCTGTGACGCATAAGTTAGAGCCGTACCGGTAATCAAGCCACACATACTCATCTGCACCGTCGATAGTTACATCTATGGTTGGGTATCTTAGAGACGTTAAGAGTGTATCACGATGGTGTAGGATATACACACTGATCCACGTCACCTAAGACTAAGTTATTCTTCACTATGAGCTCCTTTGATTGGAAGCCTAATGGTACTCCGATAAGCTGATGTAGTCTATTAAGGGGAAAAACCCACCAGTTGGAATAAAAACGCGCTCTTCATTAAGTGCTGCACCTTGTTGTACTATTCTCTCCACAACGTAGGCTGTATAACGTGAGAAGACACAATATAACAGCACTTAAAGTGACATACGAACAGTCGAACCTGATCCTATACCAATAACCTAACATTCGTTAGCTTAATTTCCCCATAAAACAGATTTCTCACCTTGCTGGAGTCACTGATGTTGGCGTCAACAGCCGCATATGCAGCCAATCTCTTTCCTTCTTCGGTTGGAGCCAGCTTTGGCAGATTTGTTAGGTTCAATGGACTGAGCTTTACTGGTTTGTAGTCCGTAGACGATGTGTAGTAGGAGGATGACGGGTTGCTTACTATAGAGCGTGGATAAGCTCAATTGTGCAACTAGGTACTATATACTAACAAGTAACAGCGCTCATTTTAAAGCTCTGAGGTCTGATAATAAGCGGTCTAAGTCGTAATCTGATAATGATGAATGTCAAGAAGGATATTGGATCAAGAATTTACAAATGAGTGTATGAAAAAGTAAAAAACGAGCTAAGTTTGGTTATTATGGAGTGAAATGTATTTGATTTACTCACCAATCCAACGAACGCGGTAAGCAATTGGATCTTCTTGTTCTTATACCACATTTGTCGCTAAATGGATCATCAACGAGTGTGTAGATGCTATCATATAATACTAACCCTCAACATGGTTGATTTCTTCCTAAACGCGAACGCCTGTGACGACATCTCATTCGTTCTATCTACGAGGTTGTCTATTCTATCACCTCTGTCGATTATAGACTCCATATTCTGTATCATAACGTCTTTAACCTGATTGAGTTCATTCTGGGTTTTACCAAGTTGATCTTCCGGTGGCTGTGTGTTGTATGACTCTAGGAGATCCTTTATGGTGTCTGTAAAATCGACATCGCTATCTTCAACTGATGTGAACTTCTGCTGTAGATCTAACAAATATTTAAACGCGACTGCCCTGCTAACGGAGTCCTGCGATATCACCAAATAGACGATTCCATTATCAGATAGGTAGTTTATATTAATATCTTTATATTTAAATGTCAATTTGGAGTTGTTTGGTGGTATCTTCTCCATAACTTGTTCCACGACTGTGCAGTGACTCTATCAGGACTGGCTGACGATATAGCTCAGTACTCACTCTGGCTGTAATCCCTAGTTGATGCGTTGTATTCATTCCTTATACTATTATTCTGTCCTACTAAACTGTAGACCAACATCATCATTGTACCCAATTCGGATGACACACTTGCCTCTTGCTCAACTACTATCAATAAAAATAAAAAATGTCATCGACACCAAGATCAGACAGACCACACGGTGCAGCTATACGTCGTCGCACAGACAAGAATTCTCAGGTAGGAAAACCAAACTCTGCAAGAGCTGCAGGTGCTGGCGGTTCATCGAGCACGATGTTGAAGCTTTACACGGATGATTCACCTGGTTTAAAGGTGTAAGTAGATCTATAGTGGGTTATCTGCAGCTCTAATAAAGCTACAGTGACCCATTCGTTATCGTTGTATTGTCCTTGGCTTTCATCGCTTCAATCTTCTTTTTGCAGTGAGTAGACACTAGGATAATAAGACAGCTCTATTAACTATTCACCAGCATCTCAGCAAAGGTCATCAAAGGTGTGTTGTCTCTCTAGTGATACATCACGTACTGACAGCACATAGCATTCACAAAGTAAACTTTACAATCATTTAATAAAATATATATTACGGTATCATTTATTCCCTTTTCCTTTATTGAATACTTGTTACTTTGTCTGCGTTGCTGTCTTCCTTTTGTTGTTGAATATACACGTCTTCTGACAGCCAGTGAAGTGGTATATTTTCAATTATAATACAGTTTTACACTCTCTATGTCAAATTTATTTCACCCATAAAAGCCTCAATTCGCTCTTTTTTTCCTACCATCATCAACTTTCCGTAAGTTCTTCAAATTCGAGCAAAAAGCACGAAAACACAAGGATGATATTCACAGACGGGCGGACATAATGTGAACACCGTTAACAATCCAGTGTACAAAAGTGATTGGGTGTTCATGCAGGTTGATTGTCTGTTAGATAGCTGATTTGTGCTGCTCGCATATCACTTCAAAACGCTAACAAATCTTTCAGGATGCAATTGTTGTAACTCTATATATGAAATAATTTAAAACATTCCTCTAAGTCTGCCTTCTAATTTAACGTTTTCGATTGAAATACCCGACGCCTGGCCTTTACCATTCTTGTAATCCAATATCAAGCTCTTAGATAGGAAGGGATTGATCGTAGAGTCTGCAGTACCGACTGTGATATGCAATACCTTACTACTTGCTAGCTTTTCCATCTTCTGCTTGACTGATGCATCGACATTACCCACTACAGTGAGCTCAGTGAGTGATAATGCCATAACCTTATCGTCATAAACCAATTCATCAACCTTAAACTCGAAGTCAATGTGTAGATTCTCCGTTGTGAGTAATTTCCAGCATTCTTCGTATTCTTCTTTAAGAGGTGATACTGTAGATTCAATTTCCTTTTGATGTAAGAGAGTGATATGCGGTACATTCGCAATTCTATCGTTCTGTTCTAAATGGTTGAACAAACTCAACGCCTTTTCATCCGAATCCTTTAGTATATTGTGACAGATTTCGTTAAGTTTACACTCAACAGCAATAGCGAAATAACGAGGACCACTACCAACTTTCTTCTTTAAACTGCTGAGTTCATCAGGACGACGATAATCAGGATTATAAAATGAGACTTCTTCGACAACCTTCTCGACATCCTCCTGAGTTATGCTCTTTAAGTCAATCGACAAGCCCCTCAAACCGTTTATGACACGTTTAATAGATTCACTGAGATCATCTTCTATTGACATTTCAATAACACCGTCGAAACTCTCGCTTGGTGCGTCGAATGATTGAGTTTGGTTGATAAAATTCATTATAATCTCCTCATGTAAAGCACTATGACTATCTGCGCGGAGACTTTGATGGCGATCACCGCGTTCTGCGACCCTATCACTGCAGATTCGGAGAAGGGAATTGATCGGTAAGTTGTCAACTGGCCAGTAAAGTGCTATCATACGCGTTCGTTCAAGAGGAGGTTTTTGCTCATATGGGAGTAGATTTAACCTTTCACGATGTTGCTTCATGTGATTGTTTCTATCAGCAATTACAACTTTCGTGTCACCTTTGAGTAATTCAACCACATTTTTCTCGAACGTTGGACCAGTCTTTTTGGTTTTTACATCGTCCGATTGGGTATGAGCGAATCCATATAACTTAGACAAAGCGAGTGACACTGCAGTCTTACCTGTATTGCGTTTGTGAGAATTGAAAATTAATCATTATTCTAAAACGCACCACAACCTGGAATAGCGATCGGTACGAGGAGGGTCTTACCAAATGGGCGGGAATCACCAATAGGCTTTTTTGGTTTCTTCGTAGATTCTTTCTTCTTCCAAGTTGATCTGATATTCTCTAGCTTCTCTTTGTTTTCTTGTGTTTCTAAATCCTGCAAGAAATGTTCTCTGAGTGCAATGATACCCTTACTTTTGGCGAAGTTTACAAACAACTCTGGTTGACTGTGAATCTTTGCGCGAGTCCACTCCTTGTATAGTACACTTTCAGGATAGGTTGCCTTCCTGACTCCGGCGTCATCTGTTTTGCCTTCAGAATGGCGAGCGAGCAAACCACGAGTGATCTCTCTCCATTCTCTGAACATCAAGTATGGCTCATCGAATTTAATCTTAAAGAAAAATGGACTATGGGGATCATATGGTGGAACATCTTTTATACCCTTCCTAGCCTTCTCGTTTATTTCACAGCGTACGACGAAACCTTCGACGGGCTCACCATCTATAGATCCGCCCTGTTCTTCTATGTCTGCTGTGAACTTCTCAACTTCCTTTATTGAGTTCTTAGTGAGCGATCGCGTCCTTATGAATCCCCATTGGTTGGCGAAATCGCTAACGATTTCGAAAGGTTCAGTTGAGAAAGCAGGTATATTTTTGTTCAATCCGTGCAAATGCAATCCACGTCTTTCTGGTGGGTATCCCAATACGTGTTCTTCAAAATCATCGTCGCAAAGTTCAGAGACGGCAGTCCACTCATTCTCGTAAAGGACTTTTGCGAGATCTTCCTCAGTTTTACCTGATTTATTGAGATGGTATTTGAGCCACTTATGACCCATTTCAGCATGTGAGAGTTGACCTTCTTGGGTTGATGGACCAAGGGCGTGCTTCGACGTAACGACAATAGTGGAAGCAGTTGTTGCTGCTATGAATATAATACAACCATTCTCCTTGTATGACAATGTATATGGACCACTGGTGTACTTCTCTATGGATCCCCAAGTCGTCCATGGGACTTCAGCGATGTTGAAGAATTTATCATAACCCCTGACAATGATTTTATCATCTGTTGTAAATAAACCCCTAGCTAGTGTTGGAAATGGACAAGGTTGCTTTGCATAATGATGTTCACTCATTTTCCAACTCAAAAGATTAGTTTCTGGTAGTGAGTGCTCTACATTTCTCACTAATGGCTTTTCAGCCAGTGAGATTTCCCTCAACTTCCCGATTAGCTGTGTTGATGATGACATATGCTACTCAAAAAGAGTCAAAATGGCGATCCGAAGCGATATCTATGAAAAATAAATTCATTTGAGTTCTCAGGGTGGTTTTGAAACATGTCAAAGATTTTTTGTATGCAAGTTCTTGTAATGTTGTTTATACATTTCCTATATGTTTCTAAAACTACTTATCTCATATCGAGAAATCTGAACAGGAACTTGCATATGAAAAGTATATTATTAGGGTCTTTATGTTCTTTTTAACTACCCGTGTGATTTTTACAGTCATACCTTTCTCCATTGCTGCGATATGGCACTTTGAGATATGGCAGCGACACCAACGCAGAAATTGAGAATATCTACAATAATTTAAATAATTTTTATGTATAGATATACAAGATATACAATATACAACATTATGTCTGCTTTTTGACGTTATAATCGCACTCTAAGATGACCTCACTTACTGCTTAGCCTATGGCTGGCACCTCACGGACATATATGAGATGCAGTAACGTGACGTACGATCACCCACAAATAATATACACTCTACCGCATTTGGACACACTAAACGCGTAACCATGTCGACGCGTAATAAGACTAAGCACAATATACAGACATAATTTTATTAGATGCAAAAATGATATTATATATTAATCATACAAAGGTGTATAAATACAGGACAGGATGTATTACTCGCTTAAGCCTTTGAGCTTGAGAACTTAGTGACGGACTTAGTACCTTCTGAAATAGCATGCTTGGAAAGTTCACCAGGGAGGATAAGACGAACTGAAGTTTGGATCTCACGTGATGAGATGGTTGACTTCTTGTTGTATGAGGCGAGCTTTGAAGCTTCTGAAGCGATTCTCTCGAAAAGATCGTTGACGAATGAGTTAAGAACGCTCATAGCCTTGTTTGAAATACCAGTGTCTGGGTGAACTTGCTTCAAGACCTTGTAAATGTATGAAGAGTAGGTTTCTTTACGTGACTTGTTTGACTTCTTCTTGTCACTGTCTGGCTTTGGTGCCTTGGCGGTCTTCTTACCACCTTCTTGTGGTTGCTTGGTAGCTGAGGCTGGGGCCTTACCGGCGGTTGAGACTGGCTTCTTTTCTGCTGACTTTGGTGCCATTTTTAATTTAACTGTAGACTTGGATGATGAGAAACAAGAGTTTATTTTCGGTATTTATATGACGCGCGACCGAGGCGACGTATCATAATTGAAATCAATTACTTGCGCGAATCAATTTGATCAAAAATTCCAAAATTGTGATCCCGGAGTGAGTAGAAACAAAATTATCACAAAAATTATATAATTCAATAGCACTGATTCAGGCCCTCAAGATGGTATTTTTTTAGTTGCACATTTCACACCCCATGTGGTGGATCAACGCATTTTTTATTTTTTTGATTTGATGTCGAACATGATGACGCGCCAAAAAATGATCGCACTATAAAACGACAAAATAATTTCTTCTCTCATTCCATCACACAACAAATAACAAAGTAAAAATGTCTCAACAAGTCGGCGGTAAATCAGGTGGAAAATCAGGTGGAAAGGCAGGTGCCCTCGATGCAGGTCGCTCCCGTTCTTCAAAGGCCGGTCTCCAATTCCCAGTCGGTCGTATCCACAGACACTTGAAGAACGGTAACTACGCCCAACGTATTGGTGCTGGTGCTCCAGTTTACCTTGCAGCTGTCCTTGAATACCTTGCAGCTGAAATTCTCGAATTGGCTGGTAATGCTGCCCGTGACAACAAGAAGTCTCGTATCATTCCACGTCACTTGCAATTGGCCATCAGAAACGATGATGAACTTAACAAGCTCCTCGGTCACGTAACAATCTCACAAGGTGGTGTTATTCCAAACATTCACACCGAGCTTCTCCCATCAAAAACCAAGAAGGGTGAAGGCATTGACTCACAAGACCTCTAAACATAAGTCTCTGCATTCCCTCACAAAATTAGCTTGTATTTGTACAATCACTGCATTTTATTGTATTGCCTTAATAAATATATTCCTCTTTAAAAGTATTCTTCTGGTGTGTAAAACTGCAAATCTAAATTCTTAGCGAAGTTTAGATCGTCTGAGGAGTGGTCTGCAGGCCTTCTGTTTTCTCTCGGTCTACCTGCTGCGTCACCGACGTAGAAACTCTGTGAGATATCTAAATGACGCGTAAGTTGACAATTCAACGCGTCAAGAGAGTTCTAACCTGGTTTACCAACTTCTTGAGCTTCTAGATAACGTTCTAGGCATTCCCACATTCCTACGTTTGGCTTACGATTTTCATCTTTTGAGGTAGCTGCCATACAGACGAAGGGTATATCCTCCAACTGAAGCTGATGAGAAGGGTAGTTATGTTGACACCTTTATACGCACTTTATCACCAATAAATTCTAGCTTTCTCTGCCATTCTTCTAATTTCGCCGGACGACTTTCGTAATTCTGATTTGAGATGATGATAACCGCGTATCCGTCGTCAATTAAGCTAGACAGACGCTCTTTTAGATTCTTATGAAGAAACTTCCAATCTGAAGCATGTTTTGGGAACGTACTGCCACTTTTTGGTTTTATAAGGGTGCCATCTAAGTCGAATGCTGCTATCTTCCGATGAGGTACGAATTGACCGTAAACGCCAAAAATGATAGTTCGTGGTTGATTGAATGGTTTATTATGTTTCCAGATAATTTTTGATGCTTTTTTACTGAAGTTTAGCGTACTTTGTCGAGTTGTCATTGACGGTCAAGTTAATGAGTGATGCCTGATCAATGGTTGTTTGACAATAAAGAAATTAACGAAACACCGAGTTTTAAGGATGGCATAGATACAGATGAAGAGCAGAAGTATAGAGTCAATGGCGTCAATTGGTTACTGCGAATTGGTGTAACAGCTAGAGTGTGAGGATATTTTAGATATATATATCAATAAATTAATAGAAATATAGGCGGAATGACAGCTTATACAACGCTTGCACATACTTTCATAGATTCTACATGCGTAACTCTTTCGCTGATTTCGAACCTGAAGTGCGTAGACTCGACACGTAAAGAAGTTCGTGAATCTAATAACACATAGGAAATAGCTCTCACTTGCCTCTTTCTTGCTTGCAAATCGCAAGATTCTATGAAGCATGTCACTCACCTTGCCGCCCTGGCTGTATACAAACGTCGGACAGATATAGCTAAAGCTGAGGGTAAAAAACCCTCAACCGGAGAGCCAATGCAGATTAAAGATGAGCCTGAAGTACTTAAACTCCAAGACTCAATGCTGAGTGCTGAGATACATCTTTTGCGTACTCTAGCGTTCGATTTAGCTATTCATCAGCCATTCCCACTTATTCTTGATGCAGCCCGGATGCTCAAATTAGAGAAATTTGATTTGGTAATGATGCAAGCTGTCTTAAACGACAGTATGAGAACTACAATTTGTTTATCATACCCTCCAAATATCATAGCAATGGCCTGCTTTATTTTGCCAAGTGCCGTTTCACGGGAAATGTACCTCAGTGAAACTTACAGGAAAGTTGATTGGAAGGATACCCACTCTTGGATGTCAGCGTTTGGTTTTGATGGTAAAAACAGTCAAGAAAGACTAATGAAGCAGCAGCAGCAAACAATCAAAAGAAGTCGGACAGGCAGCAGTTCTCCTAATAGTAGTAATAAAAAGTTGAAGGCTGAAAATGGCTTCAGCAGTGGTGCCTCACCAGCTGATAAGGGTATCGATGAGAGGCTCAAAGCTACCGATCCAGATAGCGAAATACAAGAGAGTCTAAATGGAAAACATACACTCAATGAACAACAATTAGATGTACACATAGACGGAAATAATGAAATAACCAGCAAAGAGGTAGAAAAAGTCGAAGAATTTGCTCCTGTTAGGGATCCCAAAATTGAAAATATTCTCGTAGATGTACGTGATGCTATGTTTAGGATAACGCAGCTATTCAAATATTTCCCAAATGACGCACGCGAATATCAAAACGTTAATAAAGCCAGAATAGACGCACTACTTGCGTCATTCCCTGAGCGACCTCAGGGTCAACAGAAAAATGCAATTTAGATGACTATGTCACATAGATATATTATTATTTTTTTGAATGTTATTGTCCATGTATAAATATATAAAAAATCGTCCGTAAGAAATTATTTTAAATTGCAGATATCTCCGGAATTAGATTATTGAGCGACTGCAGGACCAGGCAAGTCGCTGTAGTCGGATGGACCAGTGACGTCGTATGGTTGCTTAGTCAAACCTGGTTCTTCACCAGTGTAAGCACCTGGGAATTTGACAGTCTCTCCAGAGAGACCTAGTAAGATGTTAATCGCATAAAATATCACGTAATCATTTCCTCACCTGAACCACCACCGGTAACTTTAACAGAGACGCAACCAGCGTAAATCTCAGCAGGAATAGCGCCAAGGTTGATATTTTCAGTTCTAAGGAGGTATGTACCATCCTTTCATATGTGTTAGTCCACGTGAAAAATTTCACAAGATATCACTCACCTCCATACTTGATGGAAGAGTTACTGGAACGTCTTGACCAGCGTCAACATACTTAGGTACTGGCCATTCTCCACTTTCGTCGATATTGATTTCACCGATCTTGTAGAATTCGGCGGAATTTGGATCACAACCCAAGTCACACTTAGCTGCGTAAGTGAGGAAAGGACCCCATTTGTGAAGACCTTTACCCCAACCGAAACCAACAGTACCACCAGCAGCTACAGATGCTGCGCTAGTTGCTGGTTCAGCGTTAGCGTGACAAGCGATGTTTGGGTTGCTGATATCTTCAACAGTAGCTGCTGGTCCATTGTCTGGTGACCATGCCCAAATTGGAGTGTCTGAATCAGTCTTTGAGTAACTTGATCCATCAACTGTAACAGTTTCCAAAAAGGCGTGTGCATTAGCAGTTGCTAAAGCTGCAGCTAAGACTGTTAATTTTCCAATCATTGTATTAGTCTAAAAAGGTATTTGTAAAGGTATGTATTTATCAACTAAATCAAGTGATATTTATAGTCCAAGAATGGAATGAGATTACTGAATCGGGTAATTTCTCCATTTTCTATTAATGTTTTAGGATACAAAGTATATTTTAGTAAAGTTGTGGTGCTTTTATTTCTATATTCAGAGATTATGATGCTATGTTTGAGATTCTATGTTTTGAAAATTTGCTCACTCGTCTTCATTGTCCTGATTTTCCTGATTAAGTAAGTAGTCGTCCGAAGCTATGCTATGTTGATGCTGCGGATTTTCGATAATTTTAGAGAAGTCTGTGGAGATTTCACGTCCGAGGTCACCCATATATCCTATGCTAACGTTGGGTATTGTGAGCCAGGTTTCCTCTATTTCACTCTCTGAGTAAATTAGGCCTTAGGAGGACCCTTCTTTGTTTGAATTCTTCCGGAAATGGTTCCCTAGCCGCTCCCCTCTGTAGCCTTTACCACGATCTTCATGGGATAATCTGATACTTGGAAATCCCCCATATTTGCCTTCAAAACGGTCTGCTACGTCTTTTATCAACCTCCTCATTTTGTTCAGACGTATCCTTGTTAGCCTTCTAAATGCGCTTTTGCAGTCTTTGCGATCAGCGAATGGGATAACTGTAATGTATGGCAAGCCGGTTGGAAGCGATTTGCTTAGTCTGGCAAAAAGCCTTGCGAGTGGCTAGTGGGTAATATAACCCAGAATAAGGGCTAGATTAGAGGTAGTGGTGGACGTGTAGATTCCTGCGGAATCAAGGCAGTGAAACGAAATACGGGAACTGGGGTGGGCTATTCTCTGGATCGGATAGGTCAGCACCGTTGGATCTCCCCTATAGGCTGGCCAGACATAAGCGAACATTCGATAATTCTCGCCCTCATGGTTTGACCGAGACTTCTTTTTCCTTGTAAAGACTTCCACTGACGTTATTTTGCTCGTCAATAGGGGAAAGTTCTAAATCCAATGTAGAAAACTTCCTCTATGTTAGCTGGTGCATCATCTTCGACCGCCCTTGGTGCTTTGTCAGGACGTGTGTTCTGCCAGAGTTCCCAGAACTTACTGTCTTTTGCGTTATCTTCTGGTACACCTACACTATGTCTATGCAGGTCAATAATATGATGAGAAGACATTGATAATGGGTTATATGTTATGTTATGTAATAATCTCGTGATTGTGGTATACAAATACCTTTATCTAGATTCCATCTCGTTCTGAATAAAACTACTTGTGTTTACTATGTGCTTCCGTTCTTGGCTTCTCATAAGGTGATTTCCACTCGTAGCTACCACCGGGTTGATGATTATACAACCTCAGGGCTTTATGTACAGTGAAACTGCCTAGGTAGTGTTTAGGAGGAGCCAAACTCTGTGAAATATCAACGCGCTCGTTCAGACTTTAAGACTCTCGATAATCTAATCTTCTCAAGTTCTTCCGGTGTTCTCTACGGCTGCTTATGTTTTGAAGTCTTAGCTATGATGGACTTTCTTATAAGTTTTTCATGTTTATTTAGAGATAAAGTGACTGTAGGTTTCATCGTTAATAAGAACAGTGATGAAATTGAATGATTTAAGTAATCCATTTAATAATTTTGATATTACATCTTGGAGTACAAATTTAGTTGATAAAATAAATAAAACATTAAAAAGACGTAATAGAGAAGAAGATCAGTTGGCTAGACCATCAAAATTAGCCAGATTAGATAGTGACAATATAACAGATAACAATGGTGTAACTCACGATGACCATCTACACTTAACTTCTACTAAATTGGATGATGGCGATGATATTCTTCTTAACGAAAAGATAGACGACAATAATGACGCTTATGACGACGACGATGCGAAAGCTAATGATGCGTATTGGAGAGGGGAGGATCCAGCAGATGACAGAGATGATAACGTATTAGCAAAGCACGAGTTTGATAAAGGATACAATGATGATAGCGAGAGCGAAGATGATGAGAAAGTTGATGAGGAAGAAGACGAATTGGATAGGGAGGTGGATGAACTTGATGGAGAAGGATATGACGAGGATGAATATGAAAGTGTGCAGAATGACAAGATAGACCCACGAAGGCTGCCTTCATATGAGGAAGAAGTCGTCGGTCAGGTTGACAGTGAGGATATTATGAACAATAAAGAGAAATTCGAAAACGACAGAGAACAAGACTCAGAAGACGAGCCTGAAGACGATGAGGAAGACAGCCAGCATAATCACCCACAGGAATTTGCAGAACACTACAACGATTACGTCTATTCTGACGAAGAAGATGAAGAGGAAGAAGACACTCGCGCTACAACACGAAACGACGCACCCATAGAGTTATCAAGTGATAGCGAATAAGATTGTATTATTAATAAGTTATTGTACACTTTCTGGTCCCTCTCCACCTGGAAGCAACTATAGTCTATTAGAATGTGTCGTTGTAGATTGCTATACTCACCATACAGACATTATTACCGTTGAGTAGCGTTTGTCTAAGTTTTGATTTCTTTTGTGTACCATCAGGCGATATGTCACTGTAATTAGGAATTAGATAGTGTAAAATGATTGTTTCTTGACGTACTATTCTGTTACATCGTCAAGGACCATATCTAACGTGATATAAGATAAATAAGAAGCTGCTAAATTACCACTTACTAACGAAGTCATCAAATCCCTGCAGAGTACCAACGAATTCACGCTCATTCTTCATAATTACCCATATTCTGCTACCAATGCACTTATCAATGAGTTCTATCAGTGCTATCAGATGTGTATCTTCTTAATTGATCTATATATCCCACCTAAAGGCAATATCTGAGATGCCATATTCTTGATTGTCAACTATCAACATGCAGATATCGCGTATACTGCAGAATATACCCAAGAAAATAAAATCTAAACCAAAGAAATCGAGCTGGCTAGAGGAATATAATCTAATCATAGGTTTAGAGATACATGCTCAGCTGAATGCATCTATAAAGTTGTTCTCTAGTGAGTTTATATCTTGATGTAGATATTTTAGCTAATGAATCTATAGATTCTAGAGTTACAAACGATTTTAGTAAACCAAACACATCAGTTAGCTCGTTTGATGCTTCAATTCCTGGTACTTTACCTGTGAGTTTTCTAATGTAACTTCTCACAATCTAAACGATCTAGATACTGAATAAAGAACCTTATTGGAAGGCAATCAAAGCTTCTCTAGCGTTAGATTGCGCCGTCAGTCCAACGTCATCATTTGATAGGAAACACTACAGTTACTACGATTTACCACAAGGTTATCAGATAACACAACAGTATAGTGAGCAACCTAGTACATATTATATCCGTTTCCTAACATTTCACTCAAGATCCACTAGCAAAGGATGGCTTTATTCAATTTAATGCAAATCTAGATGATAACATAACGAGAGATTTTAAAGTACGCCTATCACGTATACAGCTAGAGCAAGACACGGGGAAGGCATACTTCCACGAATCTTCAAAGACACCACTCGTCGATCTCAATAGATGTGGTGTTGCTTTGATCGAAATTGTCACAAAACCGGATATGACGAGCCCGATTGAAGCTGTATCATTTGTCAAAAAGTTACGTAGTATATTGCGATCAATTGACGTGTGTAATGGTAATATGGAAGAAGTAGGTTGAAAATTTGATAATTCTCTCCTCAGTTTGACATAAGTAGGGTAATTTACGTGCAGACGTTAATGTAAATGTACAGAAAAAGGATAATTTGGCTCTCAAAACTCCTCGCGTCGAGATAAAAAACTTGAACTCACTGAAGAGTATGACAGCGGCAATTAGTGGGTCATTTTCGTTAGCAGAGGTCTTTCATTTAACGAGCGCACAGATTATGAATATGAACGCCACGCGAGAGCTATCCAAAATGGTCGCCTGGAGGATATACAACAGGACACCCTCGGTTGGAACGTTACAGATGGCCAAACCTTCAAGATGAGATCAAAAGAGGATGCTATCGACTACAGGTATATGCCTGATCCAAACTTACGCCCTGTGTCAGTGACTGAGGTGAGTGTCCAATTATCATTTGTAAATTTGCTAACAAACACGTAGAAAGAGCTAGATGAAGTTAGATCAAAGATAGAAATACTCCCAGATCAAATAAGACAAAGGCTCATCAGTCAATATGGATTATCAGCTCGTGATGTTAATGTTTTGCTCACTGTCAATGAGGATCTATCGGGAGATGAGAGTATCATAAACTACTTTGAACGCTTAGCTCAAGTATCGAAGCACCCACAGTTAGCCGTCAATTGGGTTATTCATGAGCTCCTTGGTCAACTTTCACAGCGACATAAGTCTTTTAAGGAGGACATTATCACAGTGGAACGTTTAAATGAATTAATTTCACTCATAGAGGCCAATCAAGTGACATCAACCGCGGCTAAGAAGGTATTTAGTGAGATGTTCGATGATACCGAGTCATCTGCATCGAATATACTCGACAGGCTTGACCTTAGAGTATTAGATGGCGATAAATTAGAAAAGGTCGTCAATCAAGCTATAGAAGAGTTGCCAGATGAGTCCAACAAAGCTAGACAAGGGAATGAGAAAGTTTTGAGACGTATCATCGGTCAAGTTATGAAACTTGCTGGTGGTAAAGCAGATGGAAGTGAAGTCGAACGGGCTTTGAGACAAAAGTTATCATTGTAAAAGTGATAATTGTACAATTAATGCATTGAAATATATATAAGTACACTTATGTTACATAAATTAATGTGATCATATTACCAACCAAATCTGTAATTTGTTAATTGAAATGTAGACATGACAAGCACTTTCAGTACATACCTCAATTGTTCTCTTGTAAAGACTGGTGGTTTCCAAACTAGTTTCGATGGCTCGATATGCCTTCTCTTTTTACTGGTTGCCCTCTCATAGTTCTCAATTATATTATCATCTAAAGCCAAAATATGTTGACCTTTAAACGTTTTGAGTAATGAGAGTGATTGCAGAGTGTACATAACATCAGCATGGTTTATAGCAGTTTTTTGAGCTATCTCATCAATGGAGATATCATCATCTCCCATTGATAATAATAATTCAAGAATGGTTTCACCCCAGTATGCTCTATAACCCAAAAGACCTAAATCCGATAATGGTTTCTCTGGACTACCAAGTTTGCCCTCTCTTTTCGTTAATTCGTAGCTGAATTCGATGAGTAATTTACCATAACCCATCCTTTGGAATTGTGGTAATGTTAAAATACAAGCGACGTTGTATGCTTCAGCTGATTCCTTTTCTTTACTGAAGTATCCAACGAGATGATAACCATTGTCATCCTTCTGCGTCATTACATAGTAGAGGAATGGGTCGACATCATAATATAGCGTTTTGTGATCAAGGAAGAGTTTGCTGAGGAGACATAGATGTCTACACCAACTTTTCTGTTTCCTTCCATCAATTTCGAAGAATGAAATATTCTCATGTCTGTAAATCTCGTTACCGGGAGGATGAATGAGTGTGCACTTGTGTCGATGTCTCTCAAGTTGCTTTGGTGATGCATAGTATCCCAGACAGAACTCGCAGATGTATAATGTTGGTATGTGACTGTATTCGATAGGATAAGGAGAGAAATACCATGCCTCTACTTCATGTGCACCTATAGAGACCTTATTGAGATTCTTCACACGAGCGACTTCGTGAGGATTTTGAGTCATAGAACCAGAGGTTCTAAGCTTCTCAATTTCTTCCTCCTTCGAAAACGTTGATTGAGGTTGTTGGTTCGATGGTTTCGCGAGAGGTGTACCCGTATCGGTATCCATCTCGCTTTCAGCATCTTCATCGGAACTGATACCACCATCTTTTGAACTAGGATCTAATTTGCGTTTCTTGTTACCATTTGCTAGTTTACCAGCCTTTGTTGCTGCCTTTCTGAGTAAACTCGCATTGTTGCCCTTTGAGGACGTGTTTTTGTGGGTAGAATTTTTATTATTGAGTGGCGTAGAAGGTGTAGATGGAGTGCTACTATCCTTTGCTTGTTTTGGCCATGTAACCTCCCTATCTAGAAGTACGTGACTGGCGTTCAACCAAGTATCAAGGCGTTTATTGAAATTAACGAAATGCAAATAAAAATCTTTGGTAGGTTCATCTACGGTAACTTCCATATAATCATTATCTGGATTTATTGTACGCATCGACAAAATGTCTGCTTTACGATCTTCTGTCTCATTCTCGGAGAGTGGTACTCGTACCCAAATCTGACAGCCTGTAACCAAACTATCTATTGTATAACTACCACCTGGCGTAGTTGGCCCCATTGGTGGCGCAGGCGAGTGCATTTTTTTATTCTTAAATCGTCGTGGCAAGCGGGCAGTCAATGTGGTGAGTACCAAATTAAAAAATTAAATCTAAATCGAACAATTAAATAATTTGGTAATTCCAAATACATAACACCAGTTTAAATGTGGAGCTTAGTACGGCGCCAGTGACGACGTTTCTAGTGTCCCTCGTTAGTTCTATATATGCTTATACGCTAATCAAACGTACGGCGTTGTATTGGATGTTGGTGTCAGACTTGAGACGGAACCATTGTGGGATTGGTCTGTTTTGTCTTTGCTTCTTAGCTGTTGTACGTCGTCAGTCAATCGTTCAGAGAAGTTTGCTATAAGAATTACCAAGAGTTCTCTTGAGACGGAACGTCTTGTTGGCGCTCTGTATATAGTTAGTAGCATTCTCTATTCTTATCTTATTTATTCACCATTTTTATCCCTGGTAGACTGACAAGAAGCCTTCACAGATTTGTGCTTATTGTGAGCGTCAGTAAAAAATTAAAAAAATGTGCGATAGTAGAACAATTAAAGTCAATTTTCTCTAGATATTAGGGCTCATATTAATACACCCTTTTCTCTCTTTCCAGCTGTACGCTGTTGTTCTGTGATCTCATGAAGAGAACACTAGCGTCGATTGATATTGTAGATAGAATGGTTGTGTTATACATTAACAACATCCTTTTCTATTCCTTTCCTGTTCCTATAGTGTGTTTCTTTCTTTCTCCTCTTTCGATGGATAGGGCTGTTACGAAATGTAAATTGATAGGAGCTAGTTTGTTTATAGTACAGTTGCTTTAAGCGTGTCTGTTCATCTGTCTGACTCTATATCGTCTACTATCAAAGTATGACATACGTCCACAAACGAATGAAGAATCTTTATTTTCACAACGAACATCCACAGTTCGCAATCGACATTACTTCAATATTATACATATAAGTATGTAATACATGGTAATAAGCAATATCGATTTGCAATGCCAAATGTACTAGAAACTTCCCACATTGTAGAATCTCACTGGTGTTATGAGAGTAATGTACACTTTCTCACGTTTATTTTCATTGTATACATCATTTCCATCCTTCTAATGTTCCATCTTCACCAAACAGCACTAAATCCAGAATGTCTTCATCGAAGTCATCATCCATATCTTCAGAGTAGTCGATGAGACACTCCTCGTCGATCTCTGTGAAGCGTACGCTCTTGTTGTTCGACGAGAATGAGCCTCTTCCTCTGAGTGATGATTTCAATGATGTGGAAACTCTACGCGTCTCGTCGTAATCCACTATTATGCTTACCGAGTAAACATAGGTATCATCGAGGCCTTCCACAATGGAATGCTTTGTTGATGAACGTGTTGTTGATGTAGATATTGAAGCTTTTTCGAATGAGAAGTTGTCTTCGGATTGTATTTCGCTTTGTGAATCGCTTTTTGCCTCAATTTGTGGTACTTCTGAGGGGATCGGTATCAATACTGTAGCTTTGTCAGCTAGTAATAGTATACTACATGTCTACACACCAGATACTCTAGTGTCAGGAGTAGACGCTTTTGATGAATGCTTGAAAATCCTTGAAACTGTGCTTAAATTAGTGTTTAGAATGGAAATGATATTTTTACCTACATTGCTTTTTCCATGATGTTGAGATCGTTTGTGCACGTGTAATAATCGAGTTTGGCATTGTAAGTCTTAACTTTTGCAATTGGGTTGAAACAGAAAAGTGTGATAAGGTGAAAGTAGATAATGAAGCAGTTTAATAAATACAGAACAGTATTTATATTGCAAGGAATCTGTTTTAGCGTGGTTTTGAAGTCGACTGAAAATTCCATAATCTGGAACTTTGAAAAGTAGTGTAATTTATGGAGCTTGTAGTTAAAAAACTGTTTTTAAGCAGGTTGTGCCTATTAATTAACACAAAATACGTTGCTCATCGTCAGAAAATTTTCATATTAAGATCTCTTCATTTATGCAAAGCTGATAAAAGAGCTGGATCATTTGCTCGATTGCTGAAGGTCACTCGTGTTTATATGGTTTATATGTAATAATAACAGCGTGGCATTGGTTGATCACTAACATCGAAATTGTCCAAATCCCATACCCGGCTAGAAAACTTACTTTTGAATAGGGGAGTATAGTACGCTTGATCCAACTATTCAGATGTTTCGTGTATATATTATTCAAATACTCGATCGATCAGGTGTCCCTATTCCCATCCCCACATCCATACATTCTTAGTATATAAGAGATCTCGAATAGTAAACATTAGGAGGACCCTTCTATAGTGGATAATAACCATGGCTTTATTTGCGCAGCAGTATCCGAGAATGATCTTAGGGAACGCGTATGAAAGCATGGCTGGCCACGATGGGACAACGTCGTCCACAGATTAAGCAGGGTAATAGCAGATTTTACATTTACTGTCACTTTTAACTGCTCATCTGGTACCTTATTTAGCTAATCAATTATCGTCAATGATGCAACGCACTATCGAAGTGCTAATAATCCGATTTTTGCAATATAATCGGAAAACCGAACATGAAAACATTCTGGTGATAATAAACTGGACAGTCACAGAAACTGAGGAAAATTGTCTGGCTAGACCATCTGTATTAGCGTCAGTGACGCGTACGTTTACCAATCACGTGTAAATTTGTTGCTTTTATACTTTAATTTATACGCTTGATCACGAGCAAACGGTGCATTACTCAAACCGTCAATTTCAATACGTGTTAATCGTTCGAACATCACCATTTTATCATCAAATGAGTGATTTGCTTTAAATACACATGATAACATGTTTTTATGCTGAAACTAGCCGTCTATACTCCATTTTATATCTTCCACAACTCATATTACATGATGGTGGTCTTTCTCAACCGAATGTTTCGTGCGATCTTGGACGTAAACGGCAGTGAAATCAGAAATAATGAAGCAGTTCCTATTTATAGCGTATCTTTGACATGTGAATAATTATGTAGTCTTTGATTGTTGCTTCATTATGCATCTGAATGTCTTTCTAGCTAAACGTGTAAGAAGATATGCGAAAAGAATTGCGTAAATATTTAGTTAAAAAGTTGCACCATTGTAATTCTTCGGATTTATTTACACATTTAAAAAGATTTTTGCATATAATCTTTATGTAATTTACTTACACATAAGTGTTTTAATATAGATAACACATTTCTGAATATTTAAATGTCTGGGATGAGGCGACATTCCAAGGTGAGAGTAACATTCGATAGGTTTGATCAAATAAACGCCAAAATATGTTGGGAATATCATGAACTAGTAATCTGTAACGCTATGAGACACGTATAAACAAGTTTGATCTCTTATTGAGGTCATACGGATGTCTAGATCGTCAGTACAGGTATCAAATGTACTCTGTGCTATATCACTGTTGAAGTTAGAAGTTAAGATCAAACCAAAAAGCTATTTCATACAAAAGTAAAGTCGAATAAATCCACTGGAGTTTTACAACCATTAACAAAGTTTACAAAAGTATTCGCGGGGATTTAGTCTACATTGAACAACACGAAAACTCCAAAATTGTAATTGCTCAATGAGCAAAAAAGATGTGACAGGAGTGGGATTCGAACCCACGCCCTTTCGGACTAGATCCTTAGTCTAGCGCCTTAGACCGCTCGGCCATCCTGCCTTGTTTTTAAGTGGTGGTGGAATTTGGTACTTTCAAACAATGCTAAATTTTCAAATTTTACATAAAATCGGCGATTTTACCAGTAGCCGCTGTCCCTGGGGTCGCGGTGAAGGCTTAGATCCTCCCCTTACAAGAGGGTAGTAGATTTGAATCCAATACGGTGCAAAAGCATCACAAAATTTACGACTCCGGTCAAGAAACGCTTCCAATTGAATCCTACTAACTCAAAAAAAGTAAAGATGATCCTGACGCTATAAAAAGTATCGATGGGCAAAGTTATAATTTGTACATCTTAACAATATATTCAGATTTCATCATCTTCATCATCGATCTTAATAGATTGTGAGACTTTGTAATTTCTGTGATGCACGGATGTATTCAACATGTCAAAAGTCCATATAACTTATTAAGACTGATTGATTCTGTTTCTTTACTAATTTGTAAGGATGACATTATTGTAATCTTCTAAAGGTGGAAGCGGAGCTAGAATTGGAAACCAAGGAAAAAAAATAGCATCAACTCAACAGCTTGTTGGTGATTTGCTCTGTCCATTTTTCATGATTTGTGGGATATCAGGTTACCAATTTTCACCAAATTCAAACTTCAGTTGGCTTTTGAGTGTCACAGTATTGGAACAACTATAGTTGTCAATGGAATTCATAGAAAGTGATTTGTTATATTCCAATTAAAGAAGGACATCGAAGACATTGTGGATGTACGACAAATTCAAGTGAATTGAACCCATAAAAACTATAAAATGGATATAAGAATCTCAGCTAATTCTGTTGGATGATCTCTTCATGATAAAGTTCTCTTATTACAAAATAATGTAGATGTATTCTATCACTTCAGAAATTGAAAAATACTTGATAATATGCTATGAAGTAAGAGATAATAAAATCAACCTACGCTTTAAGAGGAGAAAAATCTATTCGGGTATCCTGCTGTAAGTGTATATATTTATTTGTTTGGTGAACGAATATTGAGATTAGCTATTGTGAGGTTTTTCATCAGTCATCATCCAAATCGTCATTCTCATCCATGCCAGCTCTTTCAACCAACTGAAGTACACCTTCATCTGCTAATGTCTGCTCGATTGATTTAGGTTCGAGATCCGGTCTTATGAGGGTACAGTGGAGATTCCCAGCTTTATAAACGAGTACTGTTGGTAGAATATCAGGATCTGGTACGCAATTTTCATCCAATCCGAATTCCAAAGTTGTTGCTTCACCTGAGAGGAATTTTGTGGAAGTGTACACCTGTGCTAGACTAGCGAAGGTATATTCTACATCAATGCACTCTTCAATAGACTAGAAGCCACGTTAAAATGATAAAAATGTGCTTTGTTATCACTCACGTCATCTTTGATTAATATAACAACAAAGACATCCTCTTCTTCATCATCTATTGCGGTGAGATAGGTATTTGCGTCTACTTTCCTCAAATGGCCAAACAAGCGTAGACCACCATTGGATGCCATCTTAATTTGGCGTATTCTCGCTCTTCTGTATGATTCCCTTGCGCGTTTATCCTCCTCATCTTCTTCATCGTCGTCATCTGGATTGTTGAGTACCAAAGCTTTGGATCTGATGTTGTTCGACTTTGCTTTCTCATTATCTTTCGCATTTTGGCCATCTTTCTCGTGCTGCAGGCGTGCATCTTCTTTGACTCCTTTTACACCAGTACGTGGTCCATCTCTGTATTCTGGAACGTCAACTTCTTCGGTTTCTTCTCCAGTGGTAGTCTTCTCATTCTCCGAGTCTGATTCTGCGTCACCGTTCGCTCTCTCGTTTATAGACAAACCGTTAGCGAATAAGCGTCCAGATAAAACAGCTTCTTCAAGTGCGTCTGCCATTATATTTTTGTTATGTTCTTTAGAAGAAAGAAGCTCGCTCGGGCAACTAATTTCTGGGGTACTAAGGATGCATTTTTTATTAGAATTTTGAAGTATTCGTTGTATATAGAAGTATATATCGCCTTTCTGACTAATAATGCAGTTATAATGCAGTATTAAACGTATAACCGAGCTATGACGATATTAGAAACAGCAATCAGCAAACAGGAATCAAGAGTAACAAAAAGAATATGGAATATAAATTCAACGAATGGATAGATAGTTTGCTAGTTTACATAATTCATCATTGGTTGGCGTATGAAAGAGCAAAGAGACCTGCTACAACAGCTAGTGCTCTAACTAAACCGTTCTTTTCGTCAACACTAAGTGGACGTGTAATAGTTTCAAATTTAGGCGCAGGCTCAAATTTAGGAGTGAATTTTTCTAAGTACTTTCTTAAATAGGAATTGCTGATGTCAACTGTGTCACCCAATTCGTTTTCCAAATCATATAGATTGTGATTGATATTTGAGATACCTGACGCAGTACTCAATTTTGGTACATCTGAGCTAGATTGTGCACTTATAGTGTCAGCGGTTGCTGCCCAATTCGTCGCTAAAACAGGAATCTTAACCTTTTTAGTGTCAACTATACGGGCAGGTTGTGGGATAATGAAAGTAAAGGCACCGAGATTTTCCACTTTGGATTTTGTTAGACTGGATTCACTAGTGAGGGGTTGTCCAGGTGCAGTCGTCTCTCCTTCCACGGTGCTTGGGGGTACCTCTGGAGGTGCGTTTACATCCTTTCCTTCTTCACTGACTACACGCTTACTAAATTGCGTAGTGGAGGTAGAAATCTGATGATCATTCGCTCCAAGTCTGTGTATAAGTGCCTGCTTGTTCCCACTAACAGGTAATTTACGCTTTTTGAGCTCATTTTGTAACGACTTTACTGTTAAACCGTCATATCTCTCAGTAGAGAATAAAACACTTGATACAAATGATCTTGCTTGTTGTGACTTCATCAGCGTATGACAATAAGAGTGGAAATATACGGAAAATGGCTAGAAGCAAGCAAATAATCGTCAATCACATAAATTTATGTACAAGAAACATTCATTCAATCGTAAAGGTAAATAATTATCATGCTTGTGCACCTTCTTCGTTAGTTGAAATTGGGTTGTATGAGATACCAGATGGATCTACCCAGCTGTCTGGCAAGAGCGCTGCAGCATATTCATCGATAATTTGTGAGTGCTGGAGGATTAACCAGAGTGAGAATGCAGCCTTGGCAGCCAAGTCGATGATAGCGTAGAGGACTAATTCGAAGTCAAACCTTTTATTTTATTAGCGATCAGTATTTTATTAGATAGTGCAACGTACGAAATAATCTTTGACTTTGTGCCTAAAGCAAACACGACGGCATAAGTAGCCCATGTAAGTAAGACAAGTGTGGTGAGTGGACCGTATAAGACGCGTACATCATCAGATTGGATACGTGATACTAATAAAGTTAGAATGTCATCACAATATAACTATAAGCCTACCTTTGAAACCGCGAATGCCAAAAACGTGAACGACAGCCAAGTAAAACAAGACACTAATGATGAAGAAGAACCAGACACCGACAGCGTTGCTTTGGAAACCACTAAGCAGACCACTAAGAATGAAGCCAACAATTGAAAGAACACCGAAAGCAATGTCCAACCAAGGTAAACCAGTGAGTAAACCAAGTGTGAAACCGGTAAGTGGGAGGGTAATAAACCACTCAACGAAGCGACCGATGTAGATGGCTCTAAGTGGTGGGTGCTTAGGTGCAACTAAATGACGGTGTGATTCTGGAACATAGAAAGCGCCAAAGTTTGTTGCAAGCGCAAGATAGGAGAGTGTTGTGACGGTGAGGATAATACCAACCAAAAAGTGGAAAGTTCTACGACGCTTATTGAGTCGTGTAGCATGTAAACCGTTTACTACAGTTGTTGTTGCAAAGACAGCGAACGCGATCCAAAGGATAGTTTTGCCTAGGTGAGAGGGTTCCTCAAAGACAGGAACTGGTTTTGGTATACCGATTGGAGGGTTGTGTTCGCCTGGAGGAGGTTGGAGAGGTGGGAACTGTGAGTGTAGGTGTGAGATAACAATGTGACTAGACTATGGAGCACCTACTGCAGCGTACTACAACGGTCAATATAATGCAATAAGTGTAATAGCCACACTCACAGAATGACTTAACATCGTGCTCTTGATCGTTTGGAAACAAAAGTCAGTGGGTTATTTAGATTGCGTCACTTGACCATCTACAATCAAGAACTTAAAATGTCAGATGCCGAGCGAAATAAGCAAATACAGTTGAATAGACTACGTGGTGCGTAACGCATTATAATAAACCACCCACTGATTAGCCACACCAGCGAAGGAAGCACTCAAAGAACGCGATAAGATTACGAGCAAATCGCGAGAGCTGAATAACAATAACAAGCGCAACTTGAAACATGTAGAAGGCCATGATGAAGATGTACATAACAAGTCACGTAGGAATGCATCAACAAGCGACAGCTCTCAGCCACTCAGACGTGATCCACGATTGGGACAGTATTATGAATACGATTTATCCAAAATGCAGAACTCAAAAGGTGGTTTTTTGATAGAAGATGACCACGGTTTGGGTGAAAAGACAGAGAATGAAATACGTAAAGAGAAGCAACGTGAGATGGAACGTACACTAGCAGCTTCCTACGAGCCTGGACTTAGCATTGACCTTAACGCAAATCCCAAGTGCAAGCTTTGTTCTAGCATCGAAACAGATAGACAAATCTTACAAACATTTGGCATTATTGTTTGTCATAAATGCAAACAAGCCCATCCGGAAAAATTCAGTCTGCTTACAAAAACAGAATGCAAGGAGGATTACCTCCTCACCGATTCAGAGTTGCGTGATGCGGAGATCATGCCTCATCTTCTCAAACGGAACCCTCATCGAGCGTCCTGGAATAACATGATGTTGTTCTTACGCGAGCAGGTTGAAGATTTTGCATTCAAGAAGTGGGGTGGTCCAGAAGGTTTAGATAAGGAATGGGAGAGACGTGAGCAACTGAAACATAATAAGCGTGGCAAGAAGTTCCAAGATTCACTTAATGATCTACGGAGGAGGACCAAGAACAATGTATGGCAACAAAGACAAGATGCTCAACATGTTCACGATTGGACCACCCAGGATGATAAGCAGATATGCAACGTCTGCAATCTCACTGTTGACGTCGAGCATTTCTAATTTAATAATTTATTCTATGCACAAGCTAATTGTAATTATCTAGACCATATTAGACATATATTCATCTAAAAATACACTTACTTCGCATCAACTGGTGCAAACCGGGTATGTTTGAGTGAGGTGTGGGTAAGATGTTTCCACTGCTTTGCTGTGATCGTGAATGTGAAGGGCTGACAATAGTAGCAACTGCACGCTCAGAAGACGGACTGTCATTACGCAGAAAGTCAAGTGGGAGTGATTTAGTTATGCGATTCCTTTGCGGTGTTTCAAGATCAAGCAAGACCGAGTCTTCATCATCATAATCACTATCCAGGTCAAAAGAAACGTCTGGTCTATCACTTGAGTCCATATCAAGTCCGCTCCAGAGTTTCCTTTTGGGCACCTCCTCAGATAAACCTGAAACTTGAGAAACCCACCCTGATATGAGACTCTGTTGACTTTTATCTTTTTCTTTATCCTTTTTGCGCTTCTTCGACGTACTGCTTTCTTCAACAATAGGTCTGGTGCCCTCCCAAGCTTGTTCAAGTTCTGGAAAGCCGATTGCGCCAACTGGAATATTACTAACTGGTTCATTTTGGGAATATCTAACTGGAGTGGGCTGTTTGAGCTTAGTTTGATGTAATTTGGTCTTTGATAGCGGTGAAGGCGTACCCAAGACGAGTATCTTATCCTGGCTTTTATCCTTCTGTGGCGTCTTCTCAGTCAATATCTGAGAAAAGGTTCTATAAGCACCATTATTGTTATTCTGCGTAAACAGGAGCTCATCCTCATACTGATCTGCTTCCAGGTCATCAATAGTGGGTAGCCTAGTAGGTCGCCTGAGATTACTATCATCTTGTGTATACTTTCTTCGCTTGTTGGTTTCAATGTTTTTATTGCTTTTGAGTGATGGTATCGTGACCTCATTTAATCGCTTACTGAAGTTGGCTAGTGTTGTTAAATGCGCTTGTAGATTATCATTTATGTGGCCATTATAGTTACCATTTGCGTCATTATTCGCTATCATAGCTTTTCGCATTTCTAGATCAACTCTACGCTCTCGCAATGCCGTCATTCTGTCCTTCGCTCGCTTTTCTTCGTCGACGGGTGATAAACCTGCAGCTTTACGCATTCTTGCAAGTTGCGATAATGCTTTATCCGTTGTCAACTCCTTAGCTAACGAGGAAGGTGATGATGGCAAGTCTATTTCATGATCATGATGTGATTGTGATGGCATAACTTCGAGATCTTCTTCATATTGTCTTGCTAACTCTTTCTCGACTTTAGCCTTCTCCTTTTTATCCTTGTTCTTGTAATATTCTTCAGGATCCCAGTATATTTTACTTTTAGTTCTTGCTTTCTTTCCTTTGGTATCAGATTCTGATGGTTTTGAGAACAACTTTGTTTTCGTTGATTTCATCGCCTTACTGAAGCTATCCTTGTCAAGCATCCACGCGCTGTTCTGTTTACTTTCTAATTGAGGTGGAGATGACTTATGACGAGTAAGAGATACGCGATTTTCAGAACTGGTCGGTCTAGATGATTGACTGGATGATTCCAGAGCTCCAGATTTTATCCATCCAGTTGATGTCAGCGGTTTGTAGTTACTTTTAGTCGATTTATTCATTTATCTTTCTGAAGTCGTCATGGAGGTGATAAAACAACAGAGGGGATAGTCAATAGTTTACATTCTATGCATTTTATTATTACGCAAGATACATTATGCTGTGGCATCTTCTTAGGCGCTTTCTTTTCCGTTTAATTGCTTGATGGCTTGTAGAGCACACAATGCAGCTAGTGTTCGTTAGTATGCGCTCATAGTGTATCATATCCAGCTCACCTCCAACCCCACTACCATCCTTGGCTAAACCTATCTTAATGCGTTGTTCAGCTCCGTGTCCAAGGAGAACTTTAAGGGCATCGCGAATTTGTTGCTCGAAACTTGGATAGAATTCAATAACGCTGGATTGATCGTTAAAGTCATCATATAATATGGAATCCAACTCACGATCCATCCAAACCGATATTGATATCACCCGTGGTATTTTCCCGGGTTTCAGATTCAATAACAGCAGCTAAAGCGCATGCACTGAGTCTAGCAGCACGTAACCCAATGTAGTAAGAAGCACTCTTGAGGATTCTAGCATCTTCGATAGAAACCCTCTCCTCAGAGACGCCCAAATCGACCAACACTTTCTTAGCGTTTTCGTACTCAGCCTCGTCTGCATCTTCGAGAGCAGCTGACATGAGTGCAGTATCTAAGCCATATTGTGTGCTTATTCCTTCTGGAAGTGTCTCAACTTGGCTCAAGAATTCCTTTGTTGAATGGAGATGAACGAGGAACCTCCGCAAAATTTCACCTAAGTACATGCCTGAGATGAGTTTTTCAAATGACTGCTTGCGTCTGGATGAACTTGTTAGTGTATACAATGTAGCCATGCGCTACACTAACGGGTTGATTGATGCTGAATCGACGATCTCGTCCCATTCGTTGATTGGTAATACGCTCCTTCCGTTATCTACGTTACCCCATCTTGAGTTTGTTAGAAACAGTTATTAGATACAGTTATTAGATAGAAGCCTCTTACTCAGTGTTTACGACCATCTTACTGCCTTCCTTGACATTCAAAGAAGACAAATCCAATTTCTTTATTTCAGAGAGGTCCTCCAAGTAAGCACCATTAGTACCAGTACCTGCGATAGTGTTATCGTGATTATCACTATCCGAAGGAGGCAACTTACCGAATATCGCACCGATTTTCGCACCCCCAGATTTATAAGAGTGAGCAAGGAGTGTACCGACGGTCTAGAATGTTTAAACAAACAAAATGACAATGTACTATCAACTCACATCATTTACTAGAGCAACAACGTCAACCGGGATATTCTGCTGGTTGAGACTGTCTTGAAGTTGCTTAACGACATCCTTACCAACGGCATTTTTCGCTTTAAACCCTTTGGTAAATCCAATGAGCTTTCCTGAGTTTATCGCTGACTGATCGACAGGAAAACTAGAAGATTATGAGTTACAGATATGATGTAATAGGTGGACCAACGAGAAAGTGAAACCGAGCGGGATTCGCTTGGAGTCTTTAGACTCAGACTTGGTAGACAAGAAATGGCCGATGGATTTTGCCATATAATCGAACAAGTGAGCAAATTCGCCTGTTTTAAGATCCTCAGAAATCTTGTACTTCTCTTGAGTGATTGTAAATTGCTTATCGCCGGAGAGGATGATCTCACAAACACGCATATTAGTACCGCCGAGGTCTAAACTGAGGTATGTCCCCTGCTCAGTGCCATCAGGGATACCGTAGACGTAGGTTGGAATCATGGATACATCGGTACCGTGGTTGTTCAAACCGTCTCGGAATTCACGTTGGATTTCTTGCTTTATTTTTGTTAATCCTGCGTCTTCAATTATAAATTTATCTTTCCACATCGTTGTTAAGGGCCACCAAGAGTTGAATTGAGGTATGACGATCAAGCAAGTCCTAAAAGGGAAAAATCTATCAAATATAAAAAATAGCTTTTACAATAGTATCATAGACGGTAGATCAATATCACCATATAATCAACGCTTGATAGTCTCCAGATTTGTAAATAATGATTTCGACTTCGTGTTGAGCTTTCTAAGTATTTTGAAAGGATATACCCATTTGGATAGCAGGCTACTCAATCACACGATATCTACTATACCCCCAAACGACTTGCATGACAGACTCGACGACCTTAAACTTTTCAATCTAGACATAGAGAACTACAACCTCATCTTGAAGAGGTTCAGCAAATTCAGTAGACGTCATTGCGTAGAGCTCTTTGACAATCTAGCCGCATCCGATAATGTAAACAACAAATCGTACAAATACGTCGTGAAATCTATACTTAATCAGCCTCAAAATACATCACTGGATTACGTTATCATCAACAGATTATATCGACATATTGACAGCTTCGATGAGTCGCTCACGAGGCAGCTATTAGAGCTTTTTATAATGGCAGAAGACACTCAAAATAGTCTAGAGTTATATTACAATCATAAATTACTACTGGATAACGTCTCGGTATTTAAGCTAGTCAACTTCTTCATTAAATTCGATAAATCAGCTGCATTGGATATACTAAACGATTGGTTGAGATTTAACGAGCTCACACCATCATTACACCTCCTAGAATTGAAATTAACTAACAGTAGTTAGTCTTGGTATCTTTGGTCTATCCTTATCCACTTCATTTAGTGGTTTCATTTTGATAGTGTCATTTTTTAGACTAACTAGCGGTCCATTCTCGTAATAATCCACAATATTACCAACACGCATACGATGCCTTCCTTCTTCTGCTCTTACGTGCGATTCAAATTCAATTCTCACTTCGTTTCGGTCCCTAGTTCCGACTTCATCAACCTCACCTTCAACTTCAGTCATATTGATTCTACCCTTCTGTGGTCTTCTCTTTTTCCTATTCATTCTAGTTATACGTTTGAATATCCAAAATCCAAGAAATGTGAGTCCACAGGGCACTAAAGTGCTGTTCAATTGATAAAATTTATCTGGAGAGACAACTCACATAACATTATGAGAGCTTTAATAGGGGGTGTCACTTTCAAATCATACCCGCACAAAACACTAAGTATAAATTAATCAGAAAGATCTCAATTGTATTAATAATTGCATACTATTTAGCGCATGATTCTGAATGAAGATTGAATGCATTGGTTGTATGTACCAAACTAAGACTGATTAATGAAATGCATTTAGATTTCTTTCAAACACACCTTAGTATGACTGAAAAGTTTGACCAGTACATGATCGTCGATATGCATTCCAACTGATCTCATCTTTGTTCAAAGAGTGAAAACATGTGATAAGAAAGTAAATTCATCAAAAAATTCATAGCAGATATTCCAAAAGGTTTAATTACAATTTAGCATTTGATAAGCTGCTAATAATTAGTTGGTTTATTGTTAAGGCAAATTTTACGCACGAAATGCTTACTTAGTAGCATCATCGTAACGCTTAGCGGTTTCAGCTACAAGGTGTCAGTAAGAAAATACAAAACAGAAGCTCACTCACCCCAGTTAATGACATTAAAGATGGCGTTAAGGTAGTCTGGCTTGACGTTCTTGTATTGGAGGTAGAAAGCGTGTTCCCAAATGTCAATACCGAAAAGTGGGACATGTGGAGGGGTGACAGGGTCTTGGTTAGCGGTGGTGATAACTTCAAGACGCTTGTTCTTAGAGTTGAGAGCTAACCAACCCCAACCGGAGCCTTGGATACCGAGGGTCGCAGCGGTGACTTCCTTCTTGAGGTTTTCGTAGCCACCAAGGTCACGCTCGACGGCCTTAGCGAATGCACTGCCTTCTGGGTACTTAGCTTCAGCTGATTGTGCTGGTGCAAGGTTCTTCCAGAAGAGTGAGTGGTTGATGTGGCCACCACCGTTGAACTTAAGAGCAGCCTGGAGTGCAATTTGTGACTTTACGTCTTTAGCGGATTGTGCTTCAGCGAAACTCTTCTCTGCAGCGTTAAGTGCGTTGACGTAGCTGCGAACTGTGAGTAATATGTCATGATAAAACGTTGTTTACTCACGTTTGGTGGTGCTTTGTGTGGTGAATTGTCTATATTTGTCAGTAAATTAGCTTATTATATGCTCATTTCTCACCATCTACCACACACGTCAGCTAATTTGTTCATAAAATGAATCATAGACTTACAATCTCCTCGCAAATGAATGGTTCAAGTGCGTTGTATGCATATGGGAGTTGTGGGAGTTCGTGTGCCATTTTGTTCGTCGATGTTTTGGAGGAAGGAATATATTACGTGAGATTATTACGCAACATTTATGCAAAATTGCAGTAAATTGTAGAAAAGAATGAGTTATGTAGTATGATACAAATAAATATGAGAAATATCCAGTAATTTATTGTACAGCACTTCTGAATCAAATTGACTCAACTGTTACGTCATCCGGGCAGCAACTAAGCGTGTCGATATTGTAAAATTAATCCAATTCGTAGTTTCAGAGTAGTTTAAATACCCATATACGTTTGTCAGGAACTTTATAACCCCTCTGGAATGAAGATCGCATGCAACACAACGTGATCACGTTCAGAGGGTGGTATATCTTTATCTAAAACAGTAAACAGCATTTTAGCGCAAACACACTCATTATCACACACTATTTGGCAATATTACACGATATCGGCTCTTATCGCACAGAAGAGAAGACAGCGAGGGTAGTTTGACAGCTATGAAATTGTTTATCTCATACAACCAAGAATGGAATGATGAGAACTATTTCAACAAACAAGATACATCGGGGCCGTGTTCAAGTGACTATTAGATCATCCTTTTTACACAAACCTTGTCCAGAACATCATGTCCGGTTGGAAAATAAAAGCTGAAAAGAAGAAATCTGAGAGGGATAACGCCATAAAGGAGGCGCTTACTAAGTTACCAGAAGACAAGTATGAAGTGGATGTTAAAATCCGGGAGCTTTCAGGTGTGTCCACATTTTGATAACGAATTTTCTAATGATTTTAGCCACGGCATTAGCAAAGAAGGTAGCAAATAAGGAGTATACAGCTCTACGTACTGTAGAAGCTTATATTCGGGGTAGTGTGGAAGCCCATGAACGCACGAATTGCTTAACCGAAGGTGAGCAACTTATGATATAAAAATAACACTCTAATAAAGACATTAGTATTATATGAGAGAGCATTAGAAATTGCTAGAGCACTCGATAAACATCAAGCCAGCACCGGCAATACGATTGGACCATTACACGGTGTGCCGATAAGTGTGAAAGATATGGTCAATATTAAGGATGTTGATTCTACTATTGGTTTCACAAAGTGCGCACTATATAAGAAAACTGAGACAGATATTGACGAAAGAATACAGCTGGATCGGTAACCGTGCAACAGATGATTCCGCGATAGTTAAGATTCTTGTACACGCAGGTGCTATCCCAATCGTTAAGACAAACATCCCACAAACAATGCTCTCGTTTGAGTGTTCAAATCCACTTTGGGGGAGAACTGTCAATCCGTACAACAAAGATTATACAAGTGGGGGTAGTTCCGGTGGTGAAGCAGCATTATTGGCTTCTAAGGGAGCTGCTGCAGGTCTTGGTACTGATATTGGAGGTGCGCTCAGAGTTATCACACCGTAAGACACTCTAAAGTGAGACAGGATCATTGAGAATACCAACTAGCTATTGCGGTACATACTCTATTAAGCCAAGTTTCGGCAGGTGGCCATTAAAGGACATGAAGTGTGAGTGTTTATCGATCCACTACATTTATCTAACATCCCAAAAGCTGTCGTAGCCGGATTTGAAGGAATCAAAGCTACTGTCGGACCGATGACACGCTCGGTTGAGGATTTGGAACTCGTAGCCAGGACTGTTTTTAATTCAACAATTCTCACTGATGTCGCTGAATCGTCAATAGCGCCAGTACCATATAGGACCATCGAACTACCAAAGAAGATCAGGTTTGGTTACTACACGGATAGTGAGTAGTAGTAGTCTTGATATGAAGACATCGAACTAAACACAACCTAAGACAACTTCGTCAAGTCTTCACCAGCTGTTCGTAGGGCTGTTTTCGAAACAGTGGAAAAACTCGAGCAAGCTGGTCATGAGTGTATCGATGTTGGGCCAGTTGATGCCGAGTCTGCGATGGAGATATTCATTGCTCTTTCAGCGGCGGATGGATTCAAAACACTTATGTCTCCACTTGGAGGAGATCCACGCGTAGGTTGTCTGGTTTATGTATGCTCATCACTAAGAGAGCTTGAAGGAACCTGCACTATTTTTAATCGCATTGGGTGCCAAATTACCTTCATTCATTAGACATTTAGCTGCATGGGCACTCGAGAGTTTCACACCAAATGCGGGATTCGCGAAAGTGTTGAGAGAATCAGGTGAAAAATCAGTACAAGATTACTATAGATGGACAACCAAGCGTAATGAGTTCGCGAAGGAGTTTAGGAATGAGGTAAGCTGTGCATGTCTTAATGAAATGTTTCTCAAGTGTCAAACAGGTGTTCAAAAAACACAAGTTGGATGGTTTGATAGCGCCTGTGCAATCTATGCCAAATGTACCACACACGCTCACAAAATATCTGAATATGATAGCTGCCGAGACCATCACTTACAATGTTACAGATAGCAGTGAGTTGTTGATGATATATAAAAATAACTTTCGCTGACAACACCCCAGCTGTTGGAGTACTTCCGGTTACCAAAGTCGACAAAAACCTAGACCAGTTACCAAGTAATTACGCGTCTGGCAAGTCGGCGAGAGCCCAGCTACTGGAGGACAGAATGTACGCTGGTAAAGAGCCTGTATACAATGCAGATAAGATGCACGGTCTGCCAATAGGAATACAAGTAATCGCGGAAAAGGCATACGAGGACGAGAGGGTAATAGAGTTAATGAAGGTTATTGACAGTTTAGTTAATTAATAAATACACGAATAAATAAATAATTTTATAGAATAGATTAATAATTTTTATTTAATTTCTTATCACAACATTCCAGTTGCCCTCATATGCCCTCATCCTATAACGTCAACTACACGCTAAGCAAAATATGGGAGCGTGCGTTAGTTGCTGCAAGACACGTCACCAAGGTGAAGAATACAGCCAATTATTGCTAGATTCTGAGAGAGACGCTGTCGCTGATCGTGGGTATATTTGTTTGCTCTATCTGCTTTGAGAGCACGGGAGGTGGAATATATCCTTTATATATCTTCTCTATATCCTATCTACGCTATTACACACATTACTATTGTAATGTTGATTGGCTATCTACTCCCGGCTCCAAACGCAGAGCATGCACCGAATAGAGCGACTTTACTAACAAACCTTCCAGTACTCGCCTACCTCGAAAATAGAGACAATGTACCTTGGTTTGATGAGCAGGAACACGATACCACCGGTTCTGGCTCACCACTTGGTGCACTTACCACTTTAGCCTACTCTGTGGGTATATACAAACTCTATCTACGATAGCTAACCATATCTGCAGTCAAACGTCGATCTACAAAGATCAGCCGCCCTTGCATTCGCTGAAATCACTGAAAAGGAGGTCAGACAAGTTGGAAGGGACACACTCGAGCCATTACTTTATTTATTAGCGAATCATGATACGGAAGTACAGAGAGCATCCTCAGCTGCTTTGGGAAATTTAGCTGTTAATAGTAAGTCTCTGCATTAGATATTTCACGATTTTTACTGACGACATCAGCTGAGAATAAGCTCCTTATTGTTCGATTAGGCGGTCTTGAACCACTTATACGTCAAATGCTATCACCAAATGTAGAAGTACAGTGCAATGCTGTCGGATGTGTCACTAACTTAGCTACACACGATGAAAACAAGACAAAGATAGCAAAGTCTGGCGCCTTAGTTCCGCTCACCAGATTAGCTAGATCGAAAGACATGCGCGTACAACGGAATGCTACAGGTGCATTGCTTAACATGACACACTCAGGTTCGTATATATACTTACAATGATTTGTTTTAATGCAATAACAGATGAAAATCGTCAGCAACTGGTTAACGCTGGTGCTATACCCGTACTCGTGTCATTATTGGCATCACCAGATACTGATGTCGTGAGTATACAGCTTTATGTCTTTAGCCAGGAACTCACAATACATTAGCAATACTATTGTACAACCGCATTATCAAACATCGCAGTAGATGTTAGCAATCGTAAACGTCTTGCACAAAATGAACCAAAATTAGTAAACTCACTCGTCGCGTTAATGGAATCACCATCACTTAAAGTACAATGTCAATCAGCACTTGCTTTGAGAAATTTGGCATCAGATGGTTAGTAGGGTACCTTCTTATAAAGCATCGCTAACGAAAAAATTAGAAAAATATCAACTTGAAATAGTACGTAATGGGGGATTACCACCACTTTTACGCCTTCTAAGATCATCGTTCTTGCCTCTTATTTTGAGTGCTGCAGCTTGCGTTAGAAACGTATCGATACATCCAGCGAATGAAGCACCAATTATCGATGGCGGTTTCTTACAACCATTGATTGACTTACTCGGCTTTGGAGAGAATGAGGAGGTACAATGTCATGCGATTAGTACATTACGCAACTTGGCCGCCTCCAGTGAACGCAACAAAGGTGCGATCGTTAGAGCAGGTGCGGCAAGAAGGGTGAGAGATTTAGTCAGAGACGCGCCAATAGCTGTACAATCAGAAATGACAGCATGTGCGGCAGTTTTAGCACTTAGTGATGACCTCAAGAGTACACTTTTAGACATGGGAATGTGTGAATGCTTAATACCATTAACGGCCTCACAAAGTGTAGAAGTACAAGGAAACTCAGCGGCTGCACTTGGAAATCTATCAAGCAAAGCTGAAGATTACACTATATTCAACGAAGTATGGTCGAAACCAGAAGGAGGACTTCACGGTTACCTTGTGAGGTTCTTGGGCAGTCCAGATAACACGTTCCAGCACATAGCTGTATGGACACTGGTACAACTACTAGAGAGTGGAGACAACGACCTAATAGAGAATATTAAAGAGTCTGCCCTTATTTTGCCTTTAATAAAGAGGTTATCAACGGAGGAGTTGGGCGAAGATAGTGAATCAAGTTACAGCTACGATATTGAAGGCGAAGGCGAGATAAAAGCGCTCTCAAGGAGAATATTAGAAATTTTGAATTGATTTATTTTATTGTAATTATGTGATTTTATCCTACAGTTCAAAACTTTTGAAATCTTGACTGGCATCTTTCAACTGGACCATGTCAGAACCTCAGCAACTAAAAAATGTGAGCAGAGAGCCCGAGACTGAGTGGAATATACTAACGTCCTCACAGCGCCTCGAAGCTAAGCGCATTGAGCACGAGCTCGAGCGTGAGCACCAAAGGAAGGTATTCGAATTGGAGATGAAAAGGTTAGAAGACGAGCACAAGAAGGAAGAGCAGCAATTGCTGTCCTCTAGCAGCTGTCCTAGTAGCCCACCCCCTGGCAAGCATCTTTTACCCTCTTTCATCGATTCGAGAAGATACTCAGACGAGTTTGATTTTGAAGACGACGATAAATTTCCTGTTTTGATCAAGGACATCGATGGAAAGTTTAATACAAAGTTGTCAATCTCTAGGCCGCCTTCTACTAACTCAAAATATTACGATTTGGATTTCAACATTCCTAACAACCCTCCATATCCGCTCACTTCACCCAATCCACCGGTGAATGCGAACAGTAGAAGGAGCTTAACACCAAATCAGTCTCAGCAAAAGACTGCTGCTTCCCAGTCTCAGCCCCAGTCGCAGGCTCAATCAAATCAGAAAGTTGATCACGATTTAAATAGATTCATCGGTGTAAAATTAGAGGATATAAAAGGTGAAATCTATAGCTTATGTAAGGATCAACATGGTTGCCGTTATTTACAGAAAAAGTTAGAAGATGATGACGCAGTTGATGAAGTTGTCGATGGTGTTCAGTTGACTTCCAGACAACTTATTTTTAACCAGATTTATACGCATTTCTCGGAGTTAATGACAGATCCATTCGGAAACTACCTTTGTCAGAAAATGCTCGAATTCGCAAATGATCAACAGAGAGATACACTTTGTGAAACCGTTTCACCTGAATTAGTCACAATTTCTTTGAATATGCACGGTACACGTGCTGTACAAAAAATGATTGATTATCTCTCAACAAGAAGACAAATCAATACAATTATCATGAGTTTATCTTTGAACGTTGTCACTCTCATAAAAGATCTAAACGGAAATCACGTTATACAAAAGTGTCTTAATAGATTAATTCCGAACGATAATCAATTTATTTATAACGCAGTAGCCTCAAATTGTATTGAAGTCGCTACTCACAGACATGGTTGCTGCGTTTTACAAAGATGTATTGATCACGCTTCTGATCAACAACGCATTCAATTAGTTACTGAGATTACTTATCACGCTTTAACTTTAATTCAAGACCCCTTCGGAAATTACGTTGTACAATACGTACTTGACTTGAATGACAATAGGTTCTCTGATGGTGTCGTTAGACAATTCTTAGGACATATTTGTGCATTGTCAGTACAAAAGTTTTCTTCTAATGTCATTGAAAAGGTAAGTTGAAATTATAATATTGATCTATATTTCTAACTCATCGCAGTGTATAAGAGTTGCAGACGCATCAACTCGTTCAAGTGTAATAGATGAATTAAATCATCGCCCACGTCTCGAGAAGCTTCTTAGAGACGCTTTTGGAAATTATGTTGTACAAACAGCCTTAGATTTCGCTGAACCAGTTCAAAGGATAGCATTGGTTGAAGCAATTAGACCAATTTTACCAATGATTAGAAATACTCCATATGGAAAACGCATACAATCAAAATTACAAAGAGCATCTATGTTCATTAGAGATAGTTCAGACCCAACATTCGGTTTAAGACCTGCTGGACCAACAGGCGTTGGTAACCCTGGCGGATTTAGAAGTGCATCGGCATCAAACTTTGGTGGTAGCCCTTCACCTAGTTTATTAGGTATGGGTAGAAGTGTTTCATCACATGGATTAGATTATCAATCACTTTCAACACCTTTCTTAGGTGTTGATAATCAATCCAATACCGCATTAGCTGCTGCTGCACACCATCAACACGCTCAACAATTAGCTGCATTGGCTAACGTTAATGTTAACCCAGCGGGTCCAGTCAATGGTGATAGTAGATTAGTACACCCAATTAGTTTAAGAAATCCAGTCAACTTGGGTACTATAAACGCTGCAGCTGCTAACGTTCAAGCTCATCAACACGCACCACAAGGTCAACCTGGGTTTGACTATTTCTTTTCAGCTGCTCAACACCCCTCCCAAAACAACTTAGACAATCCAACTAACAGTAATCCATATTCAGCGGCATTCTCAACGCCATATATATAATAATCTTTCTTCTGTTCTCAAATTGTTGTTGTAGTAGAATAAATCCTGCTGTTATAAAATATATAAATATATACTTTTACATTTGAAATTTCTAATTGAAGAGTACTTGATTGGCTGTACGACACTAAATTTAGCATTACTAATGTACCGATTTATTGTTATGCGTGTTTTACTTATAGAGTTTGGCAACAAGCAATCTACACGAAAGTTGTATAATTAGATAAATAATTATTTTGCATAGTAGTACAGATAGAAATACACGTAGTTGTTTAGTTTGATTAGACACGCTCACCGCGGAGTCTACGAGCGAGTTGAACGTCCTTTGGTTGGATAGTAACTCTCTTGGCGTGAATAGCAGCCAAGTTAGTGTCTTCGAAGAGTGAGACGAGGTATGCTTCACTTGCTTCTTGGAGAGCCATGACTGCAGATGATTGGAAACGCAAGTCAGTCTTGAAATCTTGAGCAATTTCTCTAACAAGACGTTGGAATGGCAATTTACGGATGAGCAATTCGGTGGACTTTTGGTAACGACGAATTTCTCTAAGGGCGACAGTACCTGGGCGGTAACGGTGTGGCTTCTTAACACCACCAGCTGCTTGTGGAGCGGCTGTCTTTCTTGCTGCTTTGGTAGCGAGTTGTTTACGTGGGGCCTTACCACCGGTTGATTTACGTGCAGTTTGCTTTGTTCTGGCCATTGTAGATTATTTGAGAGTTGTGATGATGAGAATAAAAGTTAGAGATGTGTTTTACTTCTTATAGTATTCCGGACGCGCGCTAAAGGATCATGATCATCGTGTTCTGATCTGATCTTGGTGTTGGGCCAAGCGAGAAAAGCACCAAATGGGGAGAATAAAACATCATTAAAAAAAAAGAAAGTTTGGAGCTTTGCATACGGATATTTTGTATATCTGTAGCTTCATTCTTCATTTCTAGATCAGCGTGGATGTATTTTCTGATCAAGCGCAATCTTTGATTTCACATGTAGAGACAATATACGACGCGTAAAAATGTTAAAACGTATAGGCATATATAAAACAATGCACTAGAAATATAATGGTATATTTCTTACTTTCTTAAGTCCCCATCTTGGTCTCCTACTAGATCAGATCAACGATCAAAAATCAGCGCCCGTTCGAGGCGCCTGATCTGATGCGCGCCTCAGAATAATTTAAATACTGAGCGTTTGCCACTCTCTCTCCTCATCAATTAACTAGTCAAGTAAAAATGTCAGGAAGAGGAAAAGGCGGCAAAGGTCTCGGAAAGGGTGGTGCTAAGCGTCACCGTAAGATTCTCAGAGATAACATCCAAGTGAGTTTGTTATTTACGATATAGCAACCTTTTCTAATTACTCCATAGGGTATTACCAAACCAGCTATTCGTCGTCTCGCTCGTCGTGGTGGTGTTAAGCGTATCTCCGGTTTAATCTACGAAGAAACCCGTGGTGTTCTCAAGGTCTTCTTGGAAAATGTCATCAGAGATTCTGTCACCTACACAGAACACGCAAAGAGAAAGACTGTCACTGCACTCGACGTTGTCTACGCACTCAAGAGACAAGGAAGAATCCTTTATGGTTTCGGTCAATAAGCTATTTATCTTGCATCCATCATCACTGTATTATTAGCATCATGAAAATTTTCAAACTATTATATTCATTGTCTGCTGTGCTTTTTAATGACTTTATAAACAATAGTTATTGCTGTGATTGGTGAAGTCATTACTTATGATACATCTTTTTCTCTTCCTTTCTATTAATAAGTAACCGTCTATCTGATTCTGATTTCTCTGTCGTGAAACCGTGGTCATTGAAAAGTCTATTCAACTCGTCTAACTCAAAGAAGTAAACTCTAGTTCCATCTCCACGACAGTAGAAGTTCTCTTGTAATAATCTTTCCTTCTTCATACGAATCTGCGCTAAATCGTATCTACCGTAATCTCTGAACAAAATTTTACCGCCCGGTTTGAGTAGCTTGTAAACATTGTTAATTGCAGTTGAGAATTGATCAGGGTGTAATGCTGACATGACGAATATCATGAGTATATAGTCACAGGAGTTCTCTTCAACTGGTAAATTCTCAGCTGACGGATCGCTGAGATCCCAAACTGAAGCTGAGACTTTACCACAAGGCGGATTACTATACATTGCGTTATTCTAGCAGGGACAATTAAGTATTTTGCGTTTAATGAAAGAGAAGCATACCTTCACGACTTCGACTGCTTGTTCAGAGTAATCAGATCCATGTAAATGCAATCGAGGGTTGCTGTTAGATTCTACGAGCGGGAACAAAGCATTTCCGGCACCGCAACCGACTTCTAATAATCTATAATCCCGTGTAGCTTCTTTGTCACCAACGAGTGTCATCAAGTCTGGGAACTCCAAACCAAGCCACTGTCTATCCTTAAAGAAGCTGCTTTCGTGTGTTTTATAAAACTCGTTCCAGTAGTTTGATGGATTGCTGTTGATTCTCTCTACCTTCCCTTCTGGTGCTTTATGTTCTCTATGGAAGAGTATATGAGGTTGAACGAGCTCCCATTCATTGTCAGGACGTGGTACGTTATCCCTGTAAAGATATTAGCAGAAGAAGCATCTAAGTAGATGTTATCCTAACCAGGCGTTATGCTTGAACGGGTCTTCTCCTTGATCAAGAACCCTGTCCCTCTTAGTTTTTACTGGCTGGTCTGGTTTATTCCTTGAATAAGATAAGCCTGCAGTTAAAGGCATTTTATAAAATCTCCTTATCTTCAACGTCTTGAACGTTTTTTATCAACGACGAAGAAATGCCAAAATCTAAATCTAATAGAGGAGCATTACTTTTAGATAATCTACCGCAATTGCAGGGTCTGATAAAGAGAGATCCAGATGGATATAAGGATGAGTTTATACAGCAATACAACCACTACCAGTCCCAGATGAAGATATTCCAATTGCAACCAAACAGCGATCTGGATAAATTTTCTGATTTAGTCGGTTTCATAGCACAAGTTAGTTAGTTTATTATTGCTATATACCTTTATAACACCCCACAGGTCGCTTCTTGCTATCCTAAAGAGACTGCTGAGTTTCCAGCTCAACTATCTTCTCTTATAATTGAATATCACAATCATTTAACCCCAGATACTAGAAAGACACTCGTACAATCATTAGTTTTACTTAGAAATCGTCAAGTTATCCCCTCAATTGATCTTCTGAAAGTTTTATTCCAATTATTGCCTATAACAACATCAGCTACACTCAGATCTTACATTAGGAATGTAATCTTAACCGATATAAAGCTCGCAAACCAGCGTTCAAAGAATCACAAGCTTAATAGAGTCGTACAAGCTTTGTTGTTCTCAATGGTAGAGAGAGGAATGGACGCAGAAGTACAATCTACAAAATCTAAAGCTAAGAAATCTCAAGACTCTTCATTTGCTACCAAAGCGGGTGCAGAAGCGATGTGGGCTGTCATGTTAACAAGAGAATTATGGAAGAAGGGTGTTTGGAATGACGCAAAGACTGTATCTATCGTCGCTTTAGCTTGCTTCCATCCTACTGCCAAAGTACAAAACGCAGCCGTCCATTTCTTCTTAGGTAGTGACGACGCTATCGAAGAAAGTGAGGATGAAGGTGAAGATATTGATATGAAGAAGGTTCAACATCAAGCGCTTATCAACAAATCACGTAAATCAGTTGATAAGAAAGTAGCAAAACAAAAGAAAGCTGCAAAGAAACAACAAGCTAATAAGGATAACGCAAGCACACCAAATTTCCCTGCTTTACAATTACTTAATGACCCTCAAGGTTTCTCTGAAAAGCTTTTCGAAAGTCTCACCAAGACTGATAAAGTTCATAGCTTAGATCATAGAGTTTTGGTTATGCAACTCTTGACTCGTGTTATGGGTGCTCATAAATTATGCGTGTTGAGTTTCTACTCATACGTTATAAAGTATCTCACGCACCATCAACTTAGAATTACATTAATTTTGGTAGCCATCGCTCAATCAGTTCATGAATTAACTCCACCGGACGTCTTAACTCCAGTTATTCGTAAATTGGCACACGAATTCGTTACACCAGGTGTTGGATCTGAAGTTGTTGCAGCTGGTCTTAACGCAATCACAGAGATATGTCGTAGACAACCATGGGCCATGGAAAGTGACCTCTTGGAAGATTTAATTGAATACAGAAAATCTGCTGATAAAGGTGTCTTAACTGCTTCACGTGGTTTATTACAACTTTTCAGAGAAGTCAACCCAGGTATGCTCAAGCGCAAAGAGAGAGGTAAACTTGCTTCAATGGGATTATCATCTGGTAAAGAAGTTTTGAAGTATGGTCAAAGTGGTGAAGCAGCTTCAGGAATTGAAGGTCTTGATTTACTTGAGAAGCATCTTGCTGATAAAGACAATGAAGGCGAAGGTGATGAAGAAGACGAAGAAAAAGCTTGGGACGATTGGGATGTTGAATCAGGTGATGAATCTAGTGAATCAGAAGGATGGGTCAACGTCTCTGATGATGATGACGATGAGATCAACTTATCCGATAGTGATGACGAGGATTCAAAGAAGAAGAAGAAAGAAAAGAAAGATAGTGAAGAACAAGCTGAAAAAGCAACAGATGAACCAAGGGAAGAAAGTACAGATGATGCAATTCAACGTCTCTCTACGCTCGCAACTGAGAGAATTCTTACGCCTGCCGATTTTGCTTTACTTAATGACTTAAAGATGAAAGCAGTTCAGGACGAAATTGATCAAGGTGGTGGTGCAGCAGCCAAGCGCAAAATGGCGCAGCTCAAGGAGAAGAGGAAAGCGCAGGGATCTGGTGCAGATGGTGATGATGAAGGTCAATTCGTCACAGAGGCCGAGATCATTGGACCACGTAAGCGCGCTAAGAATGATTATGAAGCACGTATGGAATCTATCAACCAAGGTCGTGAAGGTAGAGAGAAGTTCAGCTCCAGAAAGGGTAAACACAAGTCAGAAAAGATAGCTTCAAAGACGAATGAAGAGAAGAAGCGTAACAAACCAATGGTGAGTTTAATATATTGCGCCTACTAATAACGACTAACCAACAATTTCAGATGATGGCTATACACTCGAAGAAAGTCAAAAGCAAATCACAGTCCAAACTCATTGATAAGCAAAAAGCATTACACAAGCACAAAGAGAAGCAACGTAAGAAAGGATTTTAGTTTAGATTTTAAAATATTTTACAAATTAAAATATTTTTTATTTTTTATAATTGTCTGTGCGTTCTTATTTGGCTAAGAGCCCTGCTCAGATCTCGATTGTGTCGATAGCAGTGAGGAAATAAATGCAAGGTTTCAACAACGCATTACCTTATAGACCAAGGTTTGGTGGTGGTGGTGCACCACACATGGCTATGAATGAAGCACCTTCAAAGTTCGCAACTGTGCATTCACCTGATGGTGGAATAACATCACCGAATGCATTAGCTCAGATGTCAATTGATGCACAGAATCAATCTAACGGTAGTCAGCAAAAACCAGCTGATTACGTTTACTTTAAGAGAGAACCACAGTTGTTTTCTAGAGAAGCAGTACCACGTGCAACTGCAGCGAAAATGCGTTTAGAGCAACATTATAAGTTGGCAGTTGAGCACGCTATAGAGCGTAATCAAAGGTTCGTTCGAATACCCTTATTTGACAATCACTGACGTAAATATGCACAGACGTATTGAAACTGAGAAGAAACATTCATTAAAACCTGGCATAGCTCCATACGAATTGTCGCAAATACAACAACGTCGCCAAGTCGCCTTCGAGCGCCTTGGTGAAAAGGAGACCAGCTTTGTTCGCTTGAGAAGAACAAAGATTGGCTTAGATGATTTCAAGACCGTAAAGGTTATCGGTAAAGGTGCCTTCGGTGAAGTTAGACTCGTACAGAAGAGAGACACTGGTAAAATTTACGCAATGAAAACTCTCTTGAAAAGTGAAATGTTCAAGAAAGATCAATTAGCACACGTACGTGCTGAAAGAGATGTACTTGCAGAGAACAAATCGCCTTGGGTTGTCAACCTTTACTATTCATTCCAAGATGCTAAATACCTTTACTTACTCATGGAGTTCCTTCCAGGTGGTGATTTGATGACCATGTTGATTAAGTATGATACTTTCTCAGAAGATGTTACTAGATTTTATATCGCTGAATGTGTGTTGGCAATTGAGGCAGTACACACACTTGGTTTCGTACACCGTGATATCAAGCCAGACAATATATTAATTGATAAGAAGGGACATGTAAAACTTACAGATTTCGGTTTATCAACTGGATTCCATAAGAAGCACAGCGCGCAATATTACCAAAGACTTCTAGATCAAGGTGTTGAATCAGGTCAACAAAAGAAAGAAAGGAATTCGGTAGCTATCGATAAGATTAACCTTACAATGTCTAGACATGATCAAATACAAACTTGGAAAACAAATAGGAGGAAATTAGCATACTCAACAGTTGGTACACCAGATTATATTGCTCCAGAGATTTTCCTTCAACAAGGATATAATCATAGTTGCGATTGGTGGAGTTTAGGTGCAATTATGTTTGAATGTTTAGTTGGATACCCACCATTTTGTTCAGAGAATGCGCATGAAACTTATAGAAAAATTATTGCATGGAGAGAACACTTATACTTCCCAGACGATATACAATTATCATTCGAAGCTGAGGATCTAATTAGAAGGTTATTGTGTGCACCTGAATATAGATTAGGAAGAAATTCAGCTGCAGAAATCAAGCAACATCCATTCTTTGGTGGGTGGTTCTTATCAATGAAAGGGAATTATTTACTAACTAATAATTAGCTGGTGTTGATTGGTCATGCATTAGACATATTGATGCACCATTCGTGCCACATTTAAGATCTATCACTGATACATCATACTTCCCAACAGATGAGTTGGAAGCTGTCCCAGAGACACCAGCAGGTGCAGACGTGACTGGTGACAGCAAGGATTTAGCATTCATGGGATACACGTTCAGGTATGTTTTAACTTGTTTCATCATTTAAAGTTTCCTAATCGAAAATCTTAAACAGGAGAATGACGATGAATGATTTCTAAGACAAGAACGAAATGGAACAGTTTTACTAGCAAATATTAAATCAAATTGTAACATACTAAGGCATATAAATAAATAATTGAAATCGGACTGAGTCCGATTAGAATTTTAGTTTGTGGGGAGAGAATTTTCAAAAGTGTGGGGGAGTGGCTGAGAAATCAATAATTAAGCAGAATAAAATAAAAGTGATTAGACTTGATAGATTGCTAGATTATTGTATAATCTGTTAGTTTAAATTACAGAATTATTAACTACGTTTTCCTCGGATTGCACGTTGGAAAATCCCCGCCGTTGACTAATTCGGAAATGGATTGACTCATTCTAGGCAAAGCCATAGGCTATAAAGCGTGGGGAAAAAAACTCATTCCTTATCCAACAACCACAAAGTTCAAAAACAAATAATAATGATCCCAACAGTATCAGCATTGTGAGTTTTGTTCATGCATCATGAATGAAGAAAGTTTTCTAACGATGTTTCTAGTGAAGCATACAACCTCATCTACGGTGGCTCAAAGGTTGCAAGCCAAACATCACCACAAATCCTCGCTCAAGCAGCTTCATACAAGTCAATGAAAGCATTTGATGCATTGGCAACAAAGCCAGGTGACAAGTACGCCTCAAGAACATTACTTTCTGCAATTTCAAAGAAGGAAGTTGACGAACTTGAGCGCAAATACCGTATGTCACCTCAACAACTTGAAGACACACGTAAACTCGCTAGACTCTCTGCCATGGCAATCATTGGCAACTAAGTAGTTGTTTCCAGATAATTAAGAGACAAGAACTTGAAATCTACTAATAATAAGGACAATTTTCTGCATTTATTACTATCTTGGTTGTATAGGTTATATCGGTTTAATTCATATGTAAAGTATTTCTAAAATCATTACGTTTGAGTGTGTGGCTGTGCTCATAGAGTTTTTAATATCCGTGTTAATCTACACAACTTGTGTGTAATCATGAACGCCACTCAAATTGGTGTAACACTCCATGTTGTCATAACACGTTTATAAATATGCGCCAACGTTTTACTAGTAAAAAAACAACATGTATTGGTATTAAAAGGTAAATTAATCTTTAAACATATAAATATCCCATTTAGATGTCTCTATAGTTTAGTAGAATGTTAAAATTATCAGTAGTGTGAAAACCTTTTCTTTAAACCTTTTCTTTCATCCATCAGGTTAGAAAAGAGGTTTGCTGGCGGTATAGAAGTTATTCAAAACTAAGCAATCACCATCAAATTCGAGTTCAGATTTCGTAGTGAGACCTGTCGAATTTTCAACGCAACCCAAACAAGCAATGTCATTAATACGCCAGTGATTTACTGGATTCCATCCTGGTGCATTCTCAGATGTTGGATCTTTAGCGAAGTTTGCCCAAGCAGTTTGCATGAATTTGCTCATTTGAATTTCATGATCGGTAGCAGGTGCTACACTTTGGTAAGTATCGTAAGTACCGAAAACGATTGGAATTTCAGCTGCGTGATAAGCACCAATGTTTTTAATACCAATTTCAGGAATTACTTTATCAAGTTGGGTATCATTATATGTTGGAGCGAAACTATATCTATAGACCGTTTTACCGGTGTCTAGGTGTGCATGAGCGATTTCTGAAGCTGGACATTTAAAAACCAATGATGTGACCAAATTTGATAAGGAGTTTAAGAGATGGTCTGCAGATACGAGTAAAAGTGAATCCAAGAATGTCTTAATTAAAGTTGTAAAACCTGATGGTAATACTCCAAAGTCTTCGATTACAGCAGTTAATTGTGTAGTATTTAATTTCCCATCATCACCAATAGCATTTTCGAGGTATGGTTGAATGAATACTGATCCTTCATGTGTATTTGTACCCATCAACAAAGGAACTTGAGCGCCTTTTCCATCTTTGATCGCATCTTTAAGTGGTGTTGCTGTTTGTGTAACATTGTCATTGACTGGGAAGAAAGAAAGTGAAAGTTTTTCAACTGCATCTCTAATGACTGTTGCATCAACTTCTTTCATACAGGCATATTGTTCATCTGTAATATTAGAAGTAGCACATCCAACTTCAGTGACAAGATTTTGCCATTTACTAACACCATCATCATCAGCAAGTGGACTCAATGATGCTTGACCGGATTGCATGATAGCTGCTCTAAATGGTGTACCCTCTGGTGGGTTCAATAACAATCTGTCGACTGATGCGGCTCCTGAACTTTCACCCATGATCGTAATCTTTGCTGGATCACCACCAAATGCAGCAATGTTGTTCTTAATCCAATCAAGTGCGAGTCTTTGGTCGTGGAATCCTACGTTAGTTTGAGTTGCATCGAGAGATGGAGCATTTGAAAAACCGAAAACTAAACGAAGTTAGATTGTAAAAGTTATTAATTCTGACTCACCATTCAAACGGTAGTTGAATGATACTAATATGATATCCTGGTTTGCAGCAAATGAAGAACCATCATAGTCCCTAGATAAGGTTGTTTCAGTTTTTCTTTTCATATGAAAGTAGTGCAAACTTACGAACGGCCAGCATTTCCAGTTTGGAGTGCACCTCCGTATATCCACACTAATACAGTTTTATTACCAACTTCGAGTGCATTTTCAGGTGCGTAGACATTAACATAAAGACAATCTTCATCGTCATCTGGTTCTTGATCAACATTTCGAGTAGAACCATTGCTAGTTTGAATGCATTTGTGCTTCCATTGTGTTGCATCAATCATCTCACTCGATTCGCCCTCGAGAGGTAAAGCAGGCTCAAACCTTGGTGGAGGTGATTGAGCAAAAGGTATACCCAAATACTTGTGAACTGGAGAGGTTGCAGATGGGAGTGTCGTAGTAGTACCTTGTGCAACACCTTGCGGGAGTGTGACTGAAGGGGTATCACGCTTTGTCTGTGTCCCAGGAGCAGCAACGACGACTGCACTCGTAGCGAGTGCGCATATGAGTTTTTTGAACATTTAAGTAACGTTAAAAGGTAGTAGATGAACGGACCAAGATGCGACGGTCCCTGGACCCCGGCTATATATAATAACGGTAAGACGATAATGATCTTGGCAGTAAGAAAATCTGATAATAAATCGAAACCCTGGATTAATTAATAAGAAAAGTACTAGTGTTATGGATTAACCTTTTTAACTCTTATTGTATCATCTTCAACCATTAGAAAGCTTCGGTCGAAACGGTTCGCCCCAACAGGAGAAGACGACGCTACCAAACAATACTACTTAAGTTGTCATCAACGTTATGATATGCACTCCAATATACCTCCTCATTTGTACCTTCTTATTAAACGTTCCTCTAAGGTACTAATTTCTAAGGAGGCCGTAGTTTATTAATTCAAAGAGACACCGAACGATTGTAATAAGTAAGACGATTAACGAACGCGTTCATAATAAGACATGATGGTTGCTGAGAACGCCATATCATTGCTTCCGTTAAGTTGAAGTTTATCAAAAGTGCATGAATAAACGTTAAAACGTTAATGTTTAAAAGTTACAAAGAGAATCAAATCGTTTTTTTCTTACTTAGTTCATAACAACATAATTGGCTGGGAAGAGACCGCGTTTACCATCCTTGCTTGTACCCTCATACCAGTCGTCTGAAACAAAATCGATATGAGTGATTGTGTCACCTTCAGCGAAGGATATTTCATTGTCTTCACCAGCTTCGTAATCATATTCGGCAATTGCTGTCTTTCCTTGATCTGCGCTAGTCGATCTGGCAGGCATAGGAGGAGGAGGTGGTGGTGGTGGTATAGATGCACTTGCTGGTGCTTCTTGAATTTCTTCTTCTTCGATCAACTCAACGTAATTAGCTGGGAATAGACCTTCACGCCCGTTGCGGGCTTTGCCAGACCACCAGCCTTCATCTAGTTGTTCAATGTCGTGTATAATTTCGTCCTCGATAAGATCCATTTCGTTATCTTCTGTTGCTTCATATTCGTAAACTACCTTCGCTCTCTGACCACCCTTTGATTGTGGTTGAGCAGGTGCTGGTGGCGCAACTGGGGCGGCTGGAGCAGCCGGGGTCACCGGTGCAGCTGGCATTGGTGGTGCTGGAGGAGCAGGTGGAGGTGGTGGGATCGATGTCTCATCTTCTACTTGTAATTTTTCCATCTCACTTTGAATCAAAGCTTCTTGTGATGGGGACTGTCCTAGTCCACTGTGTGCTTCATAAGAGCTTTGAGGCATTGGAGGTGCTGGTGGCGCAGGTGGAGGAGGAACCGCCCTTGTTTCAGGTTGAGCATCAGGTCTAGAAGGCATTGGAGGTGGTGGAGGTGGTGGTGCACTGTTGTCTACTACCGGAGTTGGACGTGTGCTTGTAGGCATAGGTGGTGGTTGAGCAGCTGCTGGAGCTGAACTTTGGAAGGCAGAAGCGTTACTGAGTGCATTTCCAGATCTCGCTTCCTCTTCTTCAGCTTGCTTGCGGGCTTGTTCTTGGCGTTCAGACCAAGTGAGCTTCTTTGGTGGAGCTGAACCGCCAAATGAAGAAGGTGCAGGAGGTGCAGATGTCTCAGTACCTTGGGCGAATGGGAAGCGATTTCCTAGTTTCTTTGGTGCAGGGAGCTTGACTGGTTCATAGGCTGTGCCTACTTTGCCTGGACGTTCTTCAGGTTCTGATTGGGCAGGAGCTGGAGGTGCTGGAGTAGGTGCTGCTGGTGCTGGTACTGGTGCTGGTGCAGTATTTACTGGGGAGGACTTTGGAACAGACCAATCACCAGCTTTGCCAACGACACCGCCGAAAAGACCACCTGAAGGAGGTTTTGGAGCTTGAGTAGGTGGAGTTGGTATTGAAGGTTGAGCTGGGGCTGGTGGGGGCACAGAAACTGGTGCAGGAGCTTGTTGTGGTACTGGAGGAGTTTGTCTGATATTTGCGAGCTCATTTCTAGGTGGGGTATAAGCAGTTCCCTACTGATTGTTAATGGAAAACCAGGAGGTTAATAAACTTACGACAGGTGTTGGTGCTTCTGGTTTTGGTACATTTGAGCGCATAGCAGCGATATCTGGTGTTCCGATAGGCTTGTAAGCTGTACCAACAGGTGCTGGTGCGACAGGTCTCTCTGACAAAGCTGGGGCAGATTGATTGACAGAGAATTTGGAACCTGAAGAATCTGATACCTTCTTTAAGATAGCATCAGGGTCGAGGTCTTCCTGTGAGCGTGCGTTTATAGTGACGTGAGCACCACTCAATAACTGTGTGAGCTGATTAAGCTGAGAGTGGAAACCACCCTTCTTAAACTCAGGTACTGATTCACCGCACCAGTTGATTTGTACGAGCTTTGGGAGCTGAGACTGAATTCTGTGTGAGTGATGACGTTGTTATGCATAGCATAGACTTACGTTTGGATCTTTTACTCTAACAAAAGCGAACTGAATACGGCCATCGTGGAATTCCTCTTCAATCTCTTCTAAACCACCTGCGCCCTCAGATTGCAGCTTTAAACCACCATCTTGTGCAGGACCGAGTAATATCCAGTCCGTGCGAGATAGAGGCTGTCTAACTTTATCATGAGCTTCACTAACTTCTTGATGTATAAATAATGACCTTTTACTTATAAATTATTGTCTATTTTCGCTTAAATTTACTTACATGATTGTCTCGGTGAGAGCTTCGTTTTACACCGCAATAAAGTCAAAATGAGCAGTGAATTATTCAAGGAAAAGGGTTGTATGTTATTTATTGCAGAACATCTCTATTATTTTGTTGATATCTCTCACAGCCTTTGGATTCTCGTTCGTGCAAGATGGAGATGTAGATTTGGTAGATGATAGCGTACCAATTCAACAAGAAGTTATTCCACCCGCTATACAAGTTGATAAGAACCAGTTCATTCCAAATAACCGTCAATTTCATTTAAATATTGGTAGCTCTCAACAACAGCATAGAGATACAGGTCCAAGACGTCTAGAAGCGATATCTAGCGTAGAAGGTGCATATTACATGCTACCATATCTTAATCTGAGCAAGGATGATGAACCAACTCGTCTGAGAGAACCCCGTGGATGGTTAGAAATGCCCGTAGAAGCACCATTCACAGCAAACGAAGAACCGTAGGTTTCCTTACAATCATATAATATATAATAACAGCCCACAGTGATCAAGCTGAACAAAGGTGGGAAAATCTCAAAGCAGACCTCACTTTCAACTACAAGAGGCGGGCGAGAGAGGCACAGAAGAGCAAGAGACGGAGGAATAACCTCACAGCTGATGACGGAATTTGATTTTATTATTTAAGATTAAAAGGATATTAAGTTACATGATTGATAAACGAGTCGAGAAAGATTACGGGTATCTTTAATACATTTGCATTATTTAAACTCCGGATAAGCATATGGGTGATAGTCAGGCATCGTATCAGGTGAACTTTGACAGTAGAAGCTGTCTTCATCGGATGATATCGACGACGACGATGATGGTGAGCTGAAATGACTCTTAAGCTGTACTGGTATTGGTTTACTTTCTTCACAATACGAGTTGGTGATGGATAAACGTGACATTTCCTTGTCAACTGAGACTTGGATAGGAGGTGGATCACCAAATAAGGTACGAGTTCTAATAAAGTTAGTCATTGTTCAACATTTCTACAAATGCTCACTCTCGTATTTCCTTATCATTAAAATGTGTCTGATAATCCAATAAGATCAATAATTCGCGTTCCATCGCGTTTATTTGTGAAAGCTTATAGCTACCTTGACAGAGAGCGACTATGCTAGCATTTGAGAAGCAATCATCTATGCTTGTCTTGTAAGCTATCATAAACGCAGCTAACCATAGACGATGTCCTGCTTGTCCAGCTGCTGTCGACGAACTAGCAGCTTGAGGCCAACGTGATTTCAGTCTAACTAATAAGGCCACAACGAGGACGGTTATCTCTGAAGGTAATCTTGTCCTTCTAAGTGATTTGTGAATAAAAGCCCCTAAGTCAGGTAAATGAGGATGTGACTGTTGTGTTTTTATCTGAAACATAGTGTTTATAAGCCAACTTGTGCGCTCTGAGTAAAATTCCATTTGTGATCGTTAAAGTTAAGAAGTTAAAGATTTCGATAATTTTATATTAAGGTTCATCTCTTAATTCAATTCAGGCACTGACAGGTGAGATTGCTGCCGCGAAATGAGTGTGGAGTGTCAGGAGGACAAGAAATAGGAGAATATTGTAATAATATACGTATTTGATATATATACGCCTATTTTATTGTAAAGATGCCGACAATTTAGACACCTCCACCTATGTTTTCAATTTGCTCTACAAGCTGTGCCGAGCTCAATGCAACGATGTGACAGTCGGCTATTAAATATAAACAGAAAGGAGGTGTCGTCAAGGATGTTTGGTAGATCGTGTGATCAACAAGAACGCTATATTATGCTGATATAACTAGATATCGAGCGATCAAATGGGAGTAGTATATAACTATATATATAGATAGTCCAGGCAAATAGTTATATCGCACTGACGCATTATCACACTTCTTTGATAAACGACGATGCCAGATTGGGCGAAATTAGCGGACAAGGGTAAAGAGTACAGCAATAAAGGTATAGACAAGGGAAAGAAAGCTTATCAAAACTCTAAATCAGCGCCAACGAATAAAGCGTCGCCATTTGAGCCACCGAAGCAGATAGTATCATTAGATCATCAGCCAGCGCGTAACACAGCCGTAAGTGTGTATGAAATATCATATTATCTAACAATAAACAGCCAAAAATTGATTTTGCACCACCACCACTGCGTCCGGATAGTGCGAGATCATCATCGACTAATCCTGGGATAGGAGGATCTTCTAATAACCAAACAAGAGGCTTACCTCCTAGAGGCAGTGCACCACCTCAGCCTGGCTTTAGAGGCAGAGCGAGTGCGCAGGTGAACCCACGTTTACCTATGAGAGAGGATCTACCACAGTACCCTGGACAGCCTTCCAATATATTCAAAGAGAACAAAGAGCAATTCTTCTCATTCTTGGATGATTACTTTGCTAAGAATCCACCTAGACAATCTGACGAACCTGTGCGTAGACATTACATTATTTATTGTATGAAAGCTAAGAATCTACAGGAAATACCAAAACACACAAGACCTGCTTTTTGATTAAGACTTTGTACTAAAATTTATATGACGAATTTCAAACTTCTTCGTTCGACAACTTCATGATGTCTGCAGTCGTAGGATTGAACTTTGGTACTGGATACAGCTCTATAGCTATAATCAACAAGGTACTCCCCTACATTATTATAGAAAGACTCTCTAACAAAAGTTTTAGAAAGGATACGCTGATTGTATCGCCAACGAAGACGGCCAACGTCAAATCGCCTCAGCTTTGGCCTTCAACGGAGAAGAAGAATACGTTGGTAACCAAGCTAAGCCACAATTGGTACGGAATAACAAGAACACTATCCTCGGTTTCAGAAACCTCCTCGGTAGAGAATACAGCCAGGATATTCCACAGTCTGAATTAAGCGCAAACGTTATCAACAACAATGGTACACCTTCATACAAGGTCACTATCAATGGCAAAGAAGAAATTCTCTCCGTTAAAGATGTCACCGTAAAGGTTTTACAATCACTCGCAAACTCCGCTATCGAGTACGTTGGTAAAGCTATTGACGGCGCAGTTATGAGTGTACCACACAATTGGTCACGCGAGAAGCGTCAAGCTCTTAAAGACGCTGCCAAGGAAGCTAACATCCCTGTACTTGACTTGATCGACGATTGGGCAGCTGGTATGTCAGCTTACAACGAAGTTTTGGGTGAATCAGATGTTAACGTTTTGGTTGTCGATATGGGTGAATACTCAACTTCAGTTACTACAGTCGCTGCTCGTCAAGGTCTTTTCACACCATTATCTAACCTCACAGACGACAAAGTTGGTGGTCAACAACTCGACAAAGCTTTAGTTACCCACTTTGCAAAGGAATTTACAAAGCAAACTAAACTTAACGTTCCAACTGAATTCAAAACCGATTTGGAAGAAAGCGACAGACGTGCGCTCGTAAAGTTGACACTCGCATGTGAACAAACCAAGAGATCTTTAACTGCATCAAACTCAGCAGGTATCGCCATTGAATCACTTAAAGACGGTATCGATTTCAGCTCACAAGTCAATAGATTAAGATTTGGTATCCTTGCTTCTAAGACTTTCAATGCTGTTGGTAGCTTAGCTGAGAAGGCCGTCAAGGAGGCTTCATTGGAAATCGAGAACATTGACAAGATTGTATTGATCGGTGGTTCATCATCCTTACCTTCACTCACAAACGTTTTGGGCGGTATCTTCACTAACGCAGAAATTTTATCTTCAGTTGACCCAGATCAAGCTATCGCTAAGGGTTCAGCAATCCAAGCCAAATTACTCTTCCAACCTGATGTACCAAAATTACCATCAGCTACAACTCAATTAGACGTTGGTGTCACATCTGCACCAATCGTTCTCGCTGGTGAAGGTGAAGAAAATGCAGTCGTTGTTGCACAAAACACACCATTACCTGCACGTAGAATCGTTTCATTAAACCCACCAAAGGGTGATAAAGCTTTCATTGATTTATATGAAGGAAAGCATGAAATTAAGGTCGTTCAACCACCACCAAGGGAGAAATCCGCAGAAGATGAAGAATTCAGTGATGAAGAGGATGATGAACCAGAAAGAATTCCAATCATAACACGTACTTCAAAGATTGCTTCTTTGCAAGTTCCAATTAAAAACACCAACCCAATCACTCTTCAACTTATCGTACTTGAGAATGCGTCAGTTGAGATTAGGGCTGAACAACAAGGTCAAGAACCTGTTGCTGCATCTGTAAATGCACCATAAAACTTTTTTTTTCGTAATTAGATATTCTTATTCATCAATTTCAAATAATATTTTACTTGATTGTGTTGATGCTAAAGCATCATGCAACGCCTTTGTGGCTTCTTCGTCTGTTTGACCTTTCTCGAGTTTAACAATTTGATGAGATGGTTCACGTAACTGAGTTTGTTTTAGATTAAAGAAACGAATGTTTTAAATACCTACATTTCCATTCTCGATGAGTTTAACAATCTCACTGATCAACGTTTTCTTTTCATCCATCGTGTGGTCTTTGTACCAGCGTGACATCCAAAATCCAACACTTTGTAAATTCTACTGATGATTAAGTAAAAGCGTACTAGTGATAATATACATACCTTAAATATGTGTAAACCAGGTGGAATAGTCAATGGTTGCTTAGACATAGCGCCATATGTAACAAGATATGCGCCTTCACTTAGTGTTTTTACAATCTCAGTCGTTTCCTTCCCACCAACGCAGTTGAGCGCGAGTTTCAACTCTTTACCTTGTGTCCAACTTTTGATTGATTCGCGAGCTTGTTTAGAATTCTGTGAGATTTCCTCATTCGTGAGAACATGTGTAGCACCCAAATTTTTCAATTCAGTTACTAATTGATTGGTTTTTTCAGTAGTCTCACGTTCCCTTATCAAATTGATAGTATGGATATTCATAGCCTTTGCTATTTGTATAACTGCAGTACCAACAGCTGAGTTTGAACCATTTTGTATAATGTAATCACCACTTTTCAAATTAACGAAATCTTCGAGCATTCGTAAAGCAGTTGGTGGATTTATTGATAACGTCGCTCCATGTACCTTTGATAAAGCGTTACTTTCAACTTTTATGAGATCTTTTGAAGGTAAAACAGCGGATGATCTCCAAGTACCGCTCTGTGAAGCACCCATTACAACCCAATCATTGATAGAGAGATCTTTTACACTTTCTCCTATTTCAGTAACCTGCGCCAATGCTTCATTTCCACCTAAACGATATTCTTCATTATCGATAGTTATAGTTCTCGCTTTAGCGGGATACACACCCTGAATAACGTTTATATCGGCTGGGTTTAAAGGTGATAATAGAAATTTTACTTTCACATCATTTGACTGTAAATTTGGTAATGCGTTGAGAGTTTTTACTTTAAGTACATCCGCTGGTTGACCATTACGAGTGTATGTAATCGCTCTCGGTGCTAATCTCATGATAGAGAACTTCATGATGGATAGTGAATAACGTCATAAAATCAGATCACGAATCTACAAATATATTAATTATTATGCCATAAAAGTGTCTTTAATGAATTCCAATGATTGGAATCTATGTAAAGGTATTCCATAGAATTTACTAAACCGGATTGTAGTGTGAACTTCCGCTTATCGAAAATGTACATAACCGAAGCCCAGACGAGTGTAGCGACGATTGCGAATGCTTTATCATTAGGTGGATGTGGTTTATTGTTGTTTATCGTGTATTCCGTTGGTTGGCGTGGTATAAATGATGCTACTACCCTTGATAGTACGTAAAGTATGATTTGTTCATTCACAGGATTTCTGTCAGAGAATACTGCGTATCCACCTACTAAACCAGCGAAGAATGTGTCCAGATTACGTGATTTACCATTATTCATGTACTTTTGTAGTACCAAGATAGTTTTGTATATAGCGACGAACTTGGCTAGATTGAATGAGTGTTGCTTTGTTGCTTTAAATATATTCATTAATTTAGTCTTTAGGTCGCCTTTACTGAATAGAAATGTCATCACTAGGGCATGAGGAAAGCGTATCTTTGCTATCTAGGGGTTAATGGGTGTCTATACAACTTAAGAGACTTACCGCCATATACAAATCCATTACGCGCACCCTTGAGTATACTCAGCAACGGTTGATACTTTTTATTCAAAATAATCGCGTTGATAGCGTTATCATCCATGATAGTAACTGCACAAGCCGGATTTTCGGTTAATCAAAAGAAATCGATAGTTGTACAAAAATATCAAACTGTTTGAATTGATTCTGGGAAGTTAATACCAGCTTTCTTTCTAATGTCGTCAAGTATCTCCGCAGAAAGTAAACTGTCTGACCAAGGAACAACACTTGATTGTAGTTCACCCCTATGGATCAGTCTAGCACATTCATCTGCTTCCCAGTGCATACCGTGGTTTGGAATTGGGAAGTTGAACTTCTCCACCTTTCTTGCTTGATTGTCTGGACTTGGGTGGTTGACATCTCTCAACCTGATTTCATATGATTGTGGTCTTGATAACGGTAAGTCGTGAATAATTAATTCACCCTTTTCACCTCTAACAGTTAAAGTGGAGACTGATCCAATGTTGATGTTTGTTGTGCAAACTGCATCAGCGTTTATACCTGGGAACTTGAGTAAAGCGTGAGTATTTTCATCAACGCCATATTTGCTATAGATTTTGTTAGCATCACATTTACATAGAAAACATCCACTAACTTTTTGATACAGCTTGCACCTCTAACTTCAGGTTTAACGAGCTTGTTGTCTGGGTGGTAATATAAAACACTGAATACCCAGATCAATGGGTATGGCATAAGGTCCATAATACTACCACCACCGAGGTTAATGTTGAAAATCCTATGTTCAGGGGATAAACCGACGAATGTCTGACCGAAGTCAGCTTGTACTAATTTGATATCACCGATGACACCACTGTGAAGCTTTTGACTGATTTCTTGTAACATTGGGAAAAATCTAGTCCATTTGGCTTCCATAAGGAAAAGTCTTTTAGAATGTGCTAAATCCACCAAAGCTCTCATTTGTGGTGCGCTTATAACTGCTGGCTTTTCAACAATGACATGCTTTCCATTTGATAATGCATCCTTTGCGTTGTGGTAGTGATGTGAATGTGGTGTACCAATGTAGACTATTTGAACGTTGCTATCGGTGTATACACCTTCATAGCTACCGTAACCTTTAGCTGATGATGGTGCGCCGACTCTTTGTAAGAATTCATCTGCTTTCTTAGCTGATGATGAACCAACTGCTACCAAGTTGTGCTTAACATCTGAGACGCCTCTTTCTTTTGGATCTGCGAGAATATCTTTTGCGAAAGTTTCAGTGATACCGCCTAAGCCAACTAAACCAAAGTTAAGAGTAATTTGTGACATGATGATTGTTTAATTAAAGAAATGTGAAGTTCTCGCTATTTATGCAATCTGTGATGATATCATCATGTGTTCTTTAGTTTCCCAATTTAATCGGATTTCAGTGTGTTATCGCGTTAAGTGTATATTTTTCATTTATAGTGTATTAATTAATTGTTTAGCGTATTAAGTTTGATTTTTTATTTTATTATGTGGCTATCGATAGTCTGACGTTATCGACTATCTCTAAATAAGGCAACCAAGATGAAATTTACAACAGCAACTATAGCAGCTATAGCTGCATTATACGCGTCCGTAGATGCAGCCGCACACAAGTTAGTTCATATACTACAAATTTAACCCCTATTTACAGTTATTAGAATGAAATTGAACAAAATTGAACACACTGATCCTAGCGTATTCAGTGGCGCGTCATTAGCCCACAAGTACGGCGGTGTTGTCGCTGATTCTGTCGTCAATGGCGTAGCTAAGACTGCTATTCCTGCATTCGACGCCGCAATTGAAATGATGTCGGAATTGGAGGGTGACGTTAACTTACAAGCTAAACACGGTTTACCTGTTAGCAGTGCGTTATTTTTTTTAATTTCTTTATCGTCACACTAATCAAATATTAAGATTTCCTGAACGCGCAATATTACGCCGAGATCGGTTTGGGTTCACCAGAGCAGAAGTTTAACGTAGTTTTGGACACTGGTTCATCTAACTTATGGGTACCTTCAAACAAATGCATGTCAATTGCTTGTTTCCTCCACCGTAAATTCAACCCAGAAGAATCAAAGTCATACAAAGCAAACGGAACTGATTTCGAAATTCGCTACGGTTCAGGTTCCTTGAAAGGTATCGTCGGTCAAGACACTCTCGCGATTGATGATTTACATGTAAAGAATCAATTGTTCGCCGAAGCAACTTCAGAGCCAGGTTTAGCTTTTGCTTTCGGTAAATTCGATGGTATCTTAGGTTTAGGCTATGATACTATCTCAGTTAACGATATTCCACCTCCGTTCTACAACCTTATTGATCAAGGTTTACTCGACGAACCAGTTTTCTCATTTTACTTGACCGATGAACAATCCGGTAAAGAATCACAAGCTGTATTTGGTGGTATTGATCACGACCACTATAAGGGTCAATTACACTACGTACCTTTACGTAGAAAGGGCTACTGGGAAGTTGAGCTTGAAAAGTTAACCTTCGGTGATGATGAAGTTGAATTAGAGAACACTGGTGCTGCCATTGATACTGGTACTTCACTTATTGCAATTCCAACTGATATGGCAGAGATGTTAAACGTACGTACCTTAATTTATGCACAACACGGAATTAATTAAAGCCCCTTTATAGAAAATGATTGGAGCAAAGAAGTCATGGTCAGGTCAATACACAGTTGATTGCAACAAGGTTGATGATTTACCTGAATTATCATTCACATTCGGTGGAAGTAAGTGAAAATTTTCAAAGGTTTTAGGGTACTCTTTTCTGACTTTGCATATTAGAGAAATACCCATTAAGTGGTAAAGATTACATTCTTAATCTCCAAGGTACATGTGTATCAGCATTCACAGGTTTAGATATCCCAGAACCACTTGGACCTATCTACATTATCGGTGACGTCTTTTTAAGAAGATACTTTACAGTCTATGACTTAGGTAGAGATGCAGTAGGATTTGCTGAAAGTGTTTAAACGATTTTAGTTGTAGAACTTAAGAAAATTTTAAAGTTGATTCATTTGATTTTTAATTTTAATTGATCGTACCTAATTACCCAATCTAGCTCTTCTTGAAACTGTCAAATAAAAAGAATGGAGGGAAATAACAAGAGGAGAAGAGTAAACAAATACAAACCAAGTCTGATAGCTAATATAAATATCAAGTCTATATTAGAATTAGATATCTTAAACATCTTATATAACGATAATCTCAGGCATGAAATAATACACTCAAAGAGTTTACAATTTAAGAGCTTAAATAATAGTAAAAAGAGTGATTTATATTGGAAAGCTATCGAATATGAATTAGAATTCGATTGTAGTTGCTTGGTTTTCGATGATAAAGGCCAGGGTTCTATCGTAGAATGTAAATGCCATAACGGGGTGCAGCCAAAGAGAATACCAATAATGATTAGAAATATAAGGGATATTCTCATAAACCTCCTGGAAAAGTCAAATAAGGCAGATTCAGATAGGGTTAATGAATTGACGAACGAGCTATTAGATGATAAACTCACATTATCTCAATTGTTCAAATCTTTAAGTGCAATTTTAAAGAAACATTGCGCACCTATTAGAGATAGCCTGATCGATAGATTTTTATCAACCTCTTTTGATAATCTAACTCAGTCTTTGGAATTGTTTCTGACTTTATTAGAACAGATGAAAATTGTAAGTTGTCTTAATGGTCCTTTAACTTAGTTAAAAATCTATAGGACATACTCAATCATCAATTGATTGCTCATCGTCAACTTATCCTACAATCGGCTATTGAAATTGAGTTCCAATACTTTGAAATGAGAAGGCAAAGCGATGAATTATCGATCGAAAACACCATTAACTGCTTATCTATCTCGAAAGGTAACACAATTAGAGAAACCTTCTTCTTGAATGTCTTACAACAGCTTCAATCGAACGGACAACTTCCTGAAACTCTTCTTTTAGATAAATCAAAGCTAGATAACTCTCATCAACAGATTCAAGACCTCACTTTGATATCTCTATTGTTATTACTTGCCAGACAGACACTCAATGGTTTCAACTCATCTTCTCTCAAACAATTCACCGTAAATGAACTTCAAGAGCTGAAGTCTGAGTTATTTGTTATTTTAAACAATGGTAAAATACCCTCTCCTTTATTTAAAACTCAACAAAATAACAAAGGCTTAACTTTCAAGGTTGTTGATCTGATTCAATCTAGTAGCAATCAGTCAACTTTATTCAGTCAGTTGTCTGACAAAACAATCTTAATGGCTTTAACTCATATTACAAGAGCTGTTAATAAGAAATTAGGTTATATAGATTCTTCACCTTCGACTGAACTTCTACAAAGGTTGAAAGATTGGTTTGATTTGCATTATAATAAGCAATCAAACGTATATCATCTAATAAGGAAGCGTTTATATGATAACCTTACCCAACAAATATTAGAAGGCTTCACAACTATATCCTCCAATCTTAACGAACCATGCGTAATTGATATTTTGACAATATCCAAGAGATTATCAAATATTTTAGACTTTAATTACAAGACTTTTGAAGGACTTTACGCGAAATTATTAAACACTTCAATTACATCTGACATTGCATCTTCACATAAACACAAACAGATAACCAAATCTCAAGCGCAGGGCGAAGGAGATAATGATACAGACAACAATAAGCTTCCATTCCATAAGAATGAAGCTAGCATCATACCCACCTAACGACATTATATGCAAGGACTTACGGACACATATGGACTCTTTTCATACCTTTTATTCTTTTATTTGTACAATCACTCCAGATATATATACTATATAACAACTTATGTTAACTTTAAAGAGTAGCATCTTCAAAGTATTTGATACGCATCTAGTATTTAGTTTATGCTTGACCAACTTTCTTGATTTTCGCTAGATCAACTACGTGACCTACATTTCTCTCATAGAAGGCATACAAAAGGTCAGCTACACGAGCAGGATCATCCTATGATGTTTCATAAGCTGATGTTTAATTAAGTAAGAGTATATATTACCTCCTGAAGACAATGCCCAACATTTTGTATAACATTGAGCTGAAATTTGCCTTGCATTTGAGCTATCATGAGTGGTGTATCGAGTTTATCAGCACCAGCCAATATAAGTAACTTTGCCGTAGGTGCACTTATGAACTTGTTCGAAAGTCCTTTGAACCAGTCTGAAGGTTAATTGTTGTTAAATTAAACCATATTAGTAAATATAACTCACCAGACCAGTATGGTTCTGTTCTGAGTAGATCAGTTCGCCAATACCATTTGCCGTCCTTCTCAACAACCATAGATGGTACCGATAGTCTAGCTGATTCTGGATTATGAATGACGCGGTTACTGATACTATTATCTTCCTTGTGAGTCGCTCAGTTGACGAAAGTTTCCACTTACTGCCATGAAATAGCCTGACTGAGAGAAGTAAATGATTGCGGATTACTCTTCACAATACCTGCCATAGAGGGTAGTGCTTCCATAGCTGTTCCTTCTACAGCGTCGAGAACACATAAACCGACAACTTTCCCGACTAGTTGATTTATGGATTTAACAGCATGAGAACAAATGCTACCTCCCAGACTATGACCTGCAAGGATAAATTGGGGATTTGTAGCCTTATCGGTGAACAATTTGGCAAGTATTTGTGTGAGGTCATTTGAGAGTGTCTCCAACGACATTTCGTATTCATTTCCATCTTCAATACGTGTTTTCCCTTGCTTTATTTAGACTTGTATCTTTAATATCTAAAACACCCACCATGCGCTCGTGCATCAAATGATAGCATACCAAGTTTACCGTTACTCAACCGTCTGAGTTCCTTAGCCAAACAGGCGAATGATAAACCTGTATACCCTGCACCTTGGTGGAATACTACGACAGTAGCGTTTCGCTGTTCTATGGGCGCCGAGTAGTAGACTCTGAATATACATCCTGGCTTGGTTTCTATTTCTAGAGCTTCATCAAAATAGTTCTGCCCACTGAGTGGTGTGTATTCAGCCTGCATCCTATGGCTTTTCGTGCTCGTCGCTTGTTGACTATACTCGGATTAAATGAGTTTCATAGAATGAGAAGCACTCACCCAAGAGAGCCAAGCTCATCAGCTGCTTCATCTGCTTCATCAGTATCTTCTAATGGTAAATCCGCTGGTAATTTTGATAGTTTAGCTGCGAGTTCTCTACGCAATGACATATGATAGATAAGATCGAAGGAGGGAGTAGATATGTTATGTTATTAAAATAAGAATGTATTTTTATAGACGTAGTTTAAAATATAAAATACTATACTCAAACCTAAAGTTACTTTCGTCTCTTCATATAATTACATTACCAGCAATACATTCTGAAACATTACCACCAATGTAAATTTCACCGCCCTCTTCTGTTACGCTGACTCTACCTCTTCTGCCAAGCTTTGTGCCCTGGGAATTGAAGTAATGTTTTGGCGTTTGATTTTGTAGCCATTTTGCGATACCAGCACTGCAATTGATGTTAGAATGGCATATATGATAACAATAAACCCACTTAAATGATCCTGTCACAGGATCTTCTCCTACTCCATCAGCTAGAGGCGCGAAAGCTCTCACTTCAAACTTTACATCACTTTTTTCTTCTTCATATTCACCAAATAAGCCAAAGTAGAGACCGGAAACAATTTCCTTATCTGTTATAGCAGCGTCTAACACTTTCTGAGCATTCTTGAGTTGTATACCAAACCAAGGTGGACCATTTTCGACCCATTTCGCATCAATAACATCATCGCGACTTATACCCATACATTTGCAGACCTTCTCTACGTGACCTTGCTCAACATCATCAGATCTAAGAAGAGGCGGTGCCTGGAAAGACAACAAATTCGTCCTATAGTCCCATTTTAAGTGTACGATACCTATTCCGCACTCTTGTGTGATAGTTCCGCCTTTGTTCTTGAGATCTTGACGTTCTTCCTCCTTAAGTGAGTTCAAATAGACGTAAGCTGAACCCAAAGTGGGGTGACCAGCAAAGGGGAGTTCACTAGCTGGTGTGTATATCTTGAGATAGTAATCTGCTTTATCTGATGGTGTGATGAAGGTAGTTTCGCTGAGGTTTGTCCAATTCGCGAAACGTTGCATTTGTGAATCTGATAAGCTACCATTCACAGTAACGACTGCGACTGGATTGCCATAATATGGAGTATCTGTGAATACATCGACTTGATTGAATTTATGAGTATTTCCTGCCATAGATTTAGTTAAAGTAAAATGACGGGTATGATGAGTAGTAACTTAAATATATCGACTTCATGAGTCACTATTATCTATGACTCAATTTATCTATTACACACAATAAAACGATTAAAATCTAAAGAGAATCTCACAAATGAGGCTTAATCTATGCTACGAACTATCGTCAACTCGGTGAAGCGACATCGGACATTTGAGGAAATTAACAATTTCAGAGTTAAGCTAGAAAATGGTAGACCGTTAGTATCAGGCGATAACTCCTACGGTCAGCTTGGACACCCTGAGAGTGTTTCGTCTATTGAGAAGCCAACTCCAGTACCAAATTTGAACGAAAGGCTAGAAGCAGCACACAGTAGTTTATCCAACGTTTATTTAACAACCCGTCATACAGTTCTCAGCGCCGGTCTCAATACAGACAATCAACTCGGACGATCATTTAATCATTCACTTAGTCACACATTCAAGCAAGTTGAATGGGATTTTGGCAGATTTGATGGCGTAAAACAGCTCTCCACGAATGGCGATACGGCAACTGTACTCACCATGGACGGTAGTGTCGTTGGCTGGGGTAATTCTGAATATGGTTCCCTATGTTCGGTTGAAGACAAGGGCGTTGAACCAAGGAATATCAGCGAACATCTTGATAAAGCTGGGTGTAGATATATCACAAAGATTTCCGTCGCTGGGGCTCATTCCTGGTTTCTGAATGATAGTGAGTAATTATTACAGCTCAAAATGATGGAAACACATCGCAGAGGCCAACTTAGTTGCTATTTGGGTGACGATGACCTAACACCTGCATTTATTATTATGATTCATTTTCTGATTGGGCTACTCCATTATATAAATAAACGATATACTAACATAGCTACTTAGCTGGAGAAGTTTGGAACGTTGGCTTGCAACTGGTGGACGAAAACCCCGTTATATCGCCTATCCCAAATAAGTTGGAGCTTCCCTGTAAAGCACTAAACATTTGGTCTGGAGTACATCACTCAGCTGCATTCCTCGAAGACGAAACACTTTATATAAGCGGACCTCAACTTGACAGATTTACCATTACGACTAATCAGAATAAAGGAGATCTCGAAAGATTAGTTAAGTCTAAAACATTAGACTCAACTTTCGGATTTAATAGCATTTTACTACATTCTTGATACAATAAATTATAAATACAGGCATACATTACTCTATTCTAATAAGTCATTTAACTTTTCGTTCCAATTTGTTTGCCAATCTGCTTCGTTTGAGTTTATGACGTTATTGCGAAGTTTCACGAGTCTAGAATTAGATGCAAGTAGGTCCTACTACTGTTAGGTCTATCATTATAATACTGGACATACTTACCACGAGTTGCTGTCCCAGTTGTGTACCACTTTCAAATGTAAGACCATTAACGCCATCGACAACTAGTTCATGGAGGCTTCGTGTATGTTAGTAAAATACGAGAGAAAAAAATGTCCGTAGAAACCCACCAAGCAAAATTAAGAGCACATACAGGTAAACCTGCTCCAAACATATCGACAACCTTCATAGGAAGGTCAAGTCCAGAGGAGCTGGCATGGAAAGACAAGCCAAGATGGGCAGAACCAAGTAGCTTCGGATAATCGGATGCTTCTAACCATACTGTACGTACTCTGACATTCGTCCAACCCGTTTCGAGCTTACTAACGCGCTCGTCGAACTGAGCTTTGAGAGGGCCTTTCCCTGTTATTGCCAGGAGGATATTAGGAAGGTGTGTGTTCTTCTTTGAAGCGTTTTCGTAAACCTCAAGTGCAGAAAGGAGCATATCAAAGTTCTCATCAGGAGTCCAAGAAGTACTACTGACAATGACTGCTGTCTTTATGTCCGTTTCGCTACTCGACGGAATGAACTTAGGGTCATCTATCAAATTTAGCTTCGTTAGTAGCTAATGACAAGTTTAGATACATGCACAAATAGAAAGCATACTTACAGTTTTCCTTTCGTTTTCTGGAAGGCGTTTGAAAAGACTTGGTGGTCTATCGTGCAGTGTAAGTTTTGTCCCGCTGTAGTTTTTGTTAGCTAAGAGAACTACTGGTATATACCGCTCACATCAATCCCCATTTGCTGCTTAAATGCATTCTCATCGCATCGGTGACGAATACGTGTATATCAGCTAACTTGCCAGTGAATGATTCGATACTTGAATTTGTTAGGATGTAGCAAAAGAAGTGTAAGCACCTACGCTCTAGATAATATCGCAAGCGGATGCTTCTTCCCAATTTTCAAAGCAAGAAGTGAGAAAGCAGTATTATGCCAGTCAATTATAAGACCGGTGCCAGTAACAATCCTAAGAAGTTGAGCAACTGCTAAAGTTGGTATAGCAGGTGGCGTTTGTACCAGTGTCCACCTCGGAATGCGGTGAGAAGAAGTAAATAACGCGAGTAAGCCGTATATCTGATAAGCGACTTTAATGAGAGCTGTCAATGCAAATGGTAAACCTTTCGTATCTGGTATATATATGGATTTTATCTTCACTCTGTCATTATGAACTAATTGCTTGATAGGAGTCGAAGCTTGAAATTTGATTAGAATTTTAAAATATTTTGCTTGTTTACACACCTTCATATCCTACTAGCATAACTTCATAACCATTCTCTAAGAGTGAGAGTGCGTGGTACATACAACGTGGACTTCTGCCTATATCACCAAGTACCACGACAGCAGCGAGCTGTGAATCAATCCTCTGCCTGTATATCCATCCGATAGACAAAGCTATAATGCTTATCGTGGATATCAGCACCAAAAGTGTTGTAATCATGAACGTAAGTGAGAAAGCAATCTTCAACTCAAACGATCAACAGCTATGGCATTAGTTGTAGTCACAGGACTACCAGCTAGTGGAAAGACTAGAAGGAGTAAAGAATTATTCGATTATTTGGAGCCTAGATTAGCTGAAATTAGTGAGAAGAGTCAAGGTGCCCTTAAAGGACGTAATTTAGCGATTAGATTAGTATCAGAGCACGATTTTGATCATGATAGGGAAATTTATCGAGGTTTGTTTACTTTCATATACTTCAATTAGCATATTGAAGGATTTTCTAGATACACGGCTAGAGAAACCTGCGAGGGGTGCAGTATATGCAGCTGTTGAACGCTATTTAGACAAAAATACAATTGTTATCTGTGATGCACCAAATTATATCAAAGGATTTAGGTATCAGCTCTATTGTACAGCTCGAGAAGTTGGTGCACTCAATATGACAGTGGGTGGTATATAACAACTTGAACGCATTCTTAACAACATTGTTAGCTTTGGACTATTGCAACTCCTGATCAAGCTAGGGAATTGAATGGACAGAGGGAAGATGGTTATTCAAATCAAGTGTGAGTATGAGATGAATTATAAGGGCTGTTTTCACATTAAATAGCTTCGAAGAGCTTGCGTTTAGATATGAAGAACCTAATGGTGCGAGTAGATGGGATCAACCATTAGTTAGCGCTATATTAGAAGATAAGACATTGAATTATGGACAAATAGTCGACATTTTGACAACTCAGAGACAGAAAAAGGTAAATATAGGTGTTATGACGATGCCAGCAACAGCTGCCAACTATTTACAAGTATTGGAAGCCACAACTACACAAGTTTCCGGTGCTATCACAACAGCATCAGCTGACAACGCAGGTGTTGGTGGTTCCGCCAACATCGCGCTTCCCCAAGATTTACTTCCGTTACCACAAAAGGATTTCAGAGATCCGATGCGTCCAGTTATTGACTTACCAGTCAAACAGATCACGCCCGCACAGATGAACAGGTACAGACGTGCGTTTGTGGGTTTACATAGGAATGATAAGGCTATTGATGCCAAATCAGTTGCTGGTCTTTACTTGTTGTTCATACAGACTACTTTGAATGCATAATATAGAATAGATTGAATAATTTACATTGTCCTGGTATATTTCCTGCAAGTTACATTCCTAATAGTCTTGCCGTGGGTCAAAACAATGTCTAACCAGATCATCGTATACCTGAGCGTCGTTAGCGGGATGCCCAGGTATTTATTAGCTACTACACTTACATCCTCGGGTATATCTCTAACCAGGGTGACTGCAATACTTATAATAGGTTGTGCGTCTAAAGGTGGAAACATTCTTAATAACTTCATCGGACTGCTTGATGAGAGGAGGTCATCGCGCATAAGCAAGACCTGAGCGATGACGCATAAAACATTCATATGCGGACCAAATGCGAGCAAAAAGTCCCATAGACATAACACTTGATCCAAAGGAGGAGTACAAGCGCTAAGAGTTAGTACAGCTGTGAATTTGTCAGATGTGTTTGTAAGAGGAAATCTACACAAACAAGGGAAGGCGTATATTTCAGCAGTGAGATTATGTCTCCGTAGATGAGAATACAATTTGTTGTCTACGATCTGGAGACACTTATCGACCAATCGAAGGCCTCTGTGCACCCCTTCGAGGGTAGGTAGGACATATAGAGGACAGGTGAGCTCGATGAACCTAGAGAAGCAATTGAATGCCTCTAACTGAACGGTAATGTTAATAGAAGTATATAAAGCTTATTTTAACTAACCTCTGTTGGTTGGACATAAAGGAATGGCGCTGCTAAGACGTTCATGCCCTGTACATAGAGGCTTTCGCCATCACTTTTCTCTTCAGTTCTCCAAGCAAACGCGTCGAGTAATCTAATTAGCTTGCTTTCACCAACAATACGTTGAAACTCGACGTCTGATTTTAGTGTACGCGAGGCGTCGTTCCGTATCTTATCAGCCACGCTGCTTCTACCCTTACTGACAAGCTTTAAATACTGATGGCTATCCAAATCGTGTACTTTTAGTAATAGCTTCCAAACTAAAGGACGTAGATTTGGTGTAGATGTTGGTATACCGTATAAAACTATCAATCTACGTAATTTTTTAAGCTTTTCTTCAATTTCTATATCAGATATTCTCTCTGTAAGTTTAACTGAGTTTAATAATTCATTATATTTCTTCCGCTCTTTTGTACTCGATGAGGGAGTAGATGGCGACATCAGTGAAGACTGTAAAGAAGTAGCTGAGATAATTTATATAAGTATATCACTTGAGTGATTATTTAGAAGATTAGTGAAATTATACGTATATTACGCGTCTTCTTTATCCCACACGGTTGTATTCTTCAAGTAAAATATATTACAAAATGACGCCGGATTGTGTAAGATAACATAAAGTATAGATTTATAGCTTAATAGACTAGAAATAGACTACTCAGGCGTACTTTTGTTCAATGGACTATGGCCTTATCTGAACAGACACTTCTTCTTATGAGTAGACACGATAATTAGAGTGATAGATACATAATATCAATTTGGTCATACTGGCATTATTTATATTGCATAAATAAAGCACCATTCGAAATCTCGGAAAACGCTCGGTTATGCTTTAGACCTCTACAACCACGTAAACCAATAATAGAAAATGGTAGAGCAAACAACGACATTTAAAGATGGCTCAAAAGTAGCCTACAATGTATTCAATGAAGGCGCTACAGACAAATTACCATTGGTACTCATTATGGGATTGAGTGGTACAATGTTAGACTGGCAAATGTTTGCAGAAGGTATTGCAAAAGCGGGCGAAAGGAAGGTTGTCATCTTTGATAACCGTAATATAGGAAACAGCTACGGTGAAATAGGTGCAATGACGTTAGATCAATTAGCCGGTGATACGATTGAATTAATAGAACACCTAAACTTGAAAGAGATTGATTTATTAGGTTTCTCTATGGGTGGTACGTATTAGAATGAAATGTCTTGCTTTTCACTTACAATCTTAGGTATGATTGCTCAACAAATCCTACTTAACCGTGCACCAAATTTCAAAATCAACAAAATCATCCTCGCATCATCAGCATGTAGAAGCCCACCATCAACGAAGATTGATATGTCTTCAGAGAAAGGCGCTCAGGCATTTACTTTGTCATTGTTTGACGAAGAATGGGTGAAGAACAACACTGCGATCATCGCACTTATACAAGAGACAGCTGCGTTGAAACGTAGACCATTAGAAACTATGCAAGCACAGTTAAAATCTCTTCATGGTCTTGATTTCAGCGAACAGCTCTCGAAAAGTGATTTCACCGATAAAATTTACATCATGCACGGAAAGAGAGATGCTATCATTAAATTTGAAGAGGCAGAATATATGCTTTCAACTATAAAAGGTGCAAAATATGTTAACAACCTGCCTTCAGTCGAATATGGCCACATGTTCCCTGTTTACTTTGATCCGAAAACCTGGTCGGACGCAATCGAAAGCTGCCTTTGTAACTCTAAAAAATCTACCTTGTAGAGCCTCATCGGATTGTATATACATCTACATAAAGCTCATTTTAGCTGGTATCTTCAGTATATGTCATCATTATGGCAAACATACTTGACCTACCAAATGAGAACTTCAGATGTGAATACCTATGTAGCATACAAAGTACCACACCGCGTTAAGCTGGTATGATTTGGTAACGAATTATTGGTACAGCTGGTTTGAAATATCCCTCAGTACCTCTACAGAATACTTTTCGCTTACAACACTCATCGTCATGTCAACCAACAAGCTAATTAATAAGCTGAATAGGACGATATACATGGAATTAGACGACGATAGAACTATATTTGGTAGTTTCACTCTTATTGATAAAGAAAACAATATCATCCTCACAAACGCCAGAGAAGTTACGAAATCAGGTCAATTTATCAGTGATCTATGTAGATACCCAGAAGAGGAACGTTGGATAGGTATAGTTATGGTACCAAGGCACAAAGTGAAAGCAGTCTACGAGTAATATTAGTGGTACTCTTTATATAATATACTATCGTTTTACAAGAAAAATGTGAAAAAGAAAAAAGTATTAAATTCTCATATCAGTTGTATCTGCACCAGAGAATCTCCAAGCGCTTGCTGCGTCTAAATCTATTGGACAGTTGTCATTAACGGTTATGTCGTCACCTAATTGTATAACTGCAGAGTTCAAACCTGTTGTAAGCTTAATAGCTGGTTTTCCTGCGTAATATAACTTTGGATCATCTTTTTCGTCATTAATTTGTCTTATTATATTTCCGACTGCAAATTCAGATTGATTCCAACCAGTGTGGCCAGCGTGAAGTGCGCCGTATGCGTCAGCCGCATCACCGACTACATAGATGTGAGGATATTTTGATGCTTGTAATCCTTCATAGCTATCCTTTAAGCTTGTAAGGATGTCCCTCTTTGCGTTACTTTCTGGGATATCTTCTGTTTTTTCAAGTGCAGCCAGCTGCATTGATCTCGTAACTTTTACTAGATTTGTTTGTGGGTCGATTGATGATGGTGATAATTGTCTAATCAATTCTGTGTTTGGTTTTTGACCTGTACACATCAACTACAGAATCATTAGATTGAAAGTTGTTTGTTAAAAAAAGAACTCACAACCAAGTCACATTCGATTCTCTTACCTGCACGAGTGAAAACTCTCTTCTCTTCGACGTGTCCATCGAAATCAAGGGTGGTGTTGCTACCTAATTCAATACGATCTTGAAGGATGGTCTCAACGCCGAGTTTTGTGAGTGACTCGAAGATGATATCGTGCATTTGAGCATCAAAACGTGGCAACAATCTATCACGTGAGTGTATAAGTGTGACCGTCTTGTTTGGATATGTGTTCTTGATATCAGTTGCAAGTTGGATACCCAGTGCACCACCACCAGCGACGACAACTCTGTCATTTTGTTCTATAACTCTTTGACGATGTTGAAGCCATTCAATTCCACTGGCTTTTGTACCATCTTTGAGAGTTTTTTGGTCCATTTGCAAACTTACTGGCATAATAGAACCCAAGGCGTAAACCATGTAGTCAAACTCAACAACGTTAGTGAGGTCATGCTCTGGGAACTCCTTGCTAAGTGTGACTGAGTTTGGACCAATGCTTTCTACTGCTGCATGAAGGATGATATGATCTTTACCGTCAGTTGGGTTCTGTGGACCACTGTCTAATAAAATGTTTGAAGTACTGTCTACCCTGTGCATTTCTTTGCTAAGGTGTGGTCTTGATAAGACCTTTTGTGCCGGCTTCAAACTTTTGCTCTCAGCCGAGGCGCTATCGGTCTTCTTGTTCTCAAACTTTGCGTAAGGAATAAAAGCCTTGTGCTCATGACCTTTTACTACTGCGTAGCGTGGAAAAACGTAAAGGTCTGTGTTAATTGTTAGAATAGATTCTTATCGGTGGAAGATACCGAAATCGCACTCACGATTGTGGTGGCTATGGGATGTTAGAAGGAAGCGAATAAAAAGATAAATGGACACACCTGTTTCTATCTATGAGGATGACTCTGTGTGTAGGTGGTAATTGCTGGCTGAGAAGACGAGCAGCACGTCCACCTGAGTGTTTGTTAGTTTGAAGCAATTTCTTTTGAAAATATACACACCAGCATAAGATCCTCCAAGTACCAATACGTTACGCGTCACTGCTGCTGTCATTTTTTCTGAGATGACTGGACCGATTTAAAGAGGAGATCGCTAGATAAAAATCTTATCATTATCAATCGGACAAGGCGCACGAATGACCAAAAAAGGAAAGTGTTAAAATTACTAAATTCGGTTATCAGATAAAAACATACTACATTGATCTGCAATTTTATTGGGGTTCATACTTTTATTAGCCTGGGGAGTGTGGGATCCACCATGCAGGTACTTGTCGCACACCACTTGACCGATCTATTAGGATTGCTACCATATAAATCCGATCTGATAATTTCATTTTAGTGCGATTTCTTGATCCGTTAAATTAGACGACATTGTCTATCGGACGAACCGACTAGTTGGGAAATGGATGATCTACGGTGATATTATCGGATATATTAAGAAATACATAACATTATACTATATTAATCATCTTTTAACTCCCTTTGAGATGCTTTGTCTTGCTCCTTCTTCATTGTCTCTGTGTGGCTATTTAATGTATCTAGAGAATGCGTGAATGAGGATATAGAGAACGTTGCTAATTATGTTATCAACTTAAAGTAAACTATATAGGCCATCAGGACTCACAAATTGCTAGCAAAGATAAAGCGTTCTTGTTGCCTTTCAATGGAGTATAACGAGCTGCTATCGCTGCTATACAATCATATAAATTATTGTAACTTCGATTAAATCTACTCAACTAGCTAAGAATGCCGTCGTAGCCGCGTAGAATAGATTCTGATAACGTATATCCTTTAATATTAATATAGGCATAATTCATTTCTATAAATTATAAACACACAGTTTTAGCTTTTTGTAAATGCTCGATGTTTTCCATTCTACGTCTCTTCTTGATTCTACGATGACTTACACTAAATCAGAGAGTTTCGACCAACTTATACGGAACGCAACACTAGTAAATTGTAACTCAGAGATTTCAGATGAAGTACGCGAACTAGATGATAAGATTTCTACCCATACTAGCCATATACAACTCCAGCGTTCACTTGATTCATTAACTAGGAAGAATAGTCTTCTCGATAATCGCCTGTCTGATTTAGAGAGCGCTATAGACAGCTATAGGAATAGCATAAATAATAAACACAGTCAGTTACAAGCAAGGAGACGTAATTTAGCTAGACTTTCAAATCAACAGCAACATGACGATTCAGACGAAATAGAAAGGAGCGTCACATTGAAAGTTTCAGTAGATCAACTTAAGAAGCAAACCAAGATACAGAGAATTCGCCTACTAAAAGACCTTAGCGCGTTATTCCCAATAGTCAAAGTGGATGATAGCAACAATCTGACTTTTTCTATACTGGGATTGTCTATTAGCGAGAATGTAATATCATCCTCATCGCATGCTCAAACTAGCTCAGCATTGGGTTATAGCTGTCTCCTCACCTGCTTGCTCAGTAAATACCTAAACGTATACCTCCCATATGATATCGTATATAAAGGCAGTCAATCTGTAATTATAGACCCAGTTAGCAACATACGAGGAAGTAATATATTTCCATTAGATTTGTTCTTCAAGAAAGATCAAATGTATCGATTTGAATATGCTAATTATATACTAAATAAGAATATAGAAGTAGTGAGTAGATATATTATTTAAGAGGGAAAAGTCTCATTAATACACTCCTCTAGCTCATGCTATCATTCAACTTACCCTTACCGGAACTTAGACACATATTACCAAATTTAAAGAATTTGCTATTAATATTAAGTACATAAAATGAAGATCAGAAATTGTGCGTTGTCGGCGGATACTTTGTGTCATTGTGCGATGTGTCTTGTAAGATAGCTGTGTCTTTGACTTCCCAGACATTTCCTTTAGATCCAACTGAGAATTCAAGGTCCTCTTTCGTGATAGCATCGTAATATTTGTATACCATCATAACTGAAAGTAGATAACAGAGTGTCTCGAAGAACAGTCCATCAATGTAGTGATCTACTGAATTGCATACTTGTACGCTGAACCCAAGTAAAACGACAGTACCAATTACGAAGAAACCAACACCAAAGGCGATGTTAGTTAATGGCCATCTATCATCTAACGTTCTTAAAACCAAGATAAATTGAGTGATGATGTAAATACCAACGCAGATGATGTGAAGGATAAAAGTGAAAATAGTGACTGCGATAGGATTGCTACGATCAAAGCCGGGTATATTTTTATATGTAGCAATATGAACAAAGAAGGAGAGTGCACCTAAAACGAAGGAAGAACCACGCATTGTCCATACACTTAGCGTAGTACCATCTTCTATGACTTGGAAACCGATGAATCCGTTCACCAGTAAGCACCAAAACATCGCTGTAGTCAAACCCATATAAATCGCTGCAAACCATGGGTAGGTTTCATGTGAAGTTGGTATAACAGAACTATCCAGGAAGATAGCTAATAATTCACATATACCGTATAAATAGAAAAAGAGCGTTATTTCTTTACGTCCTGTGATACTGTTAGTAATCTAATAATTTGATGTCAAAGCGAGCTCACCAATCGCCGTATATTTGGTCCTGATATGATAGAGCATAATTACTGTCATAAATATAGCGACAATATGTATGAAACAGGTAGCTAATATAATTAATTGCTATAATCTCTCTTAACTATCTCTACTCACCCGGCTGGAAAATGAGTGTACCACCTATAACTATATTGCGGGCGTAGCAGACCGGCTCGATACCCTCATCACTGCCTAACATTGGACAGCTTATTAGCGCCGCATTCTTGCAAACGTCGTTTATCGAGCTTAGCATTGCGTAGCTTGTGGACGTTTGAGTGATACATCCAAGTCAGCTTAATATGGAAATGGAAGTAAAAAATAAATTAAATTTATTAGAAGATGCAGAGAAATCTCTAGATAAACTATTAGAAACTCAAAATAAAAATACTTTATCTCTAGATTTAGCTGATTTGGATAAATTGACTGAGGAGTTGTCGGCGTTTCGAATGAGTCTGGGTGGGAAACTTGAAAATGCTAGGAAATTTCATAATAAGTTGAGCGATTTGGATACCCAACAGCAGAGGTTGTCTGGGGGATTAGATATGGTACGCAAAACACAATCGCTGCAATCATCTCTTAGAATGCTAGATATGGCAATAGATGAGCGCGATTACGACCAGGCTAGTTTATATGCTCAGAGAGCACTTAGTATACCACATTCCATTATCAATAGCGAGTTTGCTGATACCGTCATACCTTCTACACATCATCCTGAACCACCTTTACAACGATTAGATAATAGTCTAGACACTCTCAATGAAATATTTATAAAGCACTTCAATGATGCAAGCGCAAACCTCAATCAGATGGAAATATCGAGATTTTTCAAGCTATTCCCAAAGATCAACAAAAAATTAGATGGTATTACTGTCTATTCAAACTTCGTGGTTAGTTTAATTCAGAGGAAGTTCAAGGGTAGCTTGGAGAGCTTGAGTAGTGTGCGAATTCTGCTTGACCACCTCGCAAACGTCATAGAAGATCATCAACCTGTTGTAAGCAAGTACTATGGGGAAGAGTACATGTACACTGTTCTGCAGACTCTATTGAAAGAACTGGATGAGAAAGCGGATATTATATTCAAAAATTGGAGCTCTGGGATTGTCGATATAGATACCAGTGATTTCAAGTCAACAAATGCAATTATCAGCCAAATAACGTCACTTTCATCGCATTGGTCAGCTTTCAAGTTATTCATATTGTCGAATTTGGGAACCGAAGACAAATACAAGCAATTGCTTCACTCATCACGTACATCAGCTTTACTCAATCAATACCTAAATGAAAATTACATATCCTTAGAAATGAACTACTTTAAAAACAGTTTGAGAAAAGCAATAGAAGTTGATGAAACAGACGAAGATTCTACGCCATACACCTCTTCAGTACTTGACGACGCATTTTACGTATACAAAATTATTCTGGATAGACTTGTGGGATGTGGCAACATATCGATATTAAAAAATGCCCTTGGTAGTATAACGGATCTGTTTGAAACAGTCTTGATCGATAATCTACAGTCAGAATTCGCAAAAGCTATCAAACCACGCACGAGCAAGATGATAAGCCAACAAGCCAAGACAAATTACAACACCTACAATACCTATAACCATAAAAGCAAAATAGTAAGAGTCTCAGCTTGCCTCAATAATTTGGATTTATGTAGCGAGTACAATATCCGCATACTTTCTAACCTCATGAATGAGAGAACGTTACAGAGATCTTATGAAGATGTGGATATGGCGTTTGTAAGAGATACGCTATCAGGATTGAAGAGGATGTCTGATACCGCACAATCATGTCTTGCTGTGAGTATATATATATCGCTTAAGGTCCTATTAATTGTATTTTCAGAATTGTGTAGATATATTCTTTACATCTACATTCAAGAGCAATATAAAAGAAATTCTGAAGACTGCTATCAACGTTACCAATTACGATAAAAGCGTTGATCATCAATCTACATTATTTGTAGTTATCTTTGAGCGTGAATGGAGTCAACTATTTGACGAATGGGCCACAGGTCTTACTACTAACAACTTTGATGAGGTTTTCGTTAAAGCTGTAACGAATCTGATACAATTATGGGAAAACATCGTTTTCAATTCTCGTTTTAGTGGTAGTGGTGCAATTCAATTTGAGAAAGACGTCCACGGTTTGTTGAGTCTCTTAAATGGAATGTCAACTGTTGGTATTCGCGAGTCATTCAGTCGTATCAGGCAGATCAGCTCAGTTTTGAATGAGACTTCAGATGAAAATTCAAGCCATTACTGGAAGCTGAGTAACAGCGAGATACAAACTCTACAGTCAATGAAGTTGTCTAATGTCTTTTAATGTATTTATATAAAAATTTAGAGAGTTATGCCATATTATATACTATTTTCAAATTAATTATTGAGTTCTGGCTATGTATCGGCAAAAATTGACTTAATTTTACCTCCTAAATAATCCTCAAGTGTAAAGGATACGCGATGAATTAAAGTGAGCCTATATACTACAAATTAACTTTATACGAGCCATCACCAGCTGAACTACTACTTTGTATTTTACTCTGTTAAAAAAAAAAAAATCCAACTCCGTCGATTAAAATGAGCAAAAAAAAAGAAACCAAAAACTAATGCATTAACCCGGAGTCGAACCGGGGGCCGATCGATGGCAACGATCGAGGTTACCGCTACCCCATTAATGCGATGTTTAAAAGCGTTACTTGATACGACATCAATGTGTTTATCGAAATTAGGGCATAATTCAAATTTTCATCACGAATGTAAATTTTGCATGAGTCAAGTGTATTAATCTAAAGTAACGTCTATAAAGCTATTGGTTACAAAAATAGCCAAATCCTTCAACAAAACGTCCAGAATTATGAGATTCCTTGCTACTCTGTTACGAACAGGACATTCTCCCATGACTAAACCTCAACGAACTGCCTAAGTGTTGGTACGTAAATATCAGACACGCTTTATTATAGGTTGTGAAAGTATAAGTACGTTATAGAATGATCATTTAAGATGATTGTTTCTTTTTACAAGATATGTTTCTTTATATAGTCTCTACTGTCCTCATGTTCCTTGTCGTCCTCTTGTCCTCTACTGCGCCTCGGTGTTCCTCTTGGTTCTTGGTGTAACTCCTTGTTCCTTCTATCCTTAGTCACTAAATGATGCTGTATGTTCAGCCCTGTATCTGTATTCTGACACTAAGGCGATTAAGTCTTTGGCTACCCAGCTACGCACAGGTCGCTTTCCCATGACTAAGTCATATCACTACCGTTTCGAAGTGATAGATCCACATTAATTACGACGTGTGGCGCAGACTATAGTAATTCGCACAGAATACTTATCTGTAAAGACATATAATGGCAAGGATCACATCAAGGTGGAAGATAACCAAGTCCCATATTCATTTGAATTAGACCCAATGCTCAGAAACGCACTAGCTCTATCAGCGCTTTATGCGTTTTTCAGACCACACTTGTCTACATACTTAAGATACTCGTGTGGTTGGCTTTCACCGAGCAAACTTGTGGAAACGCAAAACATCAAGACATTTTACGACATCAGTCAAGAAACGCTTGCAACCGATTCAATGCAGCACTCAAATTTTCTTGCTTTAAGAAGTGTTGATGAGCGCAGTTTAACTTTATATCTTCTTAACAATATATTTAGATCTCATCGTCATCATCATCATCATGGCCACCAATATCACAAGAGCAAATATTTGGGGCACACTGATTACTGTTTGATAAATACATATTACAGCGGTATTCATTGCTGCTAAACCTCCTAACAGCATGGCTACCCTTAATTGGGGCGTTTTCCATGTGGGACGATCTCCCTTGGACCACAAGCAATTCAAAGAGAGTGAAAATAACAACGGGATTATTATCAACCACAACTACAATGTGCACCTTGATATGACAATGATACTTCTGATCATGGTTGTAGTCAGCTCGAATAAATCTTAAAGAACCAAAAGAAGAAAGATAATAAAAAAAAACAATGCACATATGTAATAAGATAATACAGATATTATATGTACACTTAAAAGGGTTCATTTTACTCACCTATCATGGTTAGCATACTTGAGGAAATTATACAATCAGGCTTTCCGAAGTGATTTTTAAAAAGTAATTTATTCTTCTTATTCTTATTCACTTATTATAAGTTTTCAAATCGACAAGGTCATGATTAGAAAATGTCTTTAAAAGCAATTTAGCTCCTTCATTAATTGATCACTTTTATATATATTCCAACAATTAGTTTATCAGATGGCCAATTCAACTTTTTAAGTTGGTAATTTGATTTAGCACTTGTAGTGTCAACGTTGATTTTAAAGACCAAACTATACCATATAATATTTTCACTAATCATATACCTCATAGTAATGTTATGATTTGTCAAGAGGCTCCAAGGAATGTTGACTTTCCTAAGGACTCTATGCATTCGAAGGATACGTTCAAAGGACTAGGTTAGCAAAACGGTTCATCGAGAATTACACTTAATGTGTATCAGATTTTTGTATATCATTCTTGTTTTTCCTAGCTTCAGTCATACACTTAAATCATCATTTCGGATCCTGTCGAAAGAAAAGATATGGCGGAGATCTAAGAACATTTCTGGCCGAAACTTATGTTCAAATCATCCGCATGCCTTAGGTTCTCATAAACACCTTTATGGGGGTGTATCTACCAAAGTATCATTATATTTCAGTTTATAAATATATATAGTTGACGAATGAGAGATGAGTCACCTCTTATGAACTTCAGACTCTTGAAATTTATCTATTCTTAAGTGTGCTAGTCCCATTTACACAAGCGAAAATGTCTTCTTGATCGTATGAATGAGTAATATGACGACGTGAAGCTCGCCAAATTTACACAAGAATAGCTTCAATTTTACTTCTGAAGAGTTAATTCTCCCACAACTACTTTAGCTCAGTGGATGCTATATTCAACATACTTCGTGCTTGGAATACATCTTTCAGACAGCGTGATGCTTTGATAGATCTTGTAGTCCTAGAATCACGTGATATACATTCTATATTCTTTAAGTAATTCTTTTTGATGCGACGGCCGCGTTTTGAAAGTAGCCTCCATATAATCACAGCGTGGAAAGCGCAAAGTTCGTAGGGCCACGATGTGCCCTCGTAGCTGTACCAGAATCTACACATGCTTTTTATGTGGCTCATTATGCCTCTTATATTTTTCTCGGTTGTTAGCAATGCATATTGGAGCCCACAGAGCAATCTCAAAATTTTCGCGAAAATGAAAAAATCGCGGTTGTGACTGGAATGTAAAGATATGTGGATGAAAATTGTATCAGAATATGAAGCGATTTTACAGTCATAAATGTGCCAATTTTGGACGCGTTTGACGCGTCACTTGCGACGTCACAGAATTTCAAAAGTGCAGTTCTCTGGGCGAAAATTACGAAGCCTCCAAATTGGCAGTAGGGCCCGGACTGTAGCGACGATTTCCACGCAGATCGTTACCATGTCAGCCACCCAAAATCGGTCAACTAAGGTTTTGGTCACTTCGCACTCGTGTAATATATGTAGGGGATGAATAAGCGAGTACTTGGATGGCATGTTAGGGGTAAGTTAAAGCGAGGAATCCAGATTT